TTAGCTAATTATTGATATATTCTTATAGTATCTGTAATTTTTTTTAGATATTAGATAAATCTTTTTATATATTAGTAACTTTTTTTTCTTTATAAAAATAGTATGGTTATACTTTCCGTACTGAGATAATTCAGGTTACTCTAGGTATTTGAACAAGTCTTTAAATCTCTTATATTGTGATAAGATCTATATATTATTTTTAATTACAGCTAGAAGTTCTTATAAATCTTCTAATCCTTAGATAGTTATCTTAATCTTTATATTAGTACTGTTAATACTGTACTTTCAGTACTTTTCTGTTATTATTAATATCTATTTTAATAATTTTATAAGCTAATCTTTCTGTGATAGCTTGATTGCTGTTATTATTTATATAACTATACTTGAGATATTATTTTTCTTTAAGTTATCTCTAATATCTGGTGTGTTAGGCTTTTATAGTATTCTTAATCTTTTCTTGATAAATTGTTTAGTCCTTGCTTTAGCTTCTTACTGTATAGCAAGCTGTATAGATCTAGACTCTATATCTGGTTCTTGCTGGCATTGTCTTGGATAATTATAATTTATAAATTAGAGACTCTCAGTCTTTTAATTAATTTATAGATTATGATTTCTGAGTTATAGAATTTCTAACATAATATTATACTGTTTTAAAGATGTTATATTAAAGTCTATATACTTGTAATGATTCTTTATAATTATAAATATAATTCCTAACTTGACTGTTAATATAAAAGTTCTCAAATTCTCTCTATTTAGTTTTATAATTAGTTTAGATTCTGTTTTTTATTATCTAAGTATCTTAAGTTATTATATAAATCACAGGTTCATGAAGTTTCCGATTACTCCAGAGTCTATCAGTACTTGGGCTAGTTAACTTAATATAATTACTTAAATCTTTAAGTATGGCCTTAACTTAGTGGCTACTAACTACTGTTCTGGCTAGTTAGGTACTAGCTGCTGTAGATATCTTCTTAGAAATCTTGAGCCTTTTATTTTTACTGTGTAGTGAATCATGTACTGATTATTAAAATATATTAATTAATATATTAATTTATGGTAAAAGTATTTCTAATATTTTTTACACGCGCAATCAAAGATAGTATATAGACAGTGACTTATCTTAGTCTTAATTATTTCCAGTATCTTAGATTAGTAGTTAATAATATATTTCTAATTATAATATATTAAGCATGTGTTCATGTAGTATATAAGCTAAAAGAGTTTATTATATCTTTAATAATCTCTACTTTCTTTAAAATGAATATATAGATATGGTTTATTATATTAAGATTCTGTTCCTGCAATGTTTATTTTCTGGCTAATTTTTAATAATTAGTAATAATAATTAATATTATCTTATCTATATATTAAACAAACTTTTGGGTAATAAGAGTATCTTTATAAATATTATTTCTAAGTCTTGTTTTATAATTTCCAATATCTTAAATCCTAATATAGACAATGCTGTATGATCGTTTTAAGTTTTAGATAAAATTATACTAGGTTCTTTAAGATCTTTCTCAAGATATGGTCTAATCAATAAACAATGTCTTTTTTATTGTTCTTTTAGTCCTTCTTGTCCTTGTCTCGCTGCGATAGATAAGATTTACTAATTTTTAATAAGGGTTTTTTCAGGATATTAGGTATCTTATTAAGTCTCTTCTTACTAGATTTAAGGTCTTTATATAATATATTATATTCTTTATCTAATGGTTTGAATTTGTCTTAAACTATACTGGAATAATTATTTTTTAAAACTAGCTTATAACTATTATTATTAACTTCTATAGTCCAAACTAATGATATAGATAATTATCAACTTTCTTATTAACTGAATAGTATTATTAGCTTATTTAAGATGGCCTGTTATCTTAACTAATCACGGCGTATTCTATTCTCTGATAGCTGATTATGTTAAATAATATATAACTTCTTGCTATCTGATATCTGCATTACAGGTTCTGTCCAAACTTTGTACTGAATAGTAGTGATATTATAGACTTCTCTGTCTTGATCTTGGTTCGTAGCTCTTAATTGCTTTTAAGGCTGTTACTGTTTCTGACTATAGTTCTTTAACTGGTGATCTGCTTTACCGCAGTTAAAGTACAAGTGGTCTTATTTGCGCTGTTTGAGTTTCTTTTTAGATATTTGAGTCTGTTGAGTCTGATGCTGTGCTGCATCTAGCTTCATTGGTTTTGATCTGTAAGGATCTTTGTATTCCAAGCTTCTAGATTGTACTGACCTTCTGTTATTGGCTTGGTAACCTGATTGGCTATTTCATTAAAATATAGACCCACTGATTTATTAATTCTTTTATTATTTTATATTATATTCATATAACTTATTATCAATCTTGATTACTGTTTTAATCATCTTTAATAATGTGTTTGATCGTTCTTGCTAGATGAGTTTTTCTTGGATCTCTATCTTAAATCCTTCTTTAAATCATGTAATATAGGCGTTATCATTTTAATCTAAGTAACTGGTGACTTACAAAAACTCTGAAGTATACTTAAATACTGATCCAGTCTGCTTAAGTTACTATAATTTTTGCTTAATATTTTATACTATATTAATATCTCTGAATATCTGTTTAAGACACTGTTTAAATCTGGCATAACTAGTAAAGAGTTATTTTATATTATTATCTTGATTACTTACTGACTTCTCTTATCATTCACGGATGTATGGTTTAAACTAATTAAATACTGTTTTAATCAGGTAAGTAAACGTGAAAAAGATCTTATCTTTCTTATTCTTGAGCTTTTCTTTATTCATGCTGAGATACAGATCTAACTGGGTCAAGAAAGCCCTGAGCTTCGCTCAATTGCTGTCGAATAGCTTGGGTGGTCAGACCTTAACAGATTTGACTGCTAAGCAATCTTCAAGTAACTGGTTTTATTGTTTTAAGATAGTGATGCTTTCTTACAACTAATCAACCATATTCATTAGTTCTTGTGTTATCAGGCCCTGCTGCTGTGGGACACGCGATGAGTTCGATATAGTTAATATAATGAATAGTTATCACTGATTAACACTCGTACTGACTGGTGCTCAATGTATCAAACCCTAGGATCGCTTCTCCCTGTTCCTATTAGCTTAGCTTCTATTCCGAGTCGTACCTCTGATCTGAATCAAGGTAAGTTAGGTCGATGACTATCTAAAGAGAACTGGTCCTGAACAGAAGAAGAGAAGTAAGGCCAGATAATGCCGCGCAGCTATCTGTAAGTAAGTACGGACGAGTATTGTTGCTAAGCTTTACCAAAACGTATGGTTACTTAAAGACAGTGTTATTAAGCATGAGGAACAGAACTAGCTAAGTACATGAAAGAGCGTCCTTATATCCTATCCCTTGTCATGGCATCGCCATGATATATCATAGTGCTGCCATGTTCTGTTGTAGCGCTGCCATGTTCTAGCATGTCGGTGACATGTCTGTCGTGGTTATGTGTTGTGTAACCGTCCCAGTTTGTAGGTTACTCAGATCAGGATTCTACTTGATAAGAGTCCTTGCCTTCCGGACGTAGCCTTCTGCCTAACGAGTCCGCCTTACTAGTTCGTTCAGCTAGCAGGGGTCTGTAACAGCTATCTAATTAAGTGATCTGTATAGTCAGGTAATCTGGTGAAATATCTATCATGCTAGTTACTGGAAACTCTGGAAGGCCAGTGATCAGTTTTACTGCATGTATGCATTGTTCATATTCTATAGACTTGCAATATAAGACCTAGCCTGATCTTCAAGGCTAACATTGTATTGTTCTACATCTCCCTACGCACCTCTAATAATTCTTTTATCTTTATTTAGTTTATAGAAAGTAATCTTAGAAGTCTTTCTTTCTGCTGTATATATTATTATAGAAGTATCTATAATTACTGGAAATAATAACTAGATTTTTTATATATTATATTTATATAGGTCTCTTTATTTATAACAGAGAGTCTTATATTTTTAAGATTGATTTAGATTTTAACTGTAATAATATTATAGTAGAGTTAGATAAACTCTTGTTAGAAGTAATTACTAAACTCTTTCAGTTTATATCTTAGATTATGATTTGAATTAACTGTAGTAAGCAGTTCTGTAGTCTTCAGGACTGTCTTAAAAAATTATAATATTAGTTTAGAAAGATTAGTTTAATCTATCTGTATATAATTAAGCATTATTCTTATATTATACTATTAGTTAATTATATATTATATTAAATTTGGTATAAAGATTTCCATGTTAGCTACTAAGATTAGTTATAGATTTATTTAAGATGTTATTTTAATATCATCACAAGATAAAACCTTATAAAAGTAATATTGAAATATTGCTAGTCATATTAAATGTAACTATATGAAGTATGAGGCCTGTAGGCCTTGTGGTTATGGCATAAATTTCAAAAATTTGATTCGCGTGTGGGGAGTTGTTTTTTCCGGCATCAGAAATGTTGCAAAAGGTTTCACCTCGGATGGGAGAATGTGAAGGGGTGGCGGAATATCGCACGGTCCAGGCTGCTGTGGGGCCACAAGCACAAGACGGTCTTAACATTATTGTCCAGCATCGTGCTAATGTTCCTGAGTAGTATCGGCGATAAACCGGGCCCGATACGAGGGGCATCAGAAATAGGATTCCGGATCTGATGTCATCGACTGACACCTGCACGCGCCCGGATGGGGAAGGCCTATCGGGCCAATCATTGGCTGTCTTATGCTCAGCTGCATTCTTTGACTCTGGACAGCTCAGCTAGATATCTATCCTTCCTTGTCGCCAACTGCGAATCCCCTCCCTCCCTTCCCCTCCTACTCCGTAGAACCCTCCCATCATGCACCGGATTGGTAATATCATCGCCCGTGATACGTCCCGGCCATTCATCCGGCCATTCCACTCTCATTCCCACCGCCGCCTCATATCCCCATTCCTATCCCCAAAACACCTCTCCCCCTTCACCAACCATCGCCATCGCCTATCCCCCTCAATAAAACCACACCACCATCTCCAAAGCACCACCACCATGACCTCCCGAACCACCATCCGACCCCAAAACGTCGACGCCCCCCTCACGCAATTCGCAACCTTCCTCATCCTCACCATCAACCCCAGCACCACTCACCCCTCCGCCCTCTCCACCGTCCGCACCACCCTCGCCTCCCTCTCCGATCTCACCAAAAACATCACCATCCGCGACCTCTCCGCCCTCTTCACCTGCACCGTCGGCATCGGCTCTTCCATCTGGGACCCGCTCACCCGTCTTCCCCGTCCGTCCGAACTCCATCCCTTCCCTGAAATCAAAGGCGACAAACACACCGCCATCTCCACCCCCGGCGACCTCCTCTTCCATATCCGCTCTGAACGTCGCGATCTATGTTTCGAATTCGAGCGCCAACTCCTCAATCGGCTTGGCGACGCAGTCACGGTCGTTGACGAAACAGAGGGGTTTCGCTATTTCGACATGCGGGACCTCTTAGGGTTCGTGGACGGAACAGCCAATCCCATCGGACCTGCTGTGCCTGAGGCAGTGCTAGTCACCCAGGAAGCAGACGCAGCGGGGGTCGGGGGGAGTTACATCGTGGTACAGAAATACCTGCACAACATGACAGCATGGAAATCGCTCTCGACAGAACAACAAGAAGCTATAATCGGTCGGACGAAAGCGGATAACATCGAATTAGACGATGCAGAGGATGGCGCGCAGCAATCACACAAGTCCCTCGCTACGATCGAGGATGAGAACGGGAATGAACATGAGATTGTCAGGGATAATATGCCCTTTGGCGCCCCTGGGAAAGGCGAATTCGGGACATATTTCATTGGATATACGGCACGGTTGTGGGTGATTGAGAAGATGCTGGAGAGGATGTTTGTCGGAGAACCGAGGGGGAAACATGATCGGATTTTGGACTTTTCGACCCCGATCACGGGAGGGACATTCTTTGCACCCTCCGCGGGGCTGTTGGAAAGTTTGGAGGATGATTAGACACATTAAATGCATTGCGGTAATTGAAATAGCTAATCAGTAGGGTTCACCCAGGTCAATACCCATGAACCGTGGAAAGCAACGAATCCGGCGTTCCCCCATCATCAACATAAAAGGGCAATTTACTCCGTCGTGTGCGACACAACATATTCAGCAAACACTTTTCGATCCCCTGATGGGCCTCCAGACTCAAATGACTGACTACATCCGTCATCTGCGTAACGTAGGCAAAGGTCCGAGCACCGTTGGGAAACACATCAACAAAATGATCGTGCAGGAACGCGTGCAGCAGATACACGGAACTCTCCCACGCCGAACGACATGTCTCGAGAGCCATATCGAGAACCGTCAAGGCGTTATGAGGTCCGGAGTAGGCCTGCGACACGGATCCCTGTACCAGAATACAAATGGCAAATAGACACGTCAGACGGTCGTAGTCGGATGGTTGATACGCGGAGTGGGAGTGTTCGGCTTCGTGTTCAAAGTCCCCTCGCACGAGGAGAATGGCGTCGTAGAGTGAAGGGAAACCCAGTAGTCCGTCCAGGTATAATCGGGACCACATGCCCATTAGATTGCGCATGTCTTGGATGAACGAGATGAGCCACAGACAGCGGATCTTGTGCAGATCGATAGAACTGCCCAGGATACTTTGCGTGGCTATACGATGATCGGAGATTTCGGAGAGATCATTTGTAGATTCGAACCAGGACGGTTTCGACATTAACGATACCCTGTTTGCAACAGATCAGCTTTACTGTCACAACCACTCAGCCGGGAGGGGGGCAAGGGCACGCACAACCCAACCACCAACTCCAACCTCCAATCACTATGCAACTGATGCAACCCACCCCTAGCATGAATCATGCGCTGCAATCCACTGCGATGAACCTTCCATTCCTCCTCGGTGCCCCAATAGCGCTACGAAGTTGGCATTCCTGTCTAAGCGGGAGTATAGGAACAGGACAAACTCACTTCAAAGGTCAACAAACGAACGACAGCCGCAAAAGCATCATTGCTAAGCGCCTTGTCCGGATCACTCAGCCACTGGCTGAGGATTTTGACCGCGTCGGCTTTAAATCGTAGGGCTTCGATGGAATTGGTGCCCTGGGTGGGGGTAGTAGCGCCGTAGTAATGGGCCAGATGGGCGGCCGAGTGGGCCATGATGGCGTTGAAGGAGGCCGGGTTGGAGAGGTCGAGTGGGAACCAGACGTCGCGCATTGGGTTGAAACTCGGGGCCGGGATGGTTTCGAACATCATGGTGGCGTGGGTGGTTAGCCCTGGGTTTGGGTTAGGATCCGTGGTACGGGGTGGGATGGTGGGGAGTACAGTGATGGATGAGTTTGTGGTGTTGGGTTGTTAGTCGGATGGGGAATGAGTCGAAGGGGTCCAGGGGGCGGTGGAAAGGGCGTGGTTGAATCCGACGAGGAGCTGGGTTGTGATGCCTAGTGGGCTGTGGTGAGGGATGCGAGATGGGGGTGGTGAGGGATGCGAGATGGACGAGGAGGTCGAGCTTTGAGAGGGTTGGCGGATAGGCAGGGCTGCTTTGGCCGCCAGGGTTGGATAGGGTTGTCGGGAGGCCTGTTGCTGTCGTTTCTCGCGACGAGCGCGATGTCGCTCGGTCCAGTGGACACGCATGGCATGGCTCCGGGTGCTGGCCTGGTGGCCGTCCAGGACAAAGGTGAAGCGCGAGGCTTCATGGGGGGTGCTGGACGATGCACTGTCCGGAGCCGGGGTGTCGGTGTCCTGACTAGCCTGCCGGACCGGCGGCATGGGTGGGAAGTGCACGAGACGGGTGTGGAAGAAGTTGAGATAGGGCAATGCTTGTACAGTCTGGATCTCCGATGATATTCGGACTAGAGATCGGACTCAGCCACACCGCCATCTTTGTCGCTAAGCGAGGAGGCGGTGTCTTTCCGACACTAGTCTTTTTGGGTATAGTTGGAATGATGCATTGTTTGTGTTACTCTCAGATACCTCCATGCCATTGAAAGTTGAATCAATAACACTATGATTGAAGAACCGTTGTTTGGTACTAGTGAAACCTTTACCATTGGCAATCAATTAATGTTGGTAAAGGCAGCAACATCGACATATCTTCGAGTATTGAAAACATGTGGACCCAGCCGAGCAAACTTTAATCGGGAGAATATTTCCGGTATCTGGAGACCAGGACAAAATTAGAAAGTTCGGATGATTCAGAAAATGCCTTTCTGTGAATCTAAACGTTTCGAGTTCCCGGGAATGTATCTCAGATGCGTTCTACATCGAGTTCTGACCCACCACATCCGGCAAAGATCTCTCAGTCTCTACCAAAGGCTGCATCACCTCCACCACCCAATCCTGGATTTCCTGTGACGACGGTTTGTACGGTTTCCGGGGCCGGAATGCCTCCGGATCAGTAACACCTGCTTCTGGCCCCGCGAAATAAGCAGTCGCAAATTTAGTTGGCGCTATTCCTTCCTTGCAGGCCCGTTCAGCCAGCGAAATCAATCCCTGCAGCTTCATCGCCTCTTGCACTTGCCCGGCTTTCCACAAAGCAAACAGTTTCACAGTGGACTTTGGGAAGACATTGGCAACGCCGGTCACACAACCTGATCCACCACCACTAAGACACGGGATGAGCCAGTCGGACGATCCAGCGTACACTCCAAACTGCTCGTGCGAATATTCGTGCGTCAGCCGGGTGACCTTACCCGCGTTTCCACATGTCAATTTGACACCGACAATATTGGGATGCTGTGCCAATGTAGCCATGACGTCGGAACTCATGTCCATTCCGTTGCAGATGGCCGGGAACTGGGTCCTGTTAGCCTCGCTCTTTCACCATGTCGGGTGAGAGGAACTCACACTGTAGATAACGATCGGGAGGATAAAGCTGTCCGCAATCTCAGTATAAAAGTCGATGAGAACATCCTTGGTTACAGCTTTGGGCCAGTAACTGGGCGGCAGCAACAGTCCGAAATCAGCGCCAGCCTCCCGAGCTTCTTCGGCGAGACGCAAGGTCTCGTTCACGGATTGACCACTAATTCCTGCCACCAGTGGATATTCATCAAAGCCCAGGTCGCATGCGGCACGTCGAGCTGTCCCTAGTAGCTCCTGTCGCTCGGATGGAGAGAGTAGTACGGCTTCGGCGGTGGTGCCAGCCAAGACGAGGCCGTCCACCCCACTGCGAATGAGATAAGTGAAGAATTTATAAGAAGCATCAAAGTCGACCTCTTGATGACGGCTTCCTCTAAAGAGGGAGATCACCGGACAGAACACGCCGGGGGGCAACGTGGTTCTCTTGGCGGAGATCGTGGAAGTCATGGTTATGTTTTAAATGTTCAGCGACTTTTGACTTGACAAACGTCTTGGCTAGTCAGTAATCAGTTCTGATATGTCACAAATGCGTGGGATGTGTTCATAGCAGACCGATAGTTTTGTAATGAAGCCCTCGGCTTTCTCCCGATGACGCCGGCTCGACATAACCGATGATGCGGGGTAACCATCTTGATCCCTGCAATTCTGGATCAGAAGATTGCCGATCTGGTAAACTTTGAGCGTTATTAAAATACAAAGAGTGAACGATGCGACAGAAATAGTGCTTCAGGTAACGTTTCCATCTCTGCCCATTTATTCACCGTACCTGACGTCCCATCCAATTCCTGGATGGTAACACCTCCTACGCCCGTCCATAATATTTCTCAGGCCCACACACAGCAAGGCTACCAGCACTGCGGGCACGCGGATCCCTAAACCCCTTGTCCCTCTTGAGCCGTGAACAAACTACCACACTCATCCTTAAAAATGACAGACGTCAATTAGGAGAAACCTTACGGACTCGCGTCTTGTTTGTCTAACATTGAGAAAGCTCGGTATGTTTCTCCTCGGCCGAGAGATGAATATATCGAATGGCTTTAGGGAAAGGGATACATGGGAAATTATACTGTGTTCAATAAAGCCTCTAAATCCCAGCATGTCAGTGGCTTGGGGTTCCGTTGTGCCAAACGCTCAACCACTTTGCCATGTTCTCTCTTGATAGTGAATTAGTGGATAGCGAATTAGTGGATAGCGAATTAGTGGACAAATGAATACTACACAACCACTGTAATGGTAGTAATTTAACAGATCTCATCGCATTATTGGACAGTCCTATGAGGGCTCTCGGATTTATTGAGACCTTTGGGGGTGACTGGGATCGTTATCAATGTGGGAAAGCTACTCAAGATGGTGTTTTTTTTTTCTTTACAATAGCATCACGGCTTTGGCCGAGGGATTTAATAGAGAACACGTGATGTTAACTATGCACATGGGAATTATTGGGTCGCGCATAGGTGGGTTCCCGCCGAGTGCATCCAGCGGGTTATGTCTATTTGTGTCTGAAGACGGCCTGTGAAAGCAATGATCCTGGCAAGTGGATCAATGCCACAGAGTGTCCATTGTTCAGCCGAAAAGGGAGGAATAATCACAGTAAGAGACTGTCGCTAGAAGGGATACCATCAACAGAAATACTGTCGTTGCAAATCTGCACATTTCAGATCCAATTGGGAGTAAGCATGCAGGTCAAGGACTGTCAACCCGCAAATAAGCTATAAGAACATATCACTGAGTGAAGGTAGAGCCAGGACATACGCTGTGAATAAGTCCATGCAGTCAAGGGACTGGGATGTTATAACACATCTGGTGGTATTATACAGAATTTGTGCTTGTTGCTGTAGTACAACTTCTCACGGTGCTGGCATTAAGAATGTTGCATAAGAATATCCAGTTCCACCGGTACCTGAGTATTGCCCATGGAGCAGAGCTAAACCTATTCATCCTCAATCGGTTGCACTGCATGCACAGGGATATACCGATACTCCTCCTCGAGCACCGTTACCCCAGGAAGGTCCATACAAACTCTCACGGCTTCCCATGCCGAGTTGTTGATATCATGCATGCCGACACTCACACATATCTTCTTCCTCAATACCCAGGCAATTGCACAGGTATGCATACTCCACTGTCTCACTCGCGCAATCTCCCTTAGCCGCGCAACGATCCTCTCATTTTGTGCAACACCCCAACGATACCGGGGACTTTCATTTATCCGCGAATGCTGCTCAATCAGAAGTCCCTCTGCCAGAGGGTCCCATGCCACGAGACCAATTCCTTCTGCCTTACAGAAAGGATATATCTCCCGCTCGCCCTCGCGATAAAGTAAGTTATAAGGCCCACGGGAGAGGGCAAACGTAGCCCAGTCTTTCATCTTGGCTTCATAATGTAATTTTGCGAGCTGCCAGCAACACATGTTCGAGGCACATAAATAGTTCACCTTGCCCACCTGGACAAGCTCATTGAGTACTCTCATTAGGACCCTGGGGTCTGCGCGTTGTATGTAATGCACCTTAAGTACATCGATATACTGGGTTTTCAGTCGACGAAGAGATGCCTCCACCGCATCCAAAACGAGTTGGCGAAGTGTCCCCACTGGACAGCGCACATCTATCGAAGATGGAATTCCAAGCTTTGTCATGATCACTGCCCTGGTCCGTGGAATTTGGTGCTCGGTAAGAGCCCTCCCCATCAGAGTCTCAGACTTTCCGTTCGAGCAGCAGTTGGTTATATCCCAGGTGTCAATGCCGCGATTATAAGCGTCTTTGAATAAACACAGGGCACTGTCGTCATTCATGAAAGGGGTTCTGCGTTTCGGGCATGAGTTCTCGTGGATTTTCCAATAAAGGATGACCTTTGAAACATCGACTTGACGTTTACCGAGTTGTTGGCTCGGCATTTCAGGTGGGTCGGGTTCCGGAGGGTCGGTGTCCATGACAGGCAATATCCGATTGGACTACTTTGGTCTTTTCCTAGAGGCTACTAACTTCACGCAGTTGTCAAGATCAGCAAGAGGGTACCAGATCGGTCTTCACTTTCCTTGTTGAAAGCAAGGACCTTGGGTAGTTTGTGGAATGATATAAATCCTAACCTTCACTCAAGAAAGATTTTCCCACCAAAAGAGGGCCTGCTAACATAGATCCCTGAAGCAAAACATGTGTTGATTATGCAGCTGCAGGAAGAAGCCAAGTGGTAGACTTAGCCACTGGCCTGGTCTGCACCTTCCCAATTGAGGAACGAGCAATTACCAGAAATGCGTTCATTCAGTCGGCAGGGGATTGGATATGATGCCAACGCTTGGAAACATATGCACCGAGGAACTACATGGTATCTAAAGCTCCTGGGCAGGACAGTTGTGTGGTGATGAGACACTATCCTCATTATGCTGGGCTTCCTGATGTAGTGAATGGGTGGAGATATATAGTGCCTACCACCAATACATTGATATAATCTTCGATGCAGCTGCTGATGCATGCTGCAGACAGCACGTAGGTGTAAATCTATGAGATGATAATCATAGCCTTCGACCGTTCCGCCACATTTGAGTGTTACTGGTTGGCTGCCTGTGATTCCAGGCCGGTTAGCCTTCTCCCAATAAGGGGTCACGTGTGGGTGGGGCTTTCTACTTAAGGCCCACTTCGACCAGTGGTCCCACGCGGGCAACCAGCAGGCAAGACCCACATGAGTTGATACTATGCTTGGTATCGTAGTTTGAGCTGAATCTCTACCTCTCTACCGATGTTTTGATCAATCCCATACAACTTGATCACTTCGCCAGAAAGGTATGGCAGTCTACTCGCTCGTATGTAGCAAAAAGAATGCCCCCGCGCGGATTCGAACCGCGGTCCTCTCCTAACAATAGTCCTAAGAATAAGTGGAGCGCTCTACCACTGGGCTACGGGGGCTTTGAAGCGAAGTATTAGACCTAGCAGATCCTAAATCCTACATTCCGAGTATTCTGCTACGGAGAAATGAGGAAAAAGTCCTGTCCTGGCTTAGATTCGAACGGGAGCCTCTTTGTCGATAAGAAGCAGTCACTTTACCACTGAGCTACAGGCGCAATTTTGCACCTGGCCGAACTTGGCTTGCTTTATATGGATATACTGATTCCCCCTCATAATATAAAAAGGGAATGCAGCTGCACGGATTGGAACGATGGGCCCTGTCCTAACAATAATACTAAGAATAAGGCAGTCCTCTACAGCTGAGCTACAGGCGGCTGTGTTGCAGGAGAAGCTGGGTAGTCCAAATCCAATACCCTCGCCTTTGCCATTCAATGTGATGGATTTCTTCCTGTCCATCTAGAATAACTAAGTAAAAAGCCTAGGAGCGGTCTGTATAGCTGTGATCACCGCGTTGCTACGGAGTACTCCCTGGAAAAGGCTTATTTGAGTCTAACCCATAATTGGCCATGCCAGCTCCACCTATCCGCGACCCACCTCTCTGTGCTGCTCCAATAAAACCTGCCAACTATAATTAGGATCACTCGAGCCCCTCAGCGAGGTCCGGCATTCTCACCTCCGGTCGCATCCCAATCATTCGCGTTGACATCAAACTGGGCCTCTGCTCCTTACAGCAACAGTCCACCATATCAGCATCGGAGACTATGATACCCTTCTAGGCTGCGGACGTGGTACAATGGATCCAATTTGTGCAGGTACCCCACCGGCCCCGCCTGCACGAATCTCACCCCAGGGACGGACTCTCCTTCATAGAGAGACAGACAATGTCGAACCTCTCAACCCTCGAAAGCGAGCGCGTCGTCGCAATCGAACCATCCACGCATGCCTTGAGTGTCGTCGACGGAAGATCAAATGCGACCGACAGGTTCCTACCCTTTTGTTAGGGATCTTCTGTGATAGCATCTGATTTCCCACAGCAACCTTGCGCCGGCTGTCGAGCAGCTAGTCAGCCATGCATCTATGTCTCCTCAGCAAACGGAGACGTGCAGTTTCGTCGGAGGTTAGCCCAGATGAAGGAAGCCAAAGATGCGTTGGACGAGGGACTGGTCGGACAAAGCGACGGCAAGGTTGTGAGAGTGGCATCGTGAGAGACACACTCAAGCCAGAATAAAGAGCCCTCAAGCGAAGAATCTGACGACCTCGCTGGTGACGGTTACCTCCAGCCGACACGACTGGCTATCCAGGATGCCGCCTATGCCCCCGATACAGATGATCAGGTCGATGACATTGGTATTAGGCTGGGTCGGATGCGGCTAGGCGAGAGAATACGAATTGCAGACGAGGTGAGACGCCCTGAACAGAATATTATTCGTCGTGTTTGACAATTGCCACTCCAGTTAGCCCGACCATTGCTTCGTCGAAATATAGCCAGCTCAAAAGTCTGTTCCGTCCCTCTGACAACCTCATCACAAGGATCCTCCAGTTCCGTGAAATACATGAAGTCCGGGCGGTTCTTTACAAATCCATCGGTCGGCCTCGTCTTTGGCTCAGCACAATCAAGTAAATTGCTGATTGACTTTCTGTCTCCCCGGTTTGTCGCTGACAAACTCCTCGAGCGTTATTGGGTCGCTGTACACCCCGTGGCACGGATTCTGCATCGCCCAACGTTTGCCCAGTGGTATGAGACAATGTGGGAACTTGTGAGCAATGGGCACGAAATGATTGCCTCCCTAGGAGCAATCGTACTGGCGATCCTTTTCTCTGTTCCCGTTAGTTTGGATGACGAATATTTGGACGGATGTGATATCTCGCGAGAAGATCTGAAGAATCGCCTGCAGTTGGGGACCGAGACTGCGCTCGACAGAGCGCAACTGTTAACCACCGCGAAGACGGAAACCTTGCAGGCCTTTGTGGCATATATCGTAAATGCCCATTTCCCTGTTCTAATTCTGCATACTGATACACGTGGTATACGAACAGCTTCCGATGTGCTTAGGCGAAGCCTCCCGTGCCCATTCGGTACTTGTAGGCATAGCAATACGGTTAGCAGAGTGTATGGGCCTCCATCCTGACCCCATAGAGTATGTCTATCCTCCAGTAGAATGCCAGATCCGGCGATTGATCTGGTACCAAATTTGCTTCTTGGATTTGCGAACCAGTGAGATACAAGGCCCGCGACCGTTTATTCAACCGGATGGGTACACTACCCAACTTCCATTGAGTACACCTTTACCCACTATGTGGAACGATATGGTGCTGTCAATGATCCGCTTTGAATGTCAAGAAATGCATCGCCGCTGCTTGAGGCTGCACAGTCACGTTGATCAAAAAAGGACAAGTCTCACAAAGGTGATAGCGGAGCTGGAAGCGTTTCGCATCGGGATGGACAAGAAGCATGGCCCGTTGATCGACGGCTCTCCCCCTCAGCAGCCAATCCAGAGCATGGCATGCCTGGTCTTGAAGCTCATGGTGAGCCTACTCTATATTTGTCTCTTGCATCGCTACATGGACAGCGTGTCATATCGGATCCCGGACTGACTGCGCCAAATCGTTCTCAGCAAAGGTACTGATGCACTGGAAGCGGCAGTCGAGTTGGAATCGGACGAGAAGCTTCATCAGTAGTCTTGGTACAGCAGCTCCTATCATCAATATCACGTTGCGTTCCTGCTCTTGTGCGCAGTGTTTGCATTTCCTCTCCGGAAAGAAGCGACTCGCATCTGGCGTTGTCTCGATTTTGTTTTTGCCGAGCCTCTGAGGAATGTTGCTGGCGTGCGAATATCGGAAACGCTGACACTTCAAGAGATCATTGACTATCGCTATACGAAGGGTCATTACCTTATCACCACCATATCCGAACGGATGCACGTATACCAAGCTTCCAAAAGGTTGAGGCTGCCTTCGAGCTTCGATGATTCAATGTTTGTCATCACTCCTCAGGTTGTCGAGGACGCGGATCCCACGATGCCTCTGAATTGTGGCCATGACAACCCGGAGGCATCCTCGGAATATCCGACCGTGCAAGATTCTATGCCTGGTCTAAATAGCACAGAACAAACACACAATCACCCTTTCGGGGGCATCATCACTCAGTTAAGTCATACTCTGAGACCCTGGTCCAATATACAGCCTGCTGGATCCCAGTATTCGACGGAGGTGCATTGTCAAGAACCGTCTTCGTATCATGGTGTTGAAACTAGGCTTCTAGCCGACGGTAATGACTTAGGGAAGGTCTCTAAAGGGTCGCAGGACCCTATTACAAAGATACATCATACGGGCCTCAACTACATCCCCATTGATATTGATGCATAGATGTTGGAAATAGATTTGGTTAGTTACGCCTACGCTCGAGATATCACTTACTGTCTACCATCTGTCCGCTGACGTCTACTTTTGTAGAACCTCTGGGACACAGTGTTTCCACCTGAATACAACGATGGAAATATCGACATTCAAGGTGGTGCTTGGTGAGTACTTCACAAGCCATGATAGAGATACATTCTGGGATTTTGGAAAGGATCCAGACATAGATATTTGTGTTGCAAACTGGCCGAATTACAGCCTCAGGCATCAAGGTGTCGCAGCCTTGAGTCCTCAGGCCACTGACCCAGGATTACCCTCTGGCTCCTACTACCAGCTTTCCTGTGGACTGGTATTGAATCAAGTGACTGTCGATAGTCACTCGTGTAGAAGGCTTCACATCGCCTAATATCCAATTAATTCATTGTATCTCTCGCCGTTCTTCAGGTGAAGAATAAAGACCATCTAAGTACATTATTGATGAAAATGAGTCACTGACGTCTCTGCTCCGATAATTATAATTTACTTGGAGCTATCCATGATCCATTCTCAAGATAATCATTCATCCTACCCATTACCTTACAACTTGATATTCACTAGTAGCTCTCTCCATGGATATATAAGCCTGGAAAGGACGACATCCCATTTCTCTTCTTCAGCCTCTATCATACCAACCTAAACTTACATGTCCCAGTTTTTGTGCGAAGCTACCTACAATAGGCCCAACACTTTACTCAAATCAACGGACTGAATTATCACGCGTACACAATTTCTGCATTATTTATTGCCAGGTAGACATATTCACTATAGTCGCTCTCAAGAAATATGTCCTACACGGAAAATACAGACCGACCTCTACCAACCAAACCCTCAGAGCTATCTGAGAACCGAAGAAGGCTCTAGAACACTTGGTTGTTTCTAATGGGGAGTGACAAATTCCAACACTTCACAATACATGGGACTATGTTCTAATCTTCCTATTGATATCGGAGAACCGACATGAGATATTAATTAGAACAGTCTAATAAAGAAATGCCCTGGCGGAGTATCTCAACAAAGAAAGGCTAGCAACCGAAATTAATCAGGTTTTCATCAACCATTGATTGTCTTACAGCAAGGCGTATTGCTCGATTCATGAACCACATTGAGATGGACGTGCTCTCTCGCGTTGCATACGATAATCATGCTTTACTGGAAATGGCTATTAGCAGCTGGCAACCTCCGGCGTTCGGGGGGAAGGCATATGGTTGGGGAGTTTCTTACAATCATAACATCATCATTCAAGATGATTTAGTGAGGCAAATGGTGACAGGCAGTCTCTCTTCACATACTATAAGGGTCTGGCTGAGCTTATTATTTCGCAATCCTCAGATCAAATATTATACTGAATATCCCTCTAGATGACGATTCCATCGACGAATGTGGTTGCCTGGATTAGGGGGCATATGTCTAATCAGTGTGCCACAAGGGCTGGGATTTGGATGGTGATATCCTCCAATATATTTGACAGTTGTTTAGCTGGACGTGTTACTATGAGAATACGCCCGAGGCTAGTACAGCTTGCGACTGGAGTAACAAAGCTCAGCAATACTTAATGATCTATTACAAGGGTTCAACTTAACAAGTTCAAAAATATCAAGATCCATCCTCTTACAGTCACCCAAATAATTCCTGGATGAATAAATTTCGCCTTCCTTTCCATTCAAGTCGACTCGCCTCCTGTATGGATATCTGCGATAGTTCGGGTGTCTATAACAATGGACAATTGCATACCACTTCTGAAGCAGATGACAGTGTGATAAGGGATCAACAGATCCACCCTAGCCTACGCATTTGACTATACAAGTCCGGGAAACTGGCGAAACTCCCTGGTACTCTCGCTCCTCCTGCTGCGATGTTGTTTTCCACAGCCTACTCACTCAATAAAACGCCCCCCTCTATCCCGACTTACGCCAGACAAAAATTGAACAACAACCCGGGTTGAGCTTATATCGTTAGCTCACCTAAAGAAAAGAACCACCCAGGAAATTCTGCCCGGATGCAACATATACCCCTACGCGCCCGTCATGCCGTAATACAATCCCCATTCATTAATTTTACAATGTGTATGTGGATTACAATCACTGTTCACACTGCAAAGCCAGACTGTTTTGTTTTCTCCGTGTCCGTGACGTGCCTTGCACTTGAAACAGGAGCATGATTGTTTGGATCCGCCTATGCTAGCGTCATTGCAACGGATCGCATGTGAGACTGTCTCTACCCGCACGGCTTGATAATGTATGCTATCTGACCGATGAGAGTCATTAACGCTGCCAAATGCGATTGCGTCCTCGTCCTGCTCTGGATCACCATCTCGATCACAATGTTTTTGTGAGGGCATGAGGTCTTGGTAACGACTTCATGGATGTTGATGGTGAGTTTATTAGGGTTTCAATGATTTGGTTGCGATTTTGTCCAGTTGTTTTACGCGGCGGGGGCAGTGGCTGAATGCTATGAAATTAAGGATAGTATGGATGTGGGGCATATGTTGTGGATAGGGATAAAAGTGATGTATTCTGTGTCATCTCAACTCCATTCTCGTTGTGGCTGTGAGGTGCGAGAATAGTGATAATTTACTGGGAATATTAGATAACATCAAGAACACGGATATTTTATAGCTGGACAAAAGAATAAAAGATAAATTGCGCTGTATGAACCATACCTCTTCAAACATATGCATCCATTTAACCCTATTCATGGAACGGCTCAACAGTGAAAGTTTTAGCCAGCTTTAATAGAGTATACCCAATTGAATAAAACCTACATTGCGATAAGGCAAGCTTGGTGTTGCCTGATGGCCGCTACCGCCAACCAAGCGCAAAGTGGATGGCCTCCAGTCTCTGCCCGTAGAAGAGGACTGGCCGTCCATCCCGTAATGGACAACAGAAAGAAGTAAGGTACTCTACTACTGACACTGCCCATTCCTCACGCGCCATTATTATCTAGCACTTCCAGTAGTTGATGCTCAGGAGCCCAAGTTGTAGCCCAAACCCTTACGGCCGTAAGCTCTTGTGGCTAAAGTGGTGGATCCACGCCATGGACCGAGCCCCGGTCATGATTCGCCAGCCACGCAAAGATAGGAGACTATGCGCCAAGTTACGCACGTAACGATCTTACTCCAGAGGTCCTAATGTAAATTGGGAGTGAGGTGTGTGGTTGGGGTATAAAAAGAGCTGTCACCCAGGAGGAAGATGACCTACTCATTCCCAACGAGGCATTCAAGATTGGATCCTTACTATCATTAAACGACCCATTATAAGTCATAAACATGACACTTTCTCTTGTCAGCGACGGATCCGGCTTCATCGGTCTGCATCTAGTGAGCCTGCTCCTCGAAAAAGGCCAGAAAGTGCACACCACCATCCGAAGTCTCAAGAACATCCCCAAATGCAAGCCCCTTCTAGACCTCCGATCCAAATACCCTGGACACCTCTCCCTCTTCGAAGCAGACCTCATGAAGCCCAACTCCTTCACTCAAGCTATGCAAGACTGCACGATCATCTACCACGTCGCTTCTCCGTTCCTCGTTCACAGCAGATCAAAGACGGAGTAAAAGACTGCGTCGAGCCAGCTCTGCAAGGTACTAGGAACGTCCTGGAATCAGTCAACAAATGCCAGACCGTTCAACGAGTAGTCCTGACCTCCTTCAGTACGTCCCCTCATCCATCGAGTATTCCAATCCTATCTAACCCTTCCAGTTGCAGCCATGTACGGCGATTGCATCGAAATCGCCTCCCGGAAGGACAGCACTCTGTCCGAATCCTGCTGGAACGAAACCAGCAGCACCACAAACAACCTATACCGTTATTCCAAGGTCATTGCCGAACGCGAAGCGTGGAAGATGCAACAGGTCCAGAACCGTTGGGACCTCGTGGTGATTAACCCCGGGTTGGTACTTGGTCCCTCGTTGTCCCCCGGGTCTTCCTCCGGGAGTTTGTTCATGGTTGAGAATTTGTTCCGTGGTGACAACAAAATGGGATGTCCGGAGCTGTATTTCCCTATTATAGACGTGCGGGATGTGGTTGAGGCGCATGTCAGAGCTGGGATGAACCCTGTAGCGAAGGGAGGGTATATTGTTGCGGGGGATCGGAGTATTTGTTTACTGGAGATGACGGACCTGGTGAGGCCGGTTCATCAGAGTCCAAAGGTGTTGCCTCAATGCTATCTACCGAAGCTGCTAGTATATGCGGTTGGGCCGTTTATTGGGGTGTCGATGAGGCGGATTGCCGGGAATATCGGGGTTCGGTTCAAGGTTGATAATTCGAGGAGTGTGAGGGAGTTGGGCATGTCGTATCGGCTGGAGGATGAAGTGGTTAGGGGCCATTATGAGGATTGGGTGAAGAGTATTGGGAGACGGTGATTGCTTGGTAGTGGCTTACTGGTTGATATGGTCCTGAGCGGACGGTGTATACTGGGTTCACGGTTATCTGAAGTCCTGAGAAATCCACAATGAAGCATTCGATATCCTATGAGCTATGGACTACATACAGCAGATAGCATCTTCTAGGACGGTGACAATAATTCCTCAGCAGCTGCTGTGATTTCTGGTGAACGGATCACGTGGCATCGATATTGTATTCACGTTTCTCAGCGTGAATCACTTCGGCAGTCGGAGGGATTCTCGTTCCGGTGTGGAAACCTAGCAGCACTTCTCATCGTGTATCTCTTGTGTTCTTCCTCTCATTTCATCATCCTCTTCATCTTTGTGTAAACAACGCGAAGCTTCGTATGGACTAAACCTGTCAAATCTCCTGATATCCATCAACTTGCTTAACCATGTTCGCTACACTGCTGAAAGCTCTGTTACTTCTCTTCTGTCTCGTGCTCGTTTCTCGTCTTTTCTTCCTCGCTGTGATTGTTCCTTGGTTGATCAGAGATCCCCATGTCATCAAGGATCCTGCCAAGTGCCGGCTGGTGATCGCCGCTGATGGCAGCTTTGTCGGCAAACGAAACCTCTTGTCTCCGGTGAAATCGCGTGCACTGTCAAACACACGGATCCAGGCTGCCTTTGGAATCCACAACGCGTTCACCAGCGGGGACCATGACTATGTGGTCGAATTCGTTACCAAAGCCAAGGAGTACCTCAACGTCAGAGCAGAGGACTGGGTGCAAAGAGCGGATTCTCTCCAAGACGCCGCGCAGGTCTGGGTTGAGCATCCCAATGGGGAAATCCACCTCGCCAGCATGGCCCAGTCCCTTACTCTGCGGTTCATGATGTTGACACTCTTCGACACTCATTTCCGCCCGCCTCACAACACCAACTCCTACCTCGCCGGCTTTGCTCGGGCCATTAACCAGGCTTGGATGTTTGCGAAGGAGGAATCCGGGCTGATCCGCTTCAACCACAACGACATCCTGCGTGATAACATCACGGCCTTTTTCCCGGCATACGATTTCATGCAAGGCACCGACAACCCGCTCAACTTCATCCTCCCGGGTTACGAGACCACCTGGCGCGTTGTCATTCGTTTGTTTCTCGAGATCCGACGTGCTCGGAACCAGGACTGGATCGACACTATGGCATTGTATGCCCTGGAGCCCACCAAGATCAACTTTCTGGACAAGACGCGTGGTGGTGTGTCGGTCGAAAATCTAGTGATGGAGGCCCTTCGTCTGTACCCACCTACCCGACGCATCCATCGCACATTCCATTTCGACAACGAGAAGAAGAGCACCGTCGATGAAGTCTCGTACTCGGCTGATATCGAGGCCTGCCACTTGTCGAAGAAGATTTGGGGTCGCGATGCTCTGGAATTCAACCCACTCCGCTGGGCCCATGTGACCAATGAGCAGAGCGACGCGTTTATGCCCTTTGGAGCCGCGCCTTTCGAATGTCCGGCGAAGCGTGTGTTCGGTCCTCGGATCATCGCCATCGTGGCTTCGATGATGGTCGGAGAAGTGGAGGAGCGAGGAACTTGGAGACTCGTCGGCCGTGATAAGCAATCTGCTGACGAGTATGTGAAGGGGGTCCGTTTGGATAACGATCGCGGCGCGTACGACGATCTATTCCTTTACCTGAACGACGATAGCGAGGAGGAGTATTGATCGCTTCCTCGTTCCATCGTCTATTCTCCCTTTGCATCGTCTTTGGCGTCTCGGTTGTCGACTGCTCGGTGGGATGGGTTTTTCGTGGTCTGGTGCAGATGGTGAATGGTGCAAGGCCGTCTCGTGGATTGCATTGGCTTGATTGTATTTTATCTAGATGTCGCGTTGAGCGTCGTTAGCGGATGACTTGTCTTCAAGCTTGATACCAATGCAATATTGATTGATTCTCACCTTCCAGAAGCCTCCAGGGAGGCCAATAACGTCAGGCAAATTACCCCTATTGAAACAGAAACTCCCTCGCCACATGAGATATCCTGCCACCGTGGCCAACAACGGAGCCACGGTGGCAGAGAGCGTTGATGAGTACGGTGTAGCAAAAAAGGGTGAAATTGCAATTGTTCCAACTGGTTGAGGCAGGTTCGTGGGTGACACTTGACACGAAGCAGCTGCTTCTACTGCCAAATTTCCACCACGAAGGATCTTCCCGTTATCTAGCAGGAATTGAAGTAACACACACCCAGTGAAGCGGCCCACGATTGGTTGACTCCTTGTGAATTTGCGGGCCAGCTCAGGGGGTGCATTTGGCATTCTTTGTTGTCTCTGCCAATCACGAATCCAAAAGAATATTAATGCACGCTACTAATGCTTGGCGGGGAGGAATACACCCTTCGTTTATACTCGGTGGTTCAGGTGGGTAGGATTGAGCTCCAGCACTCATAGCAAGTTTTCTCACCTTCCGTGGTTGCCTTTTGTAGATGTTCCTAACAATTGCGATTCCAGGTCCCGCAAATCCTCCGGCTTCACAAGGCAGGTCTGTTTACTCTATAGATCCCCTCCTCGGTACTACTGCTGACGGTGATGATCTCTGGGATCTGCGTGTTGACTCGCCTACGTCCCTTCCTGGGCCCGAGCTGGAAAGCTACCCCGTTTGGGTATATAGCCCGCCCTTGATCGTTTACGCCTGTCGAATACACCATCGGATTGCCCTTCCTGGAATGAGGCCGATAGGGCAAACCATGCATCACAACTCTACAATGCGAAAGGTCCCGTTACATAGATCCAGAACGACTGGGAGGTTTGACACGAGTGCTTTGCGTCAATTAGACTCAAGATGACAACACATTTCTGGCCTGGATGTAGGATGGCATCACCGTGTACTCTGTCTTTAGCTTCCTGTAGGTGATTTCACGGACGAGACCATTCTCCTCCTCACGCTGCGATATTCTACCCCATTCCATGTGCTCTGTCGCTCCCGTGCACAGCGCCTCTGGGGCAATGGGTTTGAATATTTTATGTGAGCACGAAAGAAGGATGAACGACAGGTAATAATTGATAGGAATTAACATGTTGGTAGTGGTCATAGATGGCCTTAGCAGCCCCAGGGGACGCAATGCTGAAGTGGATAAACTTATCGAAAATGCCGCAGCTTTGACGCGGGCAAAGGCTTCACTGTGCTGTACATGACCCACACAAAGTTCCTGGCACAGAACCCAGTGACATGACTATGGTTATCAGCTGCATTTCTCGGTTCGCTCACCACCTTATGATCTAGCTAACCGATCATCAAGAACATCTCAGGGAAGCTTCGCCAGAAACTACATCTCCACCATCAAACATGGTCATTTTTGACTCCCAGGGGAAATAATGAGAAGGACCACTCCCAATGCAATGAAGGCTTGACGCTCTAGGATGCTTCCTCACATCTACAACCGGTAGACGACCCAAAATATTTAATAATTGGTCACCTAGCTGAGGTATCTGACTGTAATCCCATGTGTGTGACGCTCACCAACCCCTGCCAGATGCTGTACGCGGAGAAACTCCTCGGCATAACATGCATCACTTGCATCAAGCTCTCATTGCTAGCCTTCTTCCACACCCTCTTTTCGGTCTCGGACACCTTCCGGTGGTGTAACTGGGGCATGGTTATTCTTTGCATAGCCTGGTGGCTTGTCTTCATGATCGTGAACATTTTTATGTGCCGCCCGATCCACATGATGTGGGACTCAATAGTATCCACCGAATACTGCATCGCCAGAGGACGTCTCTGCCTCAGCATGGGAGTGTCCAACATCATACTGGACGTCATGATTCTTTGCCTGCCTCTGTCCATGTTAAAGGCCCTGCCGCTGACATTCGGTCAAAAATGCCAAGTCGCGGGCATTTTTCTTCTGGGTAGACTGTATGTTGCCTCTCAAAAGGTTGCGGGGATACACTAGTCGCTGACAGTTCCACAGGGTTTGGATTGCCAGTATGGTCCAGTTTGCCTACATCTGGGATCCAACGGATCCTCAGTATGTGCGCGCCCCGGAGACATGTCTGTAGTCGCTAATCCAGCTCGGAGTTGCCACCTTGTGCGCTTGTTTGCCCGCATACGCCCCTCTATTTCGTTTCGTCCAGCGGAGACTGCGATCAAGGAGCTCGAACGACAACGTTTACGGCGATTGCCCTCACTCGCCCTATAATCGAATGCCCATGACACTGCCGGACGGGACATATGCGGGCAATGACTTGTGTCGGATGGATTCCTCGGGCCGGATCTACATGGAGCAGAACGTGGACGCGAACGTGGGCCAATTACGCAGAGCATTGGTGCGACATTCCCGTTCATCGCTGAAGGCCCATCCGGTATCTCATTACTAGCACCATTCTACGGTTTGACCGACAGTCGCTGCTTGGCAGGAATCTCATGATATCCCAACGGCTTAATATCCGAAACCTCCCTCTTACACATCCTCCCGCTGAGGACTGAACAATCTGTCGATCATGTACAGAAATTCGCCAGTATGACTCGTCTCTTCGAGAATAGCATTTCTGACCGTGCCGATGGCAGCCACCACACAGCAGCAATCCGTATGTCCTCTGTCTCAATTTGTCACGGGGCTACTCCTTATCATTGGGAGCTCAAAGGCTTTTACGCGATGCAGTATAACAATCGAAGAGGCACGATGTCGACTAAACAAGGAATATGGATGATGACGTTGACGACATCTGACTATATGAGGTGCTGACTCTATTGAAGCTATGACGATTCATGCATATGATAACAATATACCAACCAGCACTCCAACCAGCTAGCATCTCTGCACATACAATATCATCAATTCTATACCCCTACACCTTTATAACCTTCTCCTCTCGCCCGCATAATACTCTCATGCTATGCCAAAATGCACTTCTCCGTAGGACTTCGTCTCGGTGACGTACTGAATGCACGCTCATCGCCCGTAGCAATCCGAAAATGGACGTCTCGAAGCGATCATCCTCCATGTGAACCTCTTTCAGTGATATTTCAGAACTTACCCTTCTCTTATCAGAAGATCTAATCTCATCCCGGGATCACAAGTTGGCCATAAATCCAGAACCTAACAAATATACTAACCAGCGGGTCTTCAATTGTTAATCAATATATAAAAGGAGGGCGAACAATCGAGGGACGAAACAAGAATAAAGTAAAGAAAACTGTGAAGTAAATTTCTACTCTCTTCTCACTTTTTGTCTGATACCCATCCATCCAGTAACACAAACAACTCCCTTCTCACTCGTCTACGATACGAATTCTCCCCAAATTTTATTCACCATCTACATACTAATGAAAATTTCATTCCCCCTCATTCAAAACATCCTACCCCACCACCAAATCTTCCCCCAGACTTAAATCCTCCACACACCCCCCACCCCCACCCCAACCCCCAAACCGCCCTCGCAGCATCCACCCACCTACTCCCGGGGTTCACCACATTCTCCCACGTCCAAAACCTCCTACACCCCGCGGCCTCATAAACAAACTGCAAGGGCACCTCCCCTTCATCCCTCCGATACGCACTCTTAAAATTAACCGCGGCGCTCTGGACATAAAAGGGCAATTTCTTCGAATCGAAAAACACCTCGTCTAAACGATCCCTCATCTTCTCACTCGGAGCATACTGCATCGCCGCGTCGCGGAGGGTATCTATATAGTTTATTTCGACGTCTTGGTTTCCTCTGGATCCGCCGATGGTTTGCATGGGTGTTTGGGTGGGACGGCCGCCGTAGACCAGGGTTTTGATATTGGGGTGGGAGGTGGTCATTAGGGAGAGGAAGATTGTGCATGTTGAGGTACAACTTCCATCCGTTATCTATAAGTTTATCAGTCAGTAGGTGAGGTATAGTCTAAAGTGTAGGATAGGAGGGAAGGGGTAGGGGCACATACTATCAGAATATCCTCCGCCCTAAACGGCGCCGTAGTAGGAACCTGCTCTATCCCTCCATATCCCCGGATCGGATTTGTCAAATCAGAAGAAGAATCCATATCCTGGGGTGCAACAAGCGTAGACATATTCCCGTGAAATTGTTCTTCGGGACCGAAGATCTCCGTCCAGCTGGTGTAGTGATATGTTTGGTTTGGAGTCACCCATGAACTTACGCACCAGTTTGTGGTACTACATGCGTCGGTCTCTGTGTTATTTTGGTCTGCTTGAAGAGAGGCAAGTGCCTGACCCGCTAAATCAGCCTGCTCGATAGCCCGGAACCGAGAAGCAGCGTAAATAGGCTCATCCGGGAAGAAAAGACGGAACAGGTCGTAGCCGCTGTTCACGTAACCTCCGCCGTTGAGGGAGAGGTCAATGATGAGTTTGGTTTTGTTGGCGCGGAGAGCGGATTGGATGAAGGTGGTTGCGTTGTTGGCGAAGTCGGTGGGTTGGGTGGGGGTTTTGTCGGGGAGGAAGGAGGGGATGAAGAGGATGGCGATGTCTTGCAGGTCGGAGTCTGGCAGGTAGTAGCCTGAGATGAGGTTGTAGGCGTCGCGCAATTCGGGGGGTGGGTAGAGTGTGGATGCCGGGAGGGGGTGGATGTTGAGGTGGAAGAGAGGGAAGGGGAGGGAGTGTATAGACATGTGGCTTCAAGGAGAGCTTGGCCTGTGGTGTAGTTGAAATTGGGGAATGAGGAGGATGCCATGGTGCGTTGTTGGAGGGTGGTTCCGTTTGCGAATTGGATCTTGTGGTGGGCACGGCCGGGCCAGAGGGATCGGGTGGCAAACGCGCCGATCGAGCTCTGTTGGAGGATCTCACGGGGTGGGTCGTAGAAGAGTTGGTTGTAGCTGTGGGTTGTTAGTCTGAAGTGAATGAGCTGATTGTGGGAGGGGTGTACCGGGCATCAGGATCCTGGTAGGTCTGCGAGCTAGCAATATCGTTTAGGGCATCCACCGCCGGCTGACCATTGATGGTAACCACCGGGGAAACGGTATGAACGCCTTGGTCCAGCAAATCGGCATCACCAACGGTGTAGATTTGTGGAAGTTTGATCCCATCGGTGGAGATGGAGACCAATTCAAGACCGAGTGTGAAGGTGAATATCGAAGTCGAGCATAGTGTGGCCCAGAGATGACCGTCGTTGGCAGAGCTCAAAAGGCTCGTGATGTTGCTGTCAAACTCGTACTGGCTGCTATATGCCCCTTGAGCCGCTTGGGCTTGGATGCGATCCAATCCGCCCAAGATATCGACCGCTGGAGACAAATATCCGGACGGCGGGTCTTTGAGGACATCCAGAGTGGATTGCCACTCGATGAACTTGCGGAACTCCTGGACGAAGAGCGTGCCGTTGTGGGAGTCAAATGGCATGGAGAGCAGGCATTGATGGGCTAATTCCCCGTCTACGATGATAGAATCCGTTACTGGGTATGGTCAGCATCCTCAGTGGTGGGAGGTTTGAGTGCTTACCGTTCAGCCTTGTAGCCTGGTCATATTGGGCCTTAATCTGCAAACAAGCCTCCGTCTGATCCCGGCTGGGGTGCATGGTGCGACTCGGGGCTGCCGTGACAGACAGCCCCACTGCTAAGACGAGAAGACAGGGGAGCTTGGAAGCCATGGTGCATTGCGATGAGATGAAAAGGTTGAGCAGAAAACGTTGTTGAATGCCATCAGCGTCTCTATATAATCCCTCGGATGAGGCTGTAAAAGCTGGAAATAGGCCATCCCTGTAAATCGCTCATCTGTCGCACTTGAGTCATCCTAGTGAGGACATGGATGTATCCAAACTACATCCTTGATGAGCGGAAGTAGATCTGACAGAACGTGTGGCCGTGAGATTAAGGAATATACCCAGGTCCAGGCAAATGACTTATTATTTGTCCCGATCATGAAGGTATTCTCTCGCGCATATTCCATTCTTCTAATCCTCGCCCAGGGAAAAGACAAGGTCAATCCCTGATCTCAGGATACACCGGTTGCCTATTATCAGTCCGCTCAGATACAGCCTCCACCACCTGAAGGAGCAATACGAGCCGTCATCTTCTGCGTGAATATCGACTGTGCTCGCTTCATGAAGCACACAAGCTTAGAGACCAACAAGGCTGGTAAAGGTTGTCACGCGGCCGGGCTCTTGGTCAGCTTCCAGCGGTGGAGAGTCGTACACTCTCATTTTAGAATAACACAATGGGGCTGTGCGCGGTGAATGTGCCACATTGGCTCCTCTGTCAGGCGGGCCGTCTGGATCTATTTATAACGTGTAGAGTCATAATTGAGATCATGCAGGGATACTGTTAGATGAATATATCCCCCTCTCATGATGAATTTCGAGAATGCGTTCTATGGGGAATTCTTGCCGTACATTTGCAAGGATGATCCTTGTCGCGTATATCATACGAGAACACAATTCAACAGGTATACTCGCATAATTGATTGACCTTAACAGCATATGAATCATCCGGCAGATGATCGGTCTGGCCATCAGCAAACACATTCAAGGCGGTAGACGTGCACATCTCCGACACCAGTCAGGTCATCAATCTCCCAAACCTCTGCTTGTGCTGTTCCCAACACGGATCCAAGCTAGAATAGACGACATGAAGCCGTTGACGTTATTCGCCGCATATGTTGGAGTTTCCCTCACAGGAGATATCATCTCCACCGTTCCCTTGGTGACTAGATTATAGATCCAGGTGTCAGTGCTCCGTACAACCTCAACCGCTCGTTGTTGGCAGTTTTCTGTTTTGAGACAGTCTTGCACGTAGTTTGAAAACCAGCTGTACAGACCTGAATGCAAGTTAGCAAATTACCTCCCTGTTGGAGTCCACTCACCCGCCCCCATGATATATATCGATGTGGAGTCAACAATTCGAACTGCCCACGACATCGCACAAGTACTTGAGCTGGATGGACAGTCTGAAAAGGTTGGGTCATTGGCAAACAATCCGGTTCTAAACGGAACAGGGGCTTTAGGAGCCGGCTGATAATACGGAGACTCAGTCTGGATCATCGCCATGTAAAGGTCCTTGGCCCCGGACATCTGATACTGATAGAAAACATTGTGCTCGGCAGTCGTTCCGTACATCCAGGTAGGGCCCCGGCTCTCGATCAAAACGCCTCGGGCGGCGTAGACATCAATCTGGTCTTGTTTCACATTGGCGTCCAGATCGTGATCCGCTGTCCATGGCCATACGTTCTCGAGATAGGCGGAGGATTGCGCGGTGAGATGCAGCAAAAGGGTTGCAGCCCGGCATTGTGCATTGACCCGACCTGTCCCCTTTGGACAATCCTTGAGCTGCAAGCCTGAGCCAATGGCACCACCGACGCGAAAGTGGGAATCTGGCAGATAGTAATTAGCATGTTAACAGACCGAGGGAAATTCTACGCACCCCAGAGTCCAGCCGAGCCCTGTGTTGACTGGTGGATATTCCACTCCATCAGGACTGCACCCGCAGTAGGGCCGGACACGGTAAACAACAAGCTCTGGATTTCAACAATCCCAGCGTCTCCTGGGTTGCCCACTCGCACTGCCACGTGAGGGTGAATCTCATCCTGAAATCTGGAGCCCGTGGCCATGATCTGGGACCATGCTTGACCGATAATTCGGGAGCCAACGGGAATGTGGAGGGTATCTCTGACCAAGTAGACACCGAACGGAAAGAAGACGACCGATGACGTGCTGGCTGCTCGTTGCAGAATACTGTTTAGGGTCGCCGTGTCGTCCGTTCTCCCGTCGCCGGCGGCTCCATGAGCCTTAACATCAATGATTTGGCTGACCGGGATATCCGTATAGGCCGGTCGCCGCCGCTGGAAGTAATTACGAACCACTTGCCCATTAATTGTGGTCAGAGAACTGCTGCGGTTCATCGCCGGAACCGTGGCCCCGTTGTAAAAGGTGCTGCTGGTGCTGGTCTTGGACACGCGGCCAAACCCCCACGACTCGACCCTGACCAGGGAGCCACCCCCCATCAGGGTCTGGCCTTTGGACCGGTCCAACACCGCAGTTCCCACGGAGACAAATGCCGAGTTCTGAATCAGGAACGAGGTGACATTCTGGGCCAACAACGACGTAACGATACCAGTTTTGGTGGAAGCGATGACGCTATCGAGCACGATCAAGGATCCAACTCCTTGCCCAGTGCTTCCGGAACCCCCAGACTTGCGGTGTTGTCAGTCACACTGAAAGGGAAACTGGGACTCGACACCTACACCTCCTACAATGACGATCCCGTCCGTGCAATTGTTGATGACCAGGTCCTGCATGGTCCACGCCCAATCCCAGTGGATCTGCACGGCGGTCTTGCAATTCAAAAAGGTAAGTCGCGAAGTAGTAAACTGCTGGTTCCCAAGATATGCTCTGACCGGCATTAGCTGATGCAATGATAGCTGATCTGACACCTACCCAAAGTTTCCGCCGACGAAGGTGAGATTGGTGAGGAATCCACCACTGCCGTTTTCCATATAGATGCCCTACTGCCATTAACCCTTGTCACAAAGTCACGACTTGCAAACACACCTGCTGCGTTGTCTTGCCATCTTGCATCATGTAGAATATGATGTTTTCGAGCGACGTCGCTTGCGCTACCTGCCAGTGGATCGCGCAGACGTACGCATTTGGGTCTGTCCGTGTGACGTCCATTTTGAAGTTGCGAATGGATCGCAGGAAGTTGTTCGTATTCACATACCTACCCGTGTCAGAGTGAAATTGGTAGTCTTGATAGCACCTACATACCACTCTTCTTTGTCACTAATGTAAACATCCGACGTAATGACCCCGAGGCCGACGAAACTCGAGGCCGCCAGGATGGTTGGGTAGTCGAAGGGCTATACTCGTTAGAGGTGCACTTGGAATGTATTTTGCATGATTCACTACGAACATTACCATAGAATTCGGTATTGTAGTATTGGATTATGGGCGAGCTGACAAGATAAGTCCCCGGTGGAAAGTATACAAACGCAGGATAGATTGTGCTCGATCCGCAACCTTGACCACATCGCCCTCCATCCGAGACAGCCTTGTTGATCGCCGCAGTGTCGTCGGTGACACCATCCCCTACCATGTAGATGAGCGGATTTTGTGTCTGGGAAGGGCATAGAACTCACCTCGAGCACCGTAGTCTTTGACGTTCCTCCACACCTGCAGAAGGTGAGAACAGAAACCGAATTGTATCAGAGGGATGCACCTTGTAGCCCGCAGGCGCGAATGGACTCGACCCTCTCTGCTCAATTGTGGTCATCCAAAAGTCCGTAGACTGTGCCTCAAAAGTAGTCTGTGGTCCGATTATTTCTGTTGGGCTTGGTTGATGGCCGCTCGAGGATGTATCAGGCAGGCTCCCCCTATATCGATTAGAAATCTGGGCGATGTCAACCCCATAGTCACTCGGAAGGGGTAGAGGGGAAGCCTCGGCCACGATGTGCGCGGCTTCAGCAACCTGGCGGGGGACTCGATATCGGAAACCTTCGATAATTATTCCATTATCATATCTTGCGGGAGTCTTTGAGATTTCCTCGTCGCCATGTTGTATACTCGGGACAGAACGTCCTTGGTTGAGGTCTTCGTAAGAATTATGTTTCTTGGTATGCGCATAGTCGAGACGCCTCCTGTTCATGGCCGCCATGGTCGCATGGGCTTGAATCACCATCCTTTCCGCATCGCGCAGTCTCGATGGTTCTAGGATCAAATGCGAGATAGGCCCTGTGTCCCCCTGTTCCGGATATGGCTCTGCATTGTAAAGGTCTTGATGGGCATCGGTCGAGCCACTCGTGCTTCCAAATCCCAACAGTGCTATGAAGGTAAATAAAACTAGCATGATCGAAGACCTTTCGACACTGGATAGTCGGTTCATCATTGCAACTAGGCGAAACAGCTGTCATGCGGAGCATCGGAAATGGTATAAGTAACCCAAACCCACCACGTCCCATGCTCTGCAAGATGTAACGCACTCACCTCGAATTACACAGAGATAGCTTATGGCTGTTGTCCAAAGTGTAGCACAGGAGTGTGACAGTTACTCCGAGTCCAATAAATGAGCACCTCGAGTAAGAGTCACACAGCCGGTTGGGATTGTCTGTAACGGTCCGATACTGTGTCAGTCTAGTTGTGTTACATGGGGAACGGCAGGAAATGCACTTGTGAGAAGAAGTGTCACTCTTGTGTAGCGCAGGGGCCAATGACAATGATCATCCAGTGGTGTTACTCACTATGGGTTACACGCAGAGCTGACTCGGAGAATATCCCGAGTGTGCCTATCCGGGATTACTGCGGATGACCATCCAAGGATTGGCATGTGAGCTAGCTGATCCGTTCCAATGGCAAGTGCGATCCTTTCTTCGTCCCAGGCCAGGAATTGATCGCAGCCTCTAAGATGTCTGATCCTCCGGGGTACCTGCCGCTCGCCGTCACTCCACAGGAGTCAGAGACCTCTGCGAGACCACTGCAAACTGCCGAAACATTGTAGGATGCTTCATCAGGACCTTGGGTGTTATCCGATAATATAAGATTGCCTTGCATTTATTTGAGAGCTTTAGGCTGACGAGCTCCCTGCTTATTAGTCCACCCCGAGTCTGTCATTCATCACCCTCCTATATCATGAAACCCTCAACCCAACGGTAGTGAATTGCTTGGAATCAACCAGCCGCTGATGTTTACATGATGGGGGCCATCAATCACTAGGTCTATTCGTACTGCCTTATTAGTTTCCTCATCGTCCCTGTTCTATTTGACCTACCGTCACTTGCGTGCAGATGCCTCTCCTGAGCTTGTCACCAGAGATCCTATGCATGATCATTGCCAGACTTGGCCCCAGTCAAGATACCAATAACCTGATCCGCACCTGCTGGCGGCTGTACGATACATACAATATCTCACTGTACAAGGCCCAAATCCACCAAGATGGCGGCCATAGGGTTTTTCTGTATGCTGCCCAGACCGGCGAAGAGGGAGCGATGCAGTGGCTGTGTCAAGCCAGCACTGCGGCCACCCAACCTCTGATGCAAGTGGGCGTCAATATTCTGGACCCTGTCTATCATCTAGCACCCCTCGCCTGGGCAGCCATCAAAGGGCATGAATCGGTGGTAAAACTCTTGCTGCAGATTGAAGGGATCGCTGTAGATCCTTACGGGAGTCGTTTTCGAACGCCATTATCGTATGCTGCTGAGAACGGATTCGCGGGGATCGTTCGCGTGCTCCTGGCAGCTGGGGCAGATGCAAACCGCCGAGATGAAGTCATGGGGCGTTCACCCCTTCACTGGGCTGGATCCCCCCGCCTCAGTGAAGATGCACGCAGTCTCCACGGACGAAGGCGTCATGACGCCCTACTTCGTAAAGCCAAGGGGTCCGCGTTCTGTCGGCTGGAAGTTTACTTTGCACCCGATATGGTAAGAACCTCGTTTGCCCAGAAGGACTGGCATGGCCACGAAATCCTATTTCCCAACCCCAGTTGCAGCGCAGGAGCCGCATATGAAGAGATCCTGGAGAGTTTGATTGAATATGGCGCGAACCTGGAGAGCCGGGATGGATGGTATTACTCCCCACTGGGCTGGGCCGCTGTCTGTGGATATCAGGCAGTGGTTGAGCTCCTTCTGCGTAAGGGGGCACGTCTCACGGATTGCTCCGACATCCACTCACCGTTCTTATGTGCTGCACAGTATGGGTATTCTGGAATTCTGCAGATCCTTCTCGATCAGGCAGGTGCCGGAGTCATTTGTGATGACCGACTCTCACGGGTGCTGAGACGGGCAGCTCAGGGAGGGCATGAGGAGGTGGTGAAGCTGGTGCTTCGCCATACCCACCACCGCCTGGTCGACCCTCAGAACCCGGGGAGTTGGGCTCCACTGGTGGATGCTGCGAAACACGGCCACGAAGGAACCGTCTCCATCTTGCTGGAGGCCCATACGCAAAAGTGGCCCGGCGAACCCATCGGGCCTATGCCTGCCTTCTGGGCCGCTGATTCGGGACACACGGCAGTTCTCCAAGTACTCCACGCAACAGGCATCGACATCAATGAACCTTCGTCGTTCTACGACATGATGTCGCCTTTGCACGCAGCGGTCAGGAACCGCCATGCCATGACTGTCGAGTTTCTGCTCCACACGGGCGGGGTCGGGGTGAATACACCGGATGAACTCGGATGGACGGCTTTTTCGTGGGCTGCCCCATTCACCCGGTCCCCCATTCGATCATTGCTCCTGGATGTGGGGGCAGACAAATCATTTGGGAATCGAATGGATAGTATAGACACTCCGCATAGAATTAGTCGACGAGACGAGAGAGGGTCTAGCATGGTTCACATCCCGGACCTCCCAATATCATTCCACTAGACTTTGCCAGATACAATCTATCGCATGACTCAAAGGCTCGGCTACTCTGCTAGATTCTGGTGGATGTCATTGATGATGCGCCCAGTCACGTGCCTGTAGAGGTAGTGTTTCTTCCCCCCCCCCAAAAGAATGTCTTTCTTCTCTCTCTCTCTCTCTCTCTCTCTCTCTCCTCCCTCTCCTCCCTCTCCTCCCTCCAACACCGTCCCATCCCCCATCCACAATGCCTCCATTGCGCCCCTCTCGCACAACTCATTCCAGAACATCAATGGCATGTCCGTATTGTCATCAAGAATATCACCGCCGAGGTGATATCCAACGTCATGTAAGACTCTGTGAGTTGGTCCCACTCTTCCTTCCCTCCAACACGGCTTCTGACAGTGGCAATCACATCCAGACACCCATGAAAAGCCTCATGTATGTTTTTTCCTGTGGGGAGGATTTTACCCGGCGCGGTTTGCTCTGGAGCCACCGGCGTATCACCCATAAAGACCGTCCAGGTAGGGGTTGTTCCTATACAAGTTATCTGCCACTTACCTCGCTGCCATAGTTGGCGTCACCCCTACCACCCCCAGCCTCCATGACCAACCTCAAGGGTCCGAAAATCATCCCAGCCTCAGTACCAATCACAATGCAGGTAAGTTCTGTCATCAACACTCACTCAGGTCGGTCGCTGAAACCTTCGGTCTGCAATAGTACCCGATGCCCTCGATCTACCCCACCCTCTGGAAGACTTCACTAGCTTCATTCATAACATGGGCCTCGCATTAGACCCCGACAGTCTACTCAATCTAAACAGTGCCTTTCCAGAGCACGAATCTCTTTCCAATGCATCTCAGGCCGTTAACGAGACCCCTCAACCCAAGTACGATGAAGTTTTGGAATCCGGTCAGCGCGCTCACTTTCCCACTTCACAGCCGATCCCGTTCAATCCCCTTGGTAAGCTGTTTATGCCGCTGCACGATGGATCATGGGTACTGATGTCGATGTTTTGCAGCACGGACAGCTGTATATATGCCACCTCTCTGCATAACAGAGAAGCAAAACACGAAGATCGTGCGGGCGCTTACTCCATTTCACCATCTACTGCCCAACTTTATCCTGCCATCTCGAGAGTCACTAACTCGGTTTCTGAGTGCGTGGTTTGACAGGGCCTATGCTCACATGCTGTTCATGCACGGGCCCTCCTTCAACCCTGATTAGCATCCAGTGGAACTAATCCTAGCGATGGCGGCAGCAGGTGCACAGTGTCGGTATGAGCATCGACAGGGCCACCTGCTCTTTCATGCTGTGAAAGCCATCTTTCAAGAACGGCAGCGGCGGAAGGAAGGGGAAGCGATCGACGGACATCAATTGACTAGCATCACCGTGACCTCCGACCTGGACGTGACCCGTCCATCGATAACGAACAATATCAGATGTCTTCTGAATCTGATGATACTTGCTACTTGGCAACGGGGTCCTGGGTTCGTGAGAGATATCTGCGACTGGCAGAGCCTGCTGGTTCGCCTGCTGAGGGAGAGTGGGCTAGTCGAGACCAACATTCCTACCTCGGCCACGCTCGGCTGGCAAGCGTGGATACACCTGGAACTAGATCGCCGCGTCAAGCTCTTTGCATTTGCTTTGTTAAATCTCCAAAGCATTGCGTACAATCTACCACCTATACTCCTCAGTAGCGAGGTGAATCTTCGACTGCCATGTATTTGCGGTGAATGGAGGACTATTGATGAGACCCACTGGGAACAAGTCCGTCGCGATATCCCGCATGAACAGCCTCTTTTCCAAGATGCCCTCGAGTATTTTCTGAAGCAGAACAGGGCACCGCCGGCAATCACTCCCACGCCATCTCCGGCTGCGAGTCTGATCCTTATTCACGGTCTGATTCATCGAATCTTGCTCACCCGGCAGGCATCAATATCCAGCCCTGTACCGCAAGTGGAGATATTCGAGTAGGTACAATCTTGAATCTGATGTCAAGGGGGCATTTGCTAAGCTACCAGGGCTGCTCTGCATCGGTGGACTTCCACGTGGCAACTCGCACCGGAGTCGAGTTTGGATCCGCTCAACCTCAATGGCCCGATTCCGTTCACCTCTACAGCTCTAGTAGGCCTCGCTTACACGCGCCTCCATCTGGACCTCGGACCCTGTAGATTGCTCGCAACAAGGAATGCACGAATAATCGCTGACGCGCTGGTCAACTCCGAGCCATTGGTCCCTAGTCCGGGATTACTATTAGCCTTGCTTCATGCCACGCATGCGTTAAGTATCCCGGTTAAAGTGGGTGTGGAGTTTGTCTGTCGTAGTTAGCGATCAGTCTGGAGTATTCAGCATGCACTGTGCGGGATGGAATTTGCGGTTCTCGTCAGCAAGTGGCTCCACGGCTCCACGCTGTTGGCCGATCGCAGGAGACGTCTCCTCTACAGGGTAAGATCTCCTACCTCTTTCTCCAATTTGCCCCTTTACTTAAACATGATCAATGACCATGACGCAGAAAACGAAACGCGACTGCTGAACTGGATTCGTCGGATAGTAACCGAGGGCCGCGCCTCACTGGATGAAGACGTTCTCATGTCAGACGACTTGAATTGTGATCAATTGGCATACTTTGTTGTCACTTTATGGGCACACATCATGCGCGGAAATTCCCGGTGGCCGTTTGTAGATATGATTGGACGAAGCTTGGATCTCTACGCCAGTACGATATCTAATCGTGATCGGAGTGAATCATGAGGGAATTCCGTTAATCTATGGTAAGTTGGCTCCCTGACCGACATTTGTCGAAAGCACTCATCTTTCGTAAACCAGCATTATCACTTTACTGACAACAATAAATACAAATAGCGATCCCTATCCCACCACTATGGTTGCTTTTCATCATAAAAACCCAAACATCCCTCCAATCTGCCTACGAGAAATAAGATCTGAGGGCATCTTCGCAGCAGAATCAAACCCTCATCTTACACTCTGAACCCATTCCCTCGTAACATCATATCCACCACCATTCAATCCCTCTTGTTAGTGGCCTCCACCTCAGTCTCAATCAAAATAGGCGGAAGTGTCGTCCAGATAGAAGGATGTCCTGGAATGCGTTTCTTCAACTTCACCACGAAACAAGCATAGCCTTTCTCGCCTAACCATCGAAACCAACATCTCCATCACTTCTTTATTCTTGTCATTGATTATGATAGCGACGCTAACAGATGTGAATATATAGTACCATGTATAGAGGATCTCGGCTATCTCACTGCGGGAGGCAACCCTAAGATGCGCTCCACTGATACTCGACGAGCACGGGCCCCTTGCGCCATCTTCGGCCAATGATTCGATCCTCCTAACGGCACGTTGTCGGGTGCCCTCTTTCACGGCCGATCAGGGGAATGCTGGACGGCCGCCTGTGGAAAGATTGCTGGTTGGGCCTAGACGGGTCGGTGGCTGGCATGGCGGCCGCAACCATGGACACGAGCTGCCACCAAAGTTCACGGAGAGCTGTCAAGTGGCCAAGGTCGAATCTCGTATTCGACCTAGCCACGTGGACCCGCCAACCCCAGCAACAAAACCTGGGGTTCCCGCACATCTCCACTTCTCCCTTTGTTTCTTTTCTTCCCCCCTCCTTTTCTCACTGTTTCTCCCTCCTCTCTTCCATTCCTTCTGGTCATCTCACGACTTGGGTTCTCTCCACGGCCAGGCCTGGATACCACCATGGCCTCCAACTCCACCAAGGTCAAATCCCAGGGAGGCATCCTCGAAGGCAGCAACCCCACCCATTATGACTCCTCCAATCCCATCATCATCTTCATCATCCAGGTAATTTCCTCCCCAGCTCCTCTGCACTCTGCTGACCTTCCAGGCTGGCATCATCATCATTTTTTGTCGCCTGCTGCACTGGCCTCTCTCGAAAATTCGCCAGCCTCGTGTGATTGCAGAGGTCATCGCAGGGGTCCTGTTGGGTCCCTCGGTCATGGGCCGCATTCCCGGCTTCACCGAAGCCATCTTTCCCACGGCATCCATCCCCAACTTGAACCTGGTCGCCAATCTAGGTTTGGTGTTGTTTCTCTTTCTCGTTGGGCTGGAAACCAACCTGCGCTTCCTGGTCAGCAACTGGCGGGTGGCAGTCAGTGTATCGGCTGCAGGGATGGTCCTGCCTTTTGGTCTGGGCTGCGCCATCGCCTATGGCCTGTACAACACCTTTCAGAATGAGCCCGACACGGTCGATGTCAACTTTGGCACCTATCTGCTCTTCATCGGCATTGCCATGGCCATCACCGTAAGTCTTCTGACTCTGCTGATTCGTAATCTCTAATCCTGGTAGGCCTTTCCCGTCTTGTGTCGCATCTTAACCGAGCTCAAGCTGCTGGGAACCAACGTCGGCGTCATCGTGCTCTCGGCTGGGGTTGGAAACGATGTCGTTGGCTGGATTCTGCTCGCCCTTTGCGTCGCCCTCGTCAATGCTGGCACCGGTCTGACCGCACTCTGGGTATTGCTCGTCTGCGTCGGCTATGTGCTGTTCCTCATCTTCGTCTTCCGTCCGCTGTTCCTGCGCTTCCTCCGCCACACGGGCAGTCTGCAAAAAGGCCCCAGTCAGTCGGTGGTTGCCATCACCCTGCTGATCGCGCTGGCCTCTGCCTTTTTCACCCAAATCATCGGCATCCACGCCATTTTCGGTGGCTTCATCATCGGCCTGCTGTGTCCCCACGAGGGCGGCTTTGCCATCAAGCTGACCGAAAAGATCGAGGACCTTGTCGCCGCGCTCTTCCTGCCGCTGTACTTCACCCTGTCCGGCCTGCAAACCAACCTGGGCCTCCTCGACACTGGCACCGTCTGGGGCTACGTGATCGGCATCATCGCCATCGCGTTTACCGCCAAGGTGGCTGGTGGCGCCCTTGCCTCGAAACTCTGCGGTCTTCTCTGGCGCGAGAGCTTGTCTATCGGCGTGTTGATGAGTTGCAAGGGTCTGGTCGAGCTGATCGTCTTGGTACTCCCCATCCCCTCCTCTGCTCCCACACCAACTAACCCTCCAGAACATCGGTCTGCAAGCACGCATCCTCAGCACGCGCACCTTCACCATGTTTGTGGTCATGGCTCTCGTCACCACCTTCGCGACCACCCCACTGACCGTCGCCCTGTACCCCAAATGGTACCAGACCAAAGTCGAGCGCTGGCGTCGCGGCGAGATCGACTGGGCTGGCAACCCCATCCAATCTGACTCGCGCATCGACAGCGTTGCCGTGGTCAAAGAGCAACAACGATCTCTCCCCGTCCGCAAACTCCTCGTCTACCTCCGCCTAGACGGGCTCTCCAGCATCTGCACCCTCGCAGCCCTCCTCAGCCCCAACCGACCCCCGACCCCCAAGCAGCACCCCGACACCCTCGCCTCGACCGAACCTGCTGCGGAAGAAACCGCCGCCACCGAAATCGACGACCCCCCAACCCTCCAAGTCCACGGCGTCCGTCTCCTCGAACTCACCGACCGCGACTCCAGCGTCATGAAGGTCTCCGAACTGGACCACTCCTACCCCCTCTGGGACCCCGTCGTCAACACCTTCCGCGCCTTCGGCCAATGGCACGACTTGTCCATCCTGGCCGGCGTCTCCGTCGTCCCCGAACACTCCTACGCGGACACCGTCGTCGGCCTCGCCCGCGACGATTCCACCGATCTGCTGCTCCTCCCCTGGAGCGAGACCGGCTCCATGGCCGAACACGCCCACCACACCACCACCTCCCTCCCTCTCGACGACCGCTTCACCCCTTCCGCCCCATACACCGACTTCGCCGCCAGCGTGCTCTCCCACTCCCCCTGCAACGTCGGCCTTCTCATTGAACGCACTCCGCAACGCCGTCTCCGTGATCCTCCCTCCCTCGGCGCCCTCAGCATCCACAGCCGCACCAACCCTCTTCCTCCCCCACCTCCACCCACCGCACGAGCCCACCACATCCTCCTCCCTTACTTCGGTGGCCTCGACGACCGCTTCGCCCTCCGCTTCATCCTCCAATTACTCCGCAACGACCAAGTCACGGCGACAATCATCCACGTCGAACTTCCCCGGCAGTCGTCCACTTCCCCAACCCCGACCCAAACATCATCCTCCAAAACTCCCCCCAAAACATCAACAAACCTCAACCCCCGAGACGACTCAGACGCTATCTACCTCGCTGCGTTGCGGGATTCTCTTGACGAGGAAATCACCTCGCGCGTGGTCTTTCGCTCCTTGGACCTGAGCGATACTGGGAAAGAAGACGTCCTGGGGAAGGTAGTTGGCCATGTCCGCGAGGAAATGGGTAGGTTGGGCTCGTCTCAGCGGGCAGGGAATCTGGTCGTCGTGGGACGGGGAAGTCAGTGTGCGAGTGGTGGGGTGGAGATTGGCCAGAATGGAGAAACCACCCCGGTGTTGGGGACTGTTGGGGAGGCGTTGGTTAGGATGGATAGTCGAGGCGGTGGGAATATCGGGAATGTTCTTGTTTTGAGGGCGGGGGGGGAATGATACCGGTAATGGTAATGGTGGTGGGACGTGATGTTGGTGATGATGATACCCTGGTAGTTAGTTAATCTATATGTTCAGTTAGATTGAGGTAAATATGTTTCCTGCATGTTAATCTTGACATCCAACACCCCCCGATTTACATCCATTACATTATCCACTCTACAATACGAAAGAAGACAGCAAGTCATGATTGCTCATGAAAAATCCTTTTTTATATAATATATAACAGATCGTGAAAGTGAGGTATAACTTATATACTTTGGGGCCACAAAACAAATTCATAACACCAACATCTCATATATACATATCAATCCATCCAGGAGAGATGAACTCAAAGGAGTTGAGTTGAGTTGGGGTAGGAGGGCATTAAACCTGACCAGCAGGACCACCCGCACCCTTCTCACTCTGATTACCGCCATGGACGACCCGACTGGCGAGCTTACTGCGGGCGCGCAGCTGAGGACCATACCAGAACAGGACGTAGGGGATCAGAGTGAGGAAGGTAGCGATGAGGGCGAGGATCAGACCGGCATATTGGCTGCCGACGTTGGTGAAGAACTGGGAGGCGAAGAGCGGGGAGACGGCACCGAGGGTGTTACGCATGAAACCCTGTCCTGCGATGGCAGAGGAACTGCTCTCGCCGTAGCAATCGGAGGTGAAACTGTAGCAGGATTCGAAGATGAAGAAGATACCGATGCAGATGAGGACGAGGGCAATGCAGGGAGCGATCCAGGGGAGGTCGGCGTATTGGGTGAAGGAGTAGATGAAGAGGCCGATGGGGAGCCACACGGCGCCGAAGAGGGCGCCGTAGAGACGGGATTCGGGGCGGGCGTTGCCGGTGGCGACGAGGGAGTTGTATTTGCGGATTTGCAGGAAGTTGAGACCGAAGCCGATGGTGGCACCCAGGGCGAGACCGATGTAGGGAAGGCCCGAGACACCCTCGTTCCAGCCCTTCTTGGTCTGGAAGGTGATGGGGATGACGCTGAGGAAGAGGAAGGTCAGGAACCAGGCGAAGGAGATCCAGAGACCGAAGGCGAAGACGACGGGTTCGGTGATGAGCATCTTGATGGCCTTGACGGAGGAGTTGTGAAGCATGACCTTGAGGGAGGGGGCCTCGAGATCGTTCTCGGTGACGTAGCGGTCGTCGCCGGTTTGGGTGCGGAGGAGCTTGGCGCGCTTGCCGAGGGCGACGCTACCGCGGGTCTCGGGGAGGCAGAAGAGGATGATGATGCCCAGGGGGATGTTGGCCAGACCCTGGATACCCTCGACCCAGCGCCAGTGAAGGGCTTGGTCGATGAAGCCGGCGTAAATGGGGGCGGCGACGGTACCGAGGATGGCGATGAAGGAGAAGGTCGCGACGGGGATGGCGCGTTCCTCCGGGTAGTACATGTCACCGAAGGTACCACCGACGAGGATGGTGCCGACACAACCGAAGAGACCGAGCAGGGCACGGCAGACGATGATGGTGGCGATGTTCTTGCCGAGGGCGAGACCGATGAACATCAGGGCGAAGCAGGCATAGGAGCCGACGTAGACGACGCGACGGCCAGCCAGCTCACAGAAGGGGGCGAGGAAGAGAGGGGCCAGGGCGCAGGTGAAGTTGAAGGTGAAGAGACCGAGCTTGGCGATTTCTTCGGTGGTGCCCAGATCGGAAGCCATATCGCCAATACCGGAGCTGTAGGCGGTGGTGGCGAGACCGATGAAGAGGGTCATGAGACACAGGAGGGCGGAGATGAAGGCCTTGTACTTGGGGTCCCAGTTGAAGGGGTTCTCCTTGTCACCGGGGGCGAAGTCGAGGACGATGTATTGGTTGCCATCCTGGACGAGGCGTTGGGTGGTGGTGACAGGGAAATCAAAGTCGACGGTCTGGAGGGGACCATCTTGGGCGGAAGTATCAACGCCCTCGAGGTATTTCCCACCGGCCACGCGACCCGATGCTGTGGAGGCTGTCAAGCTGGAGGGGCCGGACTCGGCATTCTCCGTATGGGAGGAGAGGGCGGGTTGAGATTTGTCCATTTTGTCCATGTTGAAAAGATGGCGAAAGGAAGAAGGGAAAAGGGACAAAGAGGAGTGAGAGAGGAAAGAAGAAGGGTCGAGGATGGGGGAGATGGGGGGGATATAAAACAAAAACACGGGGGAAGGGGCGAGCCCGTTTACTCCGTGGGTAAAGACTCCGGTTTTTCCCTCCTGTCGGTCCACCCAGGCATAACCGATGCTTCGATATCCTTCTGGGGTGCGTCATAAAGTCGGGGTGGAAACTGGACGGTGGTCCCGAGGCTGGAGAAGTTTTACTGCCCTGCACGAATGACGCCGGCCAGGGCCAGGCTGCTCCATCCGCCAGTTTGGGCTGTGGATGGGAGTTGTCCACTTGTCCTGCGCCCCTCGTCCAGGCATCACATTGTGGTTCAAGTGGGTCGCAAACTCTGCGGTCGATCTATTCTGGATCGGTGGTTTGGGGTCTGAGAAACTTCGGGGAAATTGGCCATCCTTGCCTGTTCCTTGCCGGATCAGAGTTTTGCAGAGATTTCAGAGATTTTACTCTCACAGACAAATGGTAGAGAAATTCTTGTACTCAGGAGATGATTTGTGCAGTCGATTTGACGCATTCTTCCCTCCATTCCCATCTACGAGCAACCCTCATGGCCCTTCCCCCTATTGCAAAAGACGGGATCGCCTCTCGGGATTCGCCCGAGAACGGGCCCATAACCAGAAATCCTCGGCCAACCCTAAGCCAACCATGGACCAGTCGGCATCCCGAGAAAGGCAATTCAACCATCGGGCCGATTCGGAGCGTCGCCACTCCATGGGTCCATCCCACGCTATTCGGGGGTAGTCTCGGTTTCACCTCGGCGAAAACTTCACCGATGCTGAACCGGGAAGCAGGTGCAGTGAGGCGGATGCACGCCGTCGCCTTCTTAGCACCACGCTGACCATCCCCCCATGTCAAAGGCCAATCCATCCATGATCGTGTGTAACCCTCAGGGATGTCAACGTGCTTAGCTTGCCCCAGAATATTCATCTCCTTTTATGTATATAGGTAAGGGGAACACCCTTGCATTGGTTCCAGAACTTTGGAAATGAACAATCTCGGTGCAAGTGAAACCTCGTAAACCACGCATTCTCCGGGTCCACAGTCCAAAGCAGTTAGTCATAAGCAGTAGACAAAGCCAGGTTCGCAGACGGCGCCGGGCAGACCGGCTGACCTCTGCTGCATCTGGACCACTCTGGATGGCTGCCTCGCGCCTCCCAACCATTTTCAGTTGGTATAGTGTCATTTCACCCTTTATCCGGAAGACCGTTTAGCCTAAAGGCGTGTTATTCGAAAGACAGACCAAGCTGGTCGGTATGCCGGGTAAGCTCTGCTGCGGTGATTGTTCGATTTGACACGTATGGGAAATCTCCACTATCCCGAGTGGCTGCGAGATTCTTCTCGGCTCGGGATGGAGAGGTGAGGATGCAGATGGCTGAGGTGAGGCGCCGGGTTCGTCCGAGGCAGCGTGACCGGTCAGCCGTAGCACGGCAGTGACGGCATGCCGTGCATAAGACGGAGGAAGCTCCGTCAGGTAGGGATGCCGAACTATTGCATTGGATCGGTGTGGGGGGAAAAGGGGTGGAGTGACAGTTGAACTGGTGACATTCCAAGCTGTTCCAAGTAGGTGGCAAATCGATTGTCTGATGAAAGTATAACATGTACTGCGTGGTAGTCAATGGTAATTGGTGGTACCGTGCGAAGCCTGACATGAGGCATGTGGTGTCAAGCTGAGATAAAGATGGATCGACTATCGGAGCGTGGAGATGCCGGTGATGAGACCGTGGGCTCCGATCGGAGTTACCGTTGGAATCTAGCTCACAGCCGGCAAAAGCAAACATAACAGGTGGCCGGATGGTGTAGTTGGTTATCACGTATCGTTAACACCGATAAGGTCCTGGGATCGAGCCCCAGTCTGGTCATTACTTTTTCTTTTTGCTTTTTGCCCCATCTTTGAGTTTGTCTACGCTGCATTTGGCTTAGTGTGAAAAAATATGCAGAGTCTAACCTTGTTTGCCTTCCCCCAACATAGCCATCGGAGCTAGCGCCGGATCTGGATTAGTGGATGGCCGCTGTTTCGTTTGGATTCCCTTGTTTGACATCCCCGACGTCATCCATCTTCATCAACCAAGGGCCCAGCTAGGCGCCGGAATGGACGAGGTACAGACTACAGGAACATCGGGTGACACCGCTTGTCTGCCGTCATCGTCAACGATCAGAAGCTGCACACTTGAATCATGTCGTGGCCCCACGGATGTTACAGCCGGCCCAAATCAAGAAACATTCGGCTTCCAATGTTCATTTCATGCCCAATAACCACTCCGTCACTGGATTCTGCATCGTCTGCTGTCATCGTCAGACATCGACCGAGCATATGATGTGTGGTCTACATTTTGAGGGACTTTCGGCCGGTGCCCAATTCCTTCAGGCTGTCAGTCGATCTTCACTGCCGACCCGCTTCATCAAACCTTGGGGTTTGGAGTAGATGGCGATCTCAAAGTTAACACCTCTAGCTCAGCCGAAGCGTGGATCGGATTTTAGGTGCGGCAAGGATCCGCTGTTAAGTTTGGGAATGTGGTGCGCGAAGATATATTGTTGAAACAGTTGGTGGGGAGTGGCAAGAGCAGGGAATAAAACAAACGGAATACATTCGAGATTCAAAGCTCAAACGTGAAGAGAACACTAATGTTTCAAATTTGATATATTTTTCTAGTGTTGTTGACTACTATGTAGATTAGCAGTCAAGTGCCGAGACTGCACCCGAAGTAGTCAAGGATGGCGGAATGCTGCCGAATACTAACACGGATGCTCTAGCCTCTTGCAGAGTATTGAGACACAAAATCAGCAATAATAGAGATCGGCGATCTGCTGAGGCAGAGAGGCAGGTGTTTGGCTTGTACCAGAGCCAGACAATATCACCTGACTACAGTCCAATTCTCACTAGCCTGTATAGTCCTTCGTCTCTGATTCGTTATCTAGTCTTCAGTCCACTTGTTTGTGACCTATCAGGATTGACCTTGTCCAATCTTCATCTACCAACTATACATAGGAATATACGGAAAGTCCAATGTGTATGGCAGATGTGTTGGTACTCTTGATGAATCCTGCTAAAGCAGATAGGCTAACTCACCATCCACAGGTGCGTTGTACTTAAATTGGAGAAAAAGTCAGCAGTGAGTTGAGTCGAGTAACTATGGAGATATGCTCATAAAAGATGCATTTTTGCTGCCTCAATTTCAGCAGCCACTTCATCATCACCACTTTGTCATCCCGGTAGTGATCTGCATGGTTTTTGTCTATAGTCAACCCGAGCCAACTATCTTACATGATGGTTGATCAATAGATCTCTCCAAGTCCATACATGAAGATACTTTGTGCTGCTTCGATGTGCCATCATTTTGACCCCGGACATCCCTGCTAGTCCTGCAAGTGGGCGGGGCTCTATCCGACACATCCCGGCCATAAGCAACTCATCATTGGACCAGTTCTAGACAACTCACCATCTTATGCACAAGTACATTGGTAGAGAACGGGTGAGAGTTGGCGCGACAGATCACCAGCGACAACCGAAGGTGAAGGGTAGGTGCTTCCCACCCACTTCCATCACCCTCGTTCTCCGAGTTCAGTTGCACCTGGTTACTCAACCGATGATCTCACTCAAGTCATTTTCTCCTTTTTTCCGTTTTATTTTCTCCCTTCTTAAGCGGTTACGAGGTTACATTGACCTCGGTCGTGCCGATGAAAAGGGGACCGCTGATGAAGGGCTCTACAGTGATCTACCCCTACGGACAAAGACCTCCATCCGCCTTCTCTGTCTGTGTCAGGAAAACACAGAGACGGGTCAATCGGACTGCGAAGACTCCTTGATCCAGCTTAACCTACAGGTCGTAGACCTCGAGCAGAACCCTCCTCCCTTTCAAGCTCTATCGTATACCTGGGGTTCACCTTTTCTCGACGATGAACTGGCCCGGGAATATGACAGCGAGTCACACCCCAGATACATCTCCTTGAACGGTCGGAAGGTGGAGGTCCGCCGAAATCTGTTCGAGTTCATCCAACGGTGGGATTCATCACCGGAATCCATCCACGACAATCATTTCGAGGCAAGTCTGCCGGTTAAACATCTTGAGGACAGTGATGACTCCTTCAGTCATACTAAGGGTCTAGAGACTAAGCCTGTAACTTACCTCTGGGTGGATGCATTGTGTATCAACCAGGATGATCTCATTGAGCGCAAAGAACAGGTTATGCTCATGTCTCGCATCTACACCAAGGCAACTATGGTGCTGGTGTGGTTGGGGATCGAGGACGAGAGTGTGGAACATGCGGTGGAGTTTGTCAATGACCTACAGACCGAGAGTTATGGCGAGGCGATGAATCACTCCGACAGAGTGCAGGCTGCTGCGGACTGGTGGCGTAACCGCACATGGTTCACTCGGGCCTGGGTGATCCAAGAGGTCGCTTTAGCTCAGCATATCCGGTTGCTCTGCGGCTCAGAAGACATGGATTATTGGCAGTTTTTCAAATCCTTGAACTCCACCTCGTTAGATGGCACACACGTCGCTGGCGTCCCATTATTTCTAGCAAAAGGAGACGGGACAGGAAACTACCAGCCCCTTCATCTGATTGATATTAGGATTAGGATCTCCCCCGACTCGCGAGAGAGGAAGATGGTTCGCCAGAATATCGCCCAACCAGTTGCGACATGGGAACACAAACCGAGCCTTTCCGTGCTGCTATCCAAGTCATGGGCATTTCAAGCGACAGACCCTCGGGACAAGATATATTCACTACTGGGCATTTCGCGGGACGACTTTCGCCATCGTATAGAGCCTGACTATGAGGTTGACGCGGCTAGCTTGATCGTCCGCGTGGGTAGAATCTTCATGGAAGGGTCCCCTGACGAGCCTATACAAAGATGGACATCGGGCACTTGTGAGGTTTTAGAGCCTCTCGAGGGCCTTTCATTTGTAGAAGCTGGATATCTTAATGAGCTTGAATTGCCATCGTGGATAGCCAGTTTTGGGGTTGATCGCACTTACTACCGCTTGTGGATGTTGGACTTCAATGCAGGGCGCGTGGAGCTTGGAAGAACCATGGACCTTATTATACCATCCGACAACCCTCGAGCCCTCCACCTAAGAGGAATCTATCGTGATCGAATCATCATGACCATGCAAATACCAGGAAGGTTCCCGACGGAGCAGATAGAAACGATGCCACTGGCACTACTTCGCTTCATGAATTACCTACCTCTGATATACCACCCGACCGGCCAGTCCCGTGCAGAGGCCCTTCGGAGGACTCTTCTGGTCGACCAAACTGATGATTTGTTGCCAACTGACACCATTGAATCGGAACATCTTAGCAAACAACGACTGCACTGTGAGTCGGCACTCGAGGATGATGCCGAGGCAGACCAGCTACAGGCCATGCCCGAGTTTCAGGAATTTGTATATGGAACGGGTTCTGGGCCCACGCCCCTTGATCTAGGTATCATGGATAAATATCACGCGAAAGGAAGATCCATCTTCGAGACGGAGAACGGATATATTGGCCTGGGCTCTTGGTGTGCAGAATGTGGAGACGAAGTGTGGCTGATAGCAGGAGCCCGGACGCCATATATCCTTCGAGCTCTGCCTGAGGAGGATGTCTCTGGAGAGGTACCAGAACGGGTACTGATCGAAGAGGCTTATGTTCATGGAACGATGCATGGCGAGGAGATGGACGAGGAAGAGCTTGAAGAAGTAATTTTGGTGTAGGTCCTTGCTTAGGAACAGACTGACGGCCAAGGGATACAATCGGGACATGTTGTTGTGGTTAGACTTGTAGATTGGACATACTTCTCGAGTAGTACACACTTTCAATCAACAGTGAGAAAAAAAATCCCAAAAACAAATCCCTCAAAGGGATTCGTACGCACGCTGCTACTAAGCAGGGCGGAATTAGTAGACGATGTGAATAACCGCTCGACCATTGCGGAGCTAACATAAAAATACGAGTATGAGAAGTGCTTCTTGACCCACGACATACCACAATAGAACTCCAATTTAATCCATCCATTGAAAATGATGCGGAAATTTGCCGGGTTTCGCAGGCTACAGCGAAACCAGCACCCGAGTCCGGGCCCTAGTCCACTGAGTTTTGTTAAATTTGAGCGGATCCAGTGACAAATCTGTACCTTTTCGATAATAATAGTTTGCGGAGCAGATCCCCACATACTCTTCTCAGTTCTCACCACTCAAGAGTCAAGACATGTATAATTTTGATTCCACAATCGTGGAATCACGGATTTCCCCCGGCCAAGAAACCGCCGAGCTCCACGGCCACGATCGGTGGAGTCTCGGCAGAAGACCGAGACTTGCGCAGCCATGCCACAATTCAAGAATAGAGCAGAGCTAGAGAATGATGCCTCAATTCTAATCATCTATTGATTATAGAAAAGTACATATTCGTAAATAATCAACCGAACAACCTTTCAACTCTAAATCTAGGCAGCCATGATTATTTCGCCCCACTTAAGTCTAAATATCCCGTATTTCCGAACCATCACGCTCCTCCGGATATACACCCCAGGAAAATCAGTAAATTAACGGATATACCTCCCTAGCTGAATAAGGAAACCCGCCATCCGGGTACTACCCCCGGCAAAGAACTCACCTATGAAGCTATCTCCATTCCCCAGATCATACCCCGGAGCACAAACCCGGAGATTATCGTTGGCGGGGTTCAAGATACGGCTCTGGGGATCGGTATCTCTTCCTACTATCTAAAAGACTCGGGGCCCTGGAATAAAACCCCATGTAAACCCTACACAGCATTCCTTTCTGCAATATCATATCTAACACAATGAACACATCAACAATCCCCCTCATAATCCACGGAAAAGACATCCTCCAACCCACCCATGAACGCAAATACCCCATCTCATTGACAACACCACAACCCTCTCCGGGATTCTTCCAAGGCGCAACCCCAGACCTAGCAATCCAAGCCATCGAATCCAGCGCAAGTGTCTTCCCCGCATGGTCAAGGACAGATCCCTCCCACCGAAGACAACTTCTACTCAATCTAGCTAGGGTATCCCCCTTCCCCTGCCCCAATATCCCTCCCATTACACCACCAACCCTAACCACCAAGAAAACCAGCTCCTCCGCACCCAAACCCCCCACATCCAAACCCTTATCGAATCCGAAATCCACTGCTCGCATCAATGGACCGAGGAAAACATCTCCGTGTCGATCAACATGATCGAAGAAACCGCCTCCCTGATCACAGATACATTAACGGGAATAATCCCCCCATCTAAGGGACCTAGCTTCGCACTTGTCCTCAAGAAACCACTCGGTGTGGTACTGGGTATTGCGCCGTGGAATGCACCGCTTATATTAGGGTTCAGAGCCATAGTAGCTGCTGTAGCGGGGGGAAATTGTGTGGTTTTCAAGGTCACTTTCTCTTTCTTCATTTGTTTTTGAGGGTTGAGGAGATGGGAGAAAGAAAGTGAATGGGTTGCTAACCTATGTATGTGTGTATGTAGGGATCGGAACTAAGTCCCCGCACGCATCATTTCATCGCAGGATTATTCCGCGAGGCGGGGTTCCCACCAGGAGTGGTTAACTTCGTGTTGCATCGGCCGGAAGATGCAGCGGAGGTGTATGAGGTTATGATTGAGCATCCGGCAGTCAGGAAATGTAATTTCACTGGGTCGACTGGGGTAGGGAGGGTTATTGCGGCCAAGGCAGTGAGGGCGTTGAAGCCCGTGTTGTTGGAGTTGGGAGGGAAGAATTCCGTGGTGGTTTTGGAGGATGCAGACTTGGGACAGGCGGCGGAGGAGATTGTGAAGGCGGGATTTTTGAATGTGAGTTCTTGTTTTTTGTTTGAATATGTGTTATGTTGGTGTGGAGTGGCTAATTTGAGGCATGGGTAGAATGGTCAAATTTGCATGTCCACGGATCTGGTATATGTTTTTCGGTCGGTGGCGGGGGAGTTGATCGGGAGGATATTGGAAAGGTTGTATGCTGAGGAGAGACCGCATAGGGTTATTTCGAGGGCGAGTCGGGATCGGTTGATGGGGTTGGTGGATGATGCGAGGGACAAAGGGGCGGTTATTCATCAGGCGGGGAATCCATTTGCTGAGGATCCGCTGGGTTTCCCGGCGACAGTGATTGAGGGTGTGACGGAGAGTATGGAGTTCTATACAGTCGAGTCGTTTGGTCCGGTGTTTGGGATTGTGGTGGTTGAGTCGGAACAGCAGGGTCTGGAGATGGTCAAGCGGTCCGCATATGGTTTGTCGTCGGCGGTGTTTACGCGGGATCATTTCAAGGCGTTGGAAATGTCCGGGGAGCTTGCAGCGGGAGCTGTCCATGTTAATGCGGGGACGGTGCATGATGAAGCGACGCTGCCTCATGGTGGACTGGGGGATAGTGGATGGGGACGGTTCGGAGGGAGATGGGGCTTGGAGGAGTTTTTGCAGACCCGGACGGTGGTTTTGAATAAGTGTCGGGCTTCTTTGTAAGACAGCTCCTTGGTTTGATGATGCCCTTCTCTCCCCCAAGCCAATTGATAGCCTCTCCTGGAATATGCTCAATTTCTATCTAGCTTTTCATCATGTTTCTTCTCTCCTCTACCATATGAGAAGGAATAAAACATGCCAGCCCTAACCTAAATTAACGAGTCCGGCGCCGGCTCAAGCACAGCGACATCTGCCACTACTCCCAAGCCGTGGTGCTGGGTGACCTCATCAGATGTTTTGGATAAGGCGGCTGGACCGAGAAGCGTTAATCGACTACCGCCCGCTAGATCCAACTAATGTACCTTTTACGCAGCGAGCTGAAGAATTGCTGGGTTCTGAGAGTCTATAGTACAATTTAAATCAGGAAATCTGCAGCCATAATCATCCAATGCACACTTCCGGCTTGGAGCCGGGCTCAAAATAAGTTAGCTGGCTCATTTATAGCGCTATGAGTGAGTCATATACACTCCATGCTCAACTATCCTGAAGCATATCTCAGGGTAAGGCACATTGTGCCTTGGGATTAATAATATTCAAGATTGGGAGGTTCGCCTCTCTCTTGATCCTTCCTCTGCCTTCAATCAGATCTCTGTCTAAGCAGATAGGAGCTTGCCATTAACATACCAAAATATTTCCAAAGCTTGCTGCCCACTCGATCTCGTCTTCGAACCATATCCGCACCCGGCTATCTTGTAGTTGAGAATCCGAGTAGGACATAGAAACATCAAAATCAACCCAAACTATCCGCTCAGGATCCCCATGTACAATGAGAATATTCTTAGGATAGGGATCGTTATGGAGCACCTTGGCTTGATGGACTTCCTTCAGCCCCTGCATCGCAACCTTAAAGCAGTCATTGGAGTAGTTGACACAATTCAGACTTTCCGTTTTTGGCAAAAATTCGAGCAAGATAGCTCCTGGCTTATTGATGTCGTTTGCGAAGCGATCTAAATGGGGCTGATAAAGCGCCGGGTCGAGCTGGTCAACGTAACTAATATAGCGTGGAACCACACCCTTTTAGCACACTCCACCAGCTTGCAAATTCCTATAAGCGTTCAATTCGCAGCGCAATCGATTCAAATCACGACCATCTTGAGCATAGCCAGGATCACCATTATCGTGATACTCGGAAAGGTCAGCACTGGATTGACCAGACACGTAAGAGACATACCACTTTCAGACAGTAGCGATCATTGTTCAGCATAACCTCATAGATGGAAGAGGCCTCAGAATGTTGCAATGATGTGCAGAACTCTAGGACATCAGAGTCTACTCTTAAAGATGTGTTAGCATGCATTTTGAAAATGATAGTACGAAATGCTGTCCAGAGTCTCAATGGGATAACGCGACCATGTATTGACCGCGGCAACAAACCCATTACTAAGCAGGCTGTGTGCTACTCCTCACTGGTTGTTAATGCGATGATATCCTCTCTTCTTACCATACTATCAATTCAATCTTTATCCTAGTAACCATTCTTATTACGTACGTATTGATCCCTCACTGGGTAATACGCAGTAACGTTAACAGGGTATTCTCGGTAAAGTAGTTTGGCTAACCGAACCAGCCAGATTTAGCTATCTATATACTCATCATCCATCTCAGTTCCTCGATGATTAAGTCCGGTCGACAGTTCAACTAGTATTGATCCGGCTGACCAGACTTAATGGCTACATCAGTAATGCATACACGGTGTTAACTGCAACAAAGATACCATCTCGGATTCGAATGGCCTGGCGAAGCCCCCGAACCGGCGTGCATATGGGATTTCGTAGAGTGGAAAGGATGCGACCGACTGCCTGTTGTTATCCCTGGCCCTTCTGGACCTCGTCAATCACGAGGGTGGTACAGCCCAACCGGCTGGAAGACCCCGGATAAGGGAATAGACGCACGTGGAGTGGAAGATCACCAAGATCCAAAGGCGTATAGCTATCTTGATAAAGTGAATCTCTAGAACCACGGCCATAGCCGCGCTTGACGTCAAGTTCCACCTTCTACTAATGAAACTACTTCTGCAACAGAGTACAGTACCAGACTTAGTTCTTCATTCGATAGTGGTCTCACCTTATAACATTTCTCATATCCTCAGAAGCCTAGCTACTCCTTTGTGCCTACACTCCTCGGCCAGTTGCAGCGCGATCTGATCACCGGCATTGACGTGACGAGCATCTGCTCCCTTTTCCAGCAGCAACGTTAATAACTCTGCTTATTATCTTACTTGTCTTGTCTGGAACCAATATTCCTCCATGTTCAACATGCTACTTGACTGAAAGCTAACGCCAGATGTTATGATCCTCAGTGGCGTCTTGTGCGTCGGGAAAATGAGCTTGGAGCCTTTGGATAGTGACATTGCCACCCAAGCCAGCAGATGGGAACGCACGCCCTCATATTGCCTTATCCACACTCACCAAATTACGGTGACCAAACCCTTCCTTTGTATCGACCCGTTTTAGATCGTATCGGCTTCCTTGAGGATACCCGACCCAACCACGGAGAACCAACTAATGAGGACGCTCTGCATCTATACACTACTTGATTGAATGGAAAGTGGCACTTAATAATCGGATTTTGGCAAAAGACACTGAACTAGATTTGGTCTTCAAGCCTAGTCTGCATTGGCAACAAATAAAAGAAAAGGCAGAATGTACTGTGTAACGAAAGAAAGCTCGCTACCAACGAGTACGTTTAGATAATACTTCTATTGTAGCTGCTGTGAATGCGGAGTCGGTCTCCGCATCACTGCAACCGGTTTATTGGCCGGCTTCAATTATTACACCAGCAATCCTGGGATCAATGGTTCCACCATCATCCACCACAGGATACCTCGGCTGTCAATGACCCCTCCTTCAAGCCGACGGTCTGCAGACTAACCACTAGCTGCATGACACTATCCAGCTTATGAAATCTGACACCTGCAGACACGCAGACAATTTAAGATAAGACCTCCATCCGCCGAAACCTTTCTCATCACCATCCCATCCCAATCATGGCCGCATTTGTGATCGCCTTTTTCGGCCTCACCCTCTTGCTCATCCTTCGCCTCCGACAAAAACCCTCCCTCCCTCTTCCCCCCGGACCCAAAGGCAAGCCCATCATCGGCAATCTCGGGGACCTTCCACCACCAGACACGCCAGAATACAAGCACTGGCTGCAATTGCGAGACCGCTACGGTACTCCCATTCCTCCCACCTACCTATCCATCTAACCCACAGGCCCCATCAACTCCATCACCACTCTCGGTCAAACCATCATCATTCTCCACGATGCCCGCATGGCCGTTGATCTCCTCGAGAAACGCTCCTCCGTATATTCATCCCGGCCGCGTCTGGTCTTTGCCGGAGAGATGTAAGCACTCATCCATCGATCCATTCATTCATTCATCCATTTATCTAGTTATTTCCATGGATTAACCAATCAGAATCGGCTGGAATGACGTTCTCGCTCTACAACCCTATAACGGACGATTCCGCGCCTACCGAAAAGCCCTACACCAAGTGTTGGGAACCAAAGCGCTAGTGTCGAAATTCAATCCCTTACAGGAACTCGAAGCGCGACGGTTCTTGCAGCGATTATTGGATGATTCGGAGAATTTGGTACAGCATATTAGGACGTATGCCCGTTCGCTCCCTACCAAAACCACTAAGAGAGAAGAAGAGTAAGCTAATAATAACAGTGAAGCCGGAGCAATCATTCTCCAAATCGCCTACGGGTATACAATCAACCCAGATGGGCACGATCCGCTCGTGAAAATGGCCAATGAGGCAATGGAGTCGTTTAGTACGGCTGGGAGTCCGGGGATGTGGCTGGTGGATACGATTCCTGCTTGTATGTCCTGCCCCCTCTTTTTCGCAGATTCATCAAAAGAGAATGTTGAACCTAACAATTGTAGTAAAATACCTCCCATCTTGGTTCCCATTCGCCAAATTCCAACGTTTAGGACGCACCTGGCGTACCCAACTCCTCACCACCGTAGAAACACCCTACCAACTAGTCCGGGAGAAGATGGCCAACGGCACACAAACCCCATCCTACCTATCTAGTTTACTCAATAAGGAGAAACCCCTTACGGAAGAAGAGGAGTTTATTGCCAAATGGACATCGGTGGCGCTGTTCACGGGCGGGTCGGATACAGTGTGTCCTCTCTCCTCTCATCTCATCATGCACCGAAGATACATACTAATACTGATGTAGAGCGTCTCCACCCTCATGACCTTCTTCCTCGCCATGGCCCTCAACCCCGACGTCCAAACCAAAGCCCAAGAAGAGCTCGATCGGGTTCTAGGACCATACACCCTCCCTTGTGCTAGTGACCGTCCTCGACTTCCCTACATCAACGCCATCGTGAAGGAATCTCTTCGATGGTGTCCCGTTGCGCCGATGGGGCTGCCTCATCTCTGTACGGAAGAGGATGAGTACGAGGGATATCGGATTCCGAAGGGTGCGATTGTGATGCAGAATATTTGGTATACCACCTTTTCTTATCCCTTTGAATAATATACTATAAAGAAACTAAGAAAAACAGGTCCTTCACACACAACCCCACCACCTACCCCGAACCCGACAGGTTCAACCCGGAGCGTTTCCTCGGCGAAACGCCGCAAGCTGATCCAGCAGAGGTGGTATTCGGGTTCGGTCGACGGATCTGTCCCGGCCGAGTGTTGGCAGATAGTAGTATCTTTATGACTGTGGCGATGGTGTTGGCTATGATGAGGATAAGCCCGGAGGAGGGAATGGGGGGGAAATCGGGGGTGGAGTTGACGCCGGGAGTGGTGAGTCAGCCAGTTTTGCCAAGGGGTGGGGTGAGAGTGGTGGCGAGGAGTAAGCAGCATGAGGAGGTGGTGAGGGGAGATGCCCGGTGATATGGGGGTAAAAAGGAGGAGGGAGGTGGATGATGATAGGGTTTGGATTGCGACTGGTTGGGTTTGATATCCTTAGTTGTCACTGCACAGCCGGGTATATCAGGTTTATGAATGCTACTGCTACCACTTGATTGATGGACTGAACTGTTGATGACTGGAATATTTCTAAACTGGGACAGTCTTCCTCTTAAATGTTCAATCGAATTAACGTTTTCTAGCTGTAGGCGGAGATAATCGGTAAAGAATTTTCTATAATACTCCGTCGATGATCTAGAATTGTTCTTCGGAAGTAAATCACAGTAAGGTCCAGCTGATGTGATCATAAAATTAACCAACTTCCTTGAGTGGAGTAGTTACAGGGCTGATCACATACTGGTTGGGTGTACTGAAGGGTACCTTGTCAGTTGCTCTAGGGCAAACAAGGCTGAGGTTTGGCCAACCAACAAGACCTTAAGGAAAGTACGTGGCCAGCCGACTACAAAGATCACGCCCGCCTACTCCACTGTAGCTGAATGACGTTCTGCCCCATGCACCTCTCCTATCCAGGTATAGTGAGATCAGCCACTGGGGGTTGATCTGGCCGAGGGCTTAGCTGTCAGCGTAAGCCGGTGGGGCTACTACAGGGATCGATTCCTTCGCGCTGACATGCGCCAGATGGTCCAATCACTGGACATAATAATTATTTGTTTAACAGGTACCAACAGCAGATACAAGGCTGAGCATGAAAAGTGGTTAGCGAGTTGGCTACCCCAAATCCCTAGTAGCGTAATGATGCTACCTACAAGAAGCCATAAATCTGCACCTCCCCAGACCAAATCCTAACTCTTCAATTCACTTCTCACTTCTCACTTCCCACTAAACACAACAACCATGGCCTCCAACACTACCACCGCACTCACCCAACTCCAAACCCTCCTCCCCGACAAAACCCTCACCCCCTCCACCTCCACCCCCTACCAAGCCGCCCTCACAACCCCCTGGTCCCAAACCTGCTGGACCCCAGCAGCAGGATACATCCAGATCAGCACCATCGACGACCTCACCACTGCACTATCCATCATCCAGAAAACCGGATGCAAGTTCTCCGTTCGCACCACCGGCCATAACCCCAACGTGGGGTTCAGTAGCGCCGATGAAACGGCCATTGTTCTGGACATCCGTCAGCTGAAGACCATGGAGTTGACACCTGATGGTACAGCTCGAGTCGGGGCGGGATGTACCTGGGGGGAGGTGTATACGTGGTTAGAGGGACAGAAATTGTCTGCAATTGGGGGGAGGGATCCACAGGTTGGATTGGGGGGGTTCCTTCTAGGAGGTATGTACCACCTACATTTGGAACGAATTTCCTTGAGATGAAGCTAATAAGAAAGTACAGGAGGCATGGGCGCTCTGCCTAACCTCCACGGTCTAGGAGCAGACAACGTAAAGAACTTCGAGGTACCTCACCCTTCTTCCAACCCTAACCTCCAACTCACCTATAATGTATAGGTCCTCCTCGCCAACGGCACCCTCCTCAACGCCAACCCAACCACCAACCCGGATCTCTACCACGTTCTCAAAGGCGGTGGTTCTAACTTCGGTACCCCCCCCCCCCACATCCCCAATCAATAAACCACACCCTAACACAACCCGTATAGGAATAATCACTCATTTTACCATCCAAACCTACCCCCTAATCCCCATCCAATACAACATAACCCTCTACCAACCCACAGACCACACCGCCATCAACGAAGCCACCGTCTCCGTGCAAAACGCCATGGCCTCTGATCCGAAGATCGGTCTGTTTACCAATTTTAATAATGGCTTTGTAGCTGTGGGGTTACTCTACAGTCACCAGCCCAGTCCAGCTTCTACGTCTAATTCCCTACCCGTTGTGTTTGATCCCTTTCAGAAGGTTAAGAGTATGATGACAGCGGTGCCACTAACTAACGGGACTATTCTCTCCCTGGCTCAGGCGATGGGTCATGCGCAGGAGGCTAAGAAGTAACCTCCCCCCCCACCTCTTTCTCCCCCAATAAAATAAGTAAATGCTTGAATGAAATGGCTAATGCGAAGAATACCAGACGGGCAATAAGTACAGTTACGACCCGTGTTTCGGTGGCGTTATACGAAGAAGTATATAAAGTATGGAATGAAGTAAAGGAGACTCTTCCCGAAGGCTGTATACTGCATTACACCATCCAACCAATGGGCGAAAATGGTGTACGGGAGGGTATGCACCGAGGGGGGAATATAATGGGGTTGAAAGGGGTGGAACAATGTTGTAAGTCATCCTCTCTTCCCTCTTCTGTTTCTCTTCAGTGTTATTCCTTAGACATCACCGGTGAAACAAACTAACCTAATGAATAGGGTGGGTCTTCACCTGTGAATGGCCCAACGAGTGCGATGACATCGCCGCACAACAAGCAGTAGAGACCATGTCTGAACGGGTACAAACCCTAGCTCAGGAACGGGATTTATTGCTCGATTTCAAATGTATGACTTTTGCCACTGGCTTACAGAAGGTTCTCGAGAGCTACGGGGAAGACAACGTAAAGAAGATGAAAGAGGTAGCAGGGAAATATGATCCCGAGGGAGTGTTTCAGAAGTTACAGTTTGGGGGGTTTTTGTTGAGGGATCTTTGATCTTTACCCTCTCTCTATCTTCCTTTTTGATCGTTAATTGAAATAATGAAATGTGTTGAGGACTGAATACCCCATACAATTAACCATTCAACAAAACGTATAGAGTCCAATCGAGGTAATAATCAATTCCATAGTCCAGATCGATTAGGACATATCTACCCCCAATTCCTAAACTTTATGGTAATCCCACCCCCTCCCTCAAATTCTCACCCGATCTTATCTCCGATCATCGACGAACTACTCCAACACCAATATTCCTTTCCCACGAATAGACTACACAAACCTAAAGACCTATATCATTGAATCTGTCGATAATACCGGAAAATAACAGATAATACCATCCAAATACATCCCATATATCCTCTGATTGATCCCCAGACAAAGAAAGTGACTCCTACGTAGATACAAGTAATGTAGATATCCTCGGTTAAGTTAAACAAGAGGGGTAAGTAGGTAAGTTATGGCGTGGCATATCCTTACTGGCGGGTACCAGATAACAACCGAGGGATCAATAACCTGCCTGCCTGCCTGCCTGCCTGCTGTATGCTGTATGCTGTATGCTGTATGCTGTATGCTGTATGCTCGGACATCCGATCGGATCCTCCTCTACAATATCATTGGATCCATGAATGGCTAAATGCGGGGACCATCCTAGCCAATAACACCACACACCCTACCCTACCCTACCAACATCCTCCTTTCTCAAGAGTATATCATCATCAATTATATATCATACTCAATGAATAGTATTTATATTCCCCCAAGTAAGCAAAGCAATATGTCCAATCATCAACACTCATATCTCATCATCAACCCAACCCTTCCCCTCTACCCTATTTATACCGCCACATCAGAAACATTCGACCCCGCCACAACATACATCTTCTCCGTCTTCAATTTATCCAAAGCACTCTGTGGAAGATGCAACGTATCCGCTACGATCTGCTTCGGTGTAGATCCGATCCATTGGCCGAGGGCGACATCTATCCCATCATATCATGTCAGTATATCTCCTATCATCGTAGATAAAAACGAAAGGAAGAGGGAAAGGGGGGTTACCAGTAAATTCATCCGTCTGCAACACCTCCAAAAACACCAGATCCTCATCCCCCGTATTCTCAATATAATGACTATTCGACTGGGGGAAATATCCCACGTCCCCGGGCCGATAATCAAAGGTGGTGGCCGTGCTGGGAGCAGTGAAGAGCGTAGCGCGGGCCTTACCACTGATGAAAAACGTCCATTCGTCGCTGGTAGGATGCCAGTGAATCTCGCGCATGCCGCCGGGTCGTACCGTCACTAGGGCGGCGGCCGTGTTAGTGGAGATGGGAAAGGTTTGCGAGTCGACGATCTTGACGCTTCCGCCTTGGACTTCGTGGGCGGGTTGCTCGGAGAAATGGTAGGAGTAGCTCTGCGAGCGAGGGAGGATGCCTGCGGAGCCGGTCACATTTTGTTCTTCGATGTTGGTCGGGGCGGGAGTGCCGGGGAAGATGTAGAGTTCGTCTTCGGGGATGTCGTCGAAGGCGGCGATGGGGAGGTCGAAGTTTTTGGCTAGGACGGAGCGCTGTATTTATGGATTAGTGGGAGGCCGTTGGGAGAAGGTGAAGGAGGAGGATTACCGGTTGATGGGCAAACACCTCGGTAGCGAGAAAAGTGTTGTCTTCAGAAAAACTACCATCGTCGAAGATGAGCAGAAACTCGACGCCCGTGTCGAGGGCTTGGATGGAATGCGGAACACCGCTGCAACCAGTTAGTCGCATGCCAATGATAACCCTATCGGCAGGGCATCCTCGGGATAAAACCTACGGAGGGAAGAACCAGACATCGCCGGCACTCACGTCATCGACGAAAGTTTGACCATTCTCATTGACAGCCTGGTCAAGTCAGTCATCAACCAGGCATCCTGCAACTCAACTGACCTCAATCCGACACGATCCGTTCAACACCAGCGACCATTCCGAGGCCACATGCCAGTGCAATTCCCGATATGCACCCGCTTCCAGACGCATATCCACCCCGGCCATTTCCGTCGCAGCCGGCATCACCACCTCATTTTCCTGTCGCGCCCATCCGGACTCGTTCAGACCCAATCTATCAAATTAGTATCATCTCATGCATGCATCGTGATGGCTTACCGGTTGTGGCTGAGTCCTGGACACGGTTAGCATTGACTATCTCTGGGAGCATGGAGGCATACCCATGGGCCATTGGGCATTAATCGTCTGGCCATTGTCCGTCCCCGGCGGTGCCAGCTTGTCACTGTTGATTTTATCGTAATAGAGGTTGCCTAGGATCGGATCGACATGAGTTTATGCAAGTTCCACGGATCGACATGACATACGAGGGCCAGGGTCGGTGCCGCCCACGTCACCTCGGACGGGCTGCGGCAGGTTCTCGGCATCTTCAAAGTCCAGGTACACTCCCACGTCCGCCGCTTCGGTCTGACCGGGCACCGGCACGTAGGGAATATCGTCGGTGGTCTGGTCCGTCACCGTGTTGGAGGCTGAGTAGCCCAGGAGATCCTCGGAGCCGCGCAAAGGCGGGTTTCCCCCAGTAGGGGCGCCATAGATGGCAGGAAGGAGGGCAGATGCCCAGGGCAAAGAGTAGAGAAGAGTAGACTTCATGGTGAAGGTTCAGAGAAGGTTGCGGCTGATGATACAAACAAAATGCAGCGACGACATCCGCCTCTTTATAGCTTTTCCTCACCGGTCCATGCCAGCCGAAAGCGTCTTCACAAGATTGATGCCCATCCGCTCGCGGCCACTCCACGGTGCCCCCTCACGGGGCGGAGGGCAGCCGGTCCATGACGTGAAGTTTCCCCTCATGCATGGCGGATATGGATAAAGTCAATCCGCCTGTTGGAGAAATGAGCCAGTTGTTCACCAGGGGGCATCCACCAGGGGTCATCCACAGCGGGATTCATGCGGGGGTACCTAGGGTGCCTAGGGGATACCTAGGGGGGAAGGGGGCTGGGTGTGAGACATGAAAGGGAGCAAGCACCGTGACAAGGTTGCTGGTCAGTATTGATGACCGGACCGGACTAGTTAGAATGAGTATTTACTCGGTAGAGGACCTTGCTGGGGGTGGAGGAAGGGATGGATACTGGCCTCTGCCTGTGCATGTGCATTAGTATCTGCGTCTTTGTTTTTCAGGAGATCCATACAATTCGACAACCCGACAATACGGTTCTTTTTTAATCAGGTCAGATGCCCACTGACTCAAAACCACTGAAACAGGTGGAATCTCTCGTCAGACATGAAAAACGCACAGCCTTATGGAAGGCCGTGGCGGTGCCCCGCGTGCGGAGAATTCTGTAGGCCAATGCTTGACTGTCCAAGCACCGCGGCTCTGCATGGAACAGTCACGGATCCACTGAGTCAGTCAAGCCCAGATGACACGTCGATGGCGTCCGGGATGCCCTGTTTTGGATCACCTGCAGGTCGTCGGTCGGTGGGTTTATGGGTCCGATTGCTGGGATTTCCACCTCCTCGGGTTAAGGCCCCCGGTCATGCTTCATTGATGATTGCCCCGCACGTTGGATTGCAGAGTATTCAGGTTTGAGAGGGTATTGCGAAGTGAGTGATTTGTGTGTAGACAGGATAGATGAGGATGAAGAGTCGGTGTACGGGCCGTCTAACTAGGCAGCAGATTTGTTTATGCAAGTGGAGTGGCTGATGTACATACAGCAGCAGATTCCTCACGCAGAAACCTTCCTAGCGAGGTCGCAAAGATAGTAACATAAAAAGCAACTTGATGTTTATTCTATTCCATTTATTCTATTCCAGTTCTATTCCATTTCAATTTCAATTCCGTCTGTCTGTCATGCCAACCCAAGTCTCTCCCTATATATAGCACACCAGGCAGCCCTAATTCCAAGCCGTCCCTTACCTCCCATCCATCCCATACTAACAATCAAAAGCAAACCCATCCTCAACCCTCACAAGCAACCCCCAACCCATCCCTCACTCAATCAATTACTTCCAAACCAAATCCAAACCCCCCAACACCCCCTCCGTCCAAACCCACAACCTCCCCCCAACCTCATCCAACCACTCCCTTTTCCCCTTCCCCTCCACCGTCCTCGACAATACCCCCACAGGCTCATAAAACCCCCCATTGACCCTCTCCCTCCCCCCATCCCTCCCCGTCGCAGCCCAAAGCGTATTCCAACACCCTTCATCAACACCTACAAACCTCCCCAAATTCGTCACCCACGTAAACGCAAACTTCCCCCACCCCAACCCATCCACCAGCCCCGTCCTCACCACCCCCGGATGCACCGCCACGACCTCCACCCCTGGGACCCGTCTCCTCAATTCCCTCGCATACAACAAATTCGCCAATTTACTCTGTCCGTATCTCATCCACGATCCACCAAACTTACATTCCATAGTCGTAGTCAACCTATCGAAATCAATCCCACAGGATGGATGCATCTGCCACCCCAACGACGTAAGAATCACTATCCTCGGAGAGGGCGAAGACCCCCGTAGTACTGGAAGTAAACACCGAATAAGAAGCGCATGACTTAGATGATTAATCCCGAATTGAGACTCATACCCATCCATCGTCAGCTCAGGCGGGGTGGCCATAACGCCGGCGTTACAGATGAGGACATCGAGACGGGATTCGCGGGATAGGAAGGTTTGGGCCGCGGAGTGGACGGAGGCAAGCGAGGTGAAGTCGCAGGGGAGGAAAGTTATGCTAGTAGTGGTATTGCTCGTGTTGCCTATCGAGGCGATCAGGGCATCCGCGGCGGGGGCATTACGGCCCGTGATGTAGATTTTGTTGGCGTGGTGTTGGGCCAGTCGGAGGGTGGTGCGGGCTCCGAGGCCGGCGGTGCCTGTTTCTTCGCTTTAGTTGGGTGTATATGGTTGTGGGGGTATGGGGTTGGGGTGTAGGTATGGTGACGTACCCCCGGTGATCAGAAAAACTTGGCCTGTGAGGTCGGGAATGTCATTGTCGGGGTTAAACTTATCCATGGCGGATGGAGATGGGGATGAGTACCTGCGTGCTGGTTCTAGAGTCACGACAAGCGAGGTACCTTGAGGAAGTTATATTGGCATGCATCCCCGCCTTAGGCAGCGAGGGCTGGATATCCCCCGATCCTGGTAGCCAATCATCACGGTCCGCTGCATTTAAGCAAACTGCCAACGGGGACGCCAGGAATTTTAGTCGCCGTTAGTTGGGTCCATGCTCGTAAATTACGGGTTCGCATTGGCTCGTTCGTAGCGTCGGAGTTAGATACTACAACCGCGATGACACCTGATGGAATCATCTGCACCCCGGAGCCATTAAGCATTAAGAATATCAATCGTCTATGTACAACGCCATCCGGTTATCCGTCTATCCACATCTAAGTCATGGTCGTCATCATTCATCGTGGCTCAGCCACACTCCCCGCGGCATCCGGCATACGGTCCGTGCCTCTTGCGGCATCGTCTGCCAAAGAACCTGCCGCACTTCCTGGCCCACCTGGTCGATCGCATCCATCGCCCACAACACATCCAAATGCTCGTAGTCTTCGATCACCTTCGCGTGCACCACCTGGACGTGTGGCTCGCGCCCGTTTTGGAGACGGTGCAGCAACCGTTGGCCGTCCACGAGACCATCCGATCCCGCAATCCACAACGCAACCGGAGGGGCCTGAGGGCCATACCAGGCCGTGTCGCTGCGGAGTGCAGATTCATGGCCCCGCTCCACACGATGATCTTCTTCCGCCTCCGCCAGCGTGACCTCGCGCGTGGCTAGAATGCATTTCTGGCTGGCAAAGCATTCGCCGCCCAACCACCACCGCATCGCCTCCGCGCTGACATACACGGGCGCAAACTGGAACATTCGATCGCGGAGTCCCCGGTCCCAGCGTGCATCCTTCCACCCAAACAGGAACGAGAACACGTAGTATCCCAGGGTGCCGTAGATACGCGGGTGTAGCCGGCGGTGCACCGTCATCATGAACGGGATGAACGCATGGATGCCAAAAAAGGCCCGGAAGACGATGGGCGGGATAATCCGCATGAAGCGAAAGTAGACTCGTTCAACCAGGGGACCAGCATATACGGCCGGCGCAAGGGCGCAAAACACCGAGATCCACTCCCCGAGCTCGGGCCGCTGATCCTTGGCCAGCGCGATGAAGGTCTCCGCGCTGCCTTGCGAGTGGCAAACGAGACCGAGTTTCTCAAAGCCCGTCTCGAAGAGCACCCGCGAAACAAGCGCCGGCAGGTCCAGCACGCCCATCTGCTGGATGTTCCACGTCCACATCCGCGGGTCCGACTGAGACAGCATTGTATGTTCCGGCACCATGCCGCAGCGATTGTTTCCGAGCCAAACATCGTAGCCCGATTTGCAGAGAAAGAATGCAAGACTGTCGTCATCGTTGGCACAAAAGGCGCCGGCACTCTGCAGCAGTCCGTGCATCAGGAGAACGGGGTATTTGCGCGGAAAACGAAAGGTCTCGGGGCTCTTCTGGCCGGTGAAAACGTGTGGTCCCCGAGGGCGCCGGGCCTTAGGAGGCAAGGGGGTGTATTCCTGCGGGTTGTAGACATGCCATAGCGTGAGAACGAAACCATCCTCCGTCTGAACTTTGAAGGTCTCCACGTCTAGCCCAACCCGTCTAGCGTAGTAGGCCACATCGCAGACGATCGGATCCTTGCCCCCTTCCAGGGGCGGGCATTCATCTAGTCCCTCTTCGTCCACCTCCTTCTCTTGTCGGTAACTCCACCTCCGGAACGCCTGGTTGCGCTCAACTCGTCGTGACCGCTCTTCCGCATCAAACTTTCTCGGTGTGGGGGAAGCCTGTCCACCGATCTTGTGACGGAGTTGCGAGACAGAAGCGCTGGCGGTGTGGACGAGGGCGCCTAGGATGACGGTACTGAGGAAAACGAGGGACAACACGAACGATACGCATCGAATAATGATACACTGAACGGAGGAAATCAAGGAGGGTGGGCCGTAGGATGGTAACGGCGGGAACAATGGGTGTGCAGCATCAGTCGAGGTGCCCTGCTGGTTATTCCAAGAGACAGGTCCCTCTTCCCTCAACAGCGGTTCAGTAACCGTTGAGGCATTTCCCTGGTCCTCACCAACCGGGCCCAAATCCTGCAGCTCGTACCCTTTCTGTAAGGATAGCCCCCCTGAGTCAATCGCTGGAGGCTGTCCGATCGAGCCGACTTGAATGGTGGTGTCGAAGTAAGGGGGCTTGTCAAACACGCGTGGGTCGGGGCCGCGGGCGACACTGGAGGACAGGCCCTCGTCGGGATCGCAGTCGGAGATGAACATGGTGGTTCAAGGCACAGTCATGAGCCGGAGGAGAAGAAGGAGGGAAAGGGCCTCATTTTCTCTCGGCGGGGAGGGGCAGGAGGGAGAAATAGGGGATGGCGATCGAGGCGAAGCAGACGATCTGGGGTCGCAAAGCCGCCATGATGAAAGACTCCCCCAAAGACACTCCCAAGAATAGGCCCGGGTCACGTGGAGTGGGCCGTGCACGTCACCCCGTGGGTCGGTGGCACCCAATTAGATACCCTCATCAGCCGGGTGATCGTTGCCTCAGGCTTATGTACACTCTCAGGCAGCCAGGCACTCGAATGGTCACGGTGACGTGAAGGCAAAGTCTATCCAGTGAGAACACGCAAGCAGAGATCCATATTAATCCATCAGATTCATATCCATCATGTCATACGCTAAATACATCATATCACGCCAATTATATCAACAGGAAGAGAAGCACAATCCAACAATCTTCAAAACCATTAGGCCTCCTCAATGTGATGCGCTTCGCGCTTCACCGGAAGTTCACCCTCCACTTCGCTGACGCTGACCCCGGCCTTTCCGGCATCCCCATCGAACTGCGCCGAGGGAACCCACCCAGGGGACCGCCAGGCCGCCGACACCGACGAGTACAGCTCGTCCACCTGCTCCAGGCTGAGTCCCTTGGTCTCGTAGATGCACGTGTATACAAACACACCCGCAACGAAGCAGAATCCACCCCAGATGAAGAAAACCTTGGACTGGAGGTTGGCGTTGCCCGGACCAGAGTCCACCATGTAAGGCGTGGCGTATGCGATCGCCCAGTTCAGCAGCCAGTTCGTGGCGGTCGTGATGGAGAGGCACTTGGCGCGAGCCTTCAGGGGGTACAGTTCACCCGTCACCACCCATGCGACCGGGCCCCAGGAACTGGCAAAGAAGAAGATGTAGATGCAGACAAAGGCAATGAGCACCTTGTTGGCCACATCGGAGGTGGCCACCATGCCCACAATAGCCACGATCAGCTGGCACACGCACATGCCGACCGCGCCGAACAGCAGAAGAGGCCGACGACCCCATTTCTCAACCATGTAGAGACCCGGGAACGTGGACACCACGTTGACAATGTTGGTGATGAGGGTGATGACAAAGCCGTTCGAGATACCGGAGCGCTCGAAAAAGGTCGTACCGTAGTAGACTGAAGAAGTTAGACAGGCGTCGCAAGAGCAGGGAAAGAGTGCTTACAGATGAAATTGACACCAGCCAATTGTTGGAGCCCCTGGACGGCGCACCCAGTAGCGAGACGCTTGCCCAGGGAGCCGCGCAGGATGTCTCGGAAGCTGGCCTTTCCGAGGCTCATTTCGTACTCGTGGGAAGCCCGAATATCCGCCAACTCATTGACGAGGGCCGGGTCATCCACATCCATGCGACGGAGCCGAGCGAGCGCCTTGGCAGCAGCCTCGTGGCGATCCTTCTTGATCAAGAAGCGTGGCGTTTCAGGGAGCACGCTCATCCCGACCACGAGGATGATGGCCCATGCGAACTGAAGGGCAACAGGGATCCGATAGCAGCCCGTGTCCATGCGGTCCTTCGTGGCATTGTTGACGATCGAAGCGAGCAGCAGCCCAATGGTGATGGCCAGCTGATAGGCGCCAACAATGGTACCACGAATCCACTTGGGCGCGGTCTCGGACTGGTAGAGAGGGACTATCTTACAGTTAGCATGTATTTCGGGTGGAACAGAGCGGTCAGCTTACTTGTGGCAGACAGGAGACCAACACCAAACCCGGCAAAGAATCTGCCAGCAACGAACAGCGGGATCGAGGTTGCTGCGGTTTGGAGAATGACACCGAAGCAGAAGACAAACGACTCGATAATCATAGCGATGCGACGGCCAAAGTAATCCGCCACGGGTGCAGAAGCCAGAGCACCAAAGAAAGTACCGGCAGACAGCAACGACACGATCATGGAAGATTGCGTCGAGGTCACATCAGGGAAGTCATCTGTAGGGTTGATGTATCCAGTGGAGAACGTTTCGCGCCAGTATTTCATGGCGAGAATGCCACTGATGGTTCCAGTGTCGTATCTAGTATATGTCAGACATATGTCAATCTTCATTGACCAAGGAATGAGACATACCCAAAGAGAAGACCGCCAAAGGCAACAAACAAGCCAATGATGATGGCGGGGGCCGCTGAGCCCGCCGCATCATCCGGCTTCTTCAACAAGAAACCCATGGTATGGATAAGTGTCACAGCAATTGAGTAGGATGAGAGTGGTGTGGAGTCAACAGATTCAGTAAGATCGATAGAAGGAAGTCAACCGGAGAAGGCAAGATGATGAGAGATCTATCCTGACCCCAGACCGGGGCAATCGAGGGCTTTTGTAGTCCTTGAGCGGAAGGCGGGGATGGCCTCCCACCAGCCTGATGCTCGCCAGATCCGGCACCCCGACGACCACCACCGGCCGGAATCAGGCTCTGCACGCCACTCAACCACACGGCATCGGGCTGAATGTGTGAACGGGGCCCCAGACTCCGCAGTCTCAGCATGACTCTGGCCCGAGTCTGGAGAAGGACGTTGGCCCGACGGCCAGAAGTGGAGATGGACACGAGGAACCCACCAAATCCCCGAGACCGAGACACGGCCAAGCCGGAGCAAGGCCGCGGACTGGCTGGGAGACATTGGGGGGAAGGACTATACACAACGCGGACCAAAGTCAAATTGAGGCATTTGGCCGAGATCGTCCCGACCATCCACGGGTCCCCAGAGCGGTCTAAGCCACAGAGTTTGTCAGGGTATTGGAATTGGGATAAGACACGCGAGCCGTTGCGGCGAAAAGATTTCAGATGGGCGAGATCTAGAGAGGTCTAGAGAGATCTGGCGAACAGAGAGGCGCAGGGGCAGAACTGGCGAGGCCTGGAGAGGCCGGGAGCGGCCGAGCCAGTCACGCGGGGCGGCCAGAGCAGTCGAGCCCATCGCTGAGGAATCTTTGCCGCCAACCATGTGTTTAGTTCATGTCCTGCACTCTATTTCCGTCTATCCCTCTAGGCCCCATTGGGCAATATCCACGGTCCCTTGATCCTGTGAAATTTAGGGGGAGGTAGGACAGACCCTGTCGGTCCTCAGTCCGGGGATTCTGGGGACCCGAACCGAAATTTTCTTCCATCTCCCACCAGTCACTGGGCTCAGCCACCGTTGCCCTCGGCTGAAACCATGGATTCCGTGCAGTCAACAATAGTATTCAGGGTCAACCGTCTCACCGGAACCGTTTTGGGCAGACTGCCAACACTCCGGAGCTGGCATGATGGCATCAAGGTGACATTGAGTTATCAAACCGCCACCATGACGTGAATCAGATGACGATCCCCATGACTTTCTCACTCTGTAGATTGCAACGCTGGCTTGATTGGACTTAACAATTGAACGCCCGAGATATGCCCGTGCTTGGCCAGCTGCGCAGCCGCCCAATCCCCAGTCCCGACGACCTGATTGCAGCGCTTGAGACGCCGGCGGTCTTGTCCAAACTCTAAAGGAGATAGAGTTGCACGCAGTCTCGACATGGAGAGGATCGGCCGTGGGTGTTGATCGAAGGTTCAGAACATGTACATCGCAACATGCCCAGCAATCAGCCCATGACAACTCTTGGCGATTGCGTAGCAAGTAAACGTCGTCTATGCTTCCATTGCGACCGCACCTGGAATTGACGGACATAGATAGAAACAGAAAATGGGGCTACAAAAAATAAAAAGAAATTGAATTCTCCGATACGGGGAATCGAACCCCGAGCTGCCGCGGTCAAATCTTTCGTTTTGAAAGGCGGCGATGTTAGCCGTTACACCATATCGGATGTGATGGAAGAATGACATCTTATTGTCTACATAGCCTACGTCTGGCTTTGTGCCATCTAATTCATTAATCACCATCTGTATTCTATTGACGAAATAAACCGTACAAGTAGTGCACATTGATTCTAGTCGTTGATATGCGAATTTTCACAGTCTACTCATAGTGCATCAATGCCATTGGTTTCCCGCTGGAAGAACCTCAGATCACTGCAGCAAGACGGCACGGCTTATGACATATTTATTTCTGGTGGACCACGGCCCTCCCGCAATCTACCAGAGTATCTGCCCAGGATGAGACACCGAAACCCAACACTGATGATCACAATCCTGCTTTTACGTGCCAAGTACGCCATCCACCCATGCATGTATGCCGGCAAATATAGAATTAACCCACAGAACCTTATGTACACACTATATACCGACGCGCCAAACCAGAACTTCGACCGGCCTACCATCGCCAGATGAGAAACAAGTACCAACAAAGCACGATTTTGGCCACCCCCACAACCGACGCAAGGAATTCTTCCTTAATCTGCGCCGGCTTCGACTCACCCCCCGGGCGCCGTGGGCCGCCGCGCGTTGGCTTCCACTTGGAGCTCTCGGCGTCATCCTCATCTGCGCTCGCGTAAGTAGCGTACAGGGGAGGTGCATTCACCGCACGGCTGGCCAGCCCGCGCGGCGACGGAAACGTGGAACTAGACGTACTGGAAGAGGGAGTCTTGTATCGGGCCGGGCGCGACGGTGGAGCCGAGCGATGCTCCGACAAGGGGAGGATGGGATCGGTGGGACCAGCCCGGGATGAAGGGTATTGTACAATGATCGTGGCGCGGACAAGCAGGGCACAAAGGGTGAGGCCAAATATCAGCCCGTAATAGATGAAGATGGATAATTGGTCGGGGAGAAGACACAGATGGTTCTGGAGAGTACGACCGGCATTGGAGGTTCCAATAGACTGCCCAGTGACCTGGTCGATAGGATTCCACAGGCTGGTGAGTACAAACCCCGGTTGCCGGATCCCCATGGCCCAGGATAGGCTCTTTACTGTAATCTCCTTGGGAGATCCGCTGAACTCATGGTGAGAAATCTCGCAGTAGTCGTGGTCGTCCCCCGAGTACATTTGGACCAAGTTTGGCCCCACCTTCGATACGATATCCCGGGAGATGGCCGGGGTCAGGACATTCTGATACTGGTAGCCCCGTCCCATGGAAATGGCGTTCGGTTCATCCTCCTCTAGGTCTTCACCACTCGGGGGATGGCGTTCGCGGTAAGGTCCGCACGGCGTGGCCGGCCGGCGATACAGCGGGACATGCGAAAGAAGGATTGTGGGAAACCCCGTAACCTCGGGCTGGGGCTGGTAATAGACTGACGGTTCCAGAACGTCAACAGCCCGATGCTGAAAGAGACGCCCTTCAGTCTTATTCCCCAGCATGCGCAATGCCTCCATCTCCGCTCTACCCCGATGCGCGCCCATGTGGTCAAGGAAGTCCTGGGTTTCCTTCCAAATGTGTTCGTTTGGCTGCTCTCCATCGCCGGAGCCCGTGCCCGAGCTGCCTGTCTCCGGGTCAGGCTGATCCATGGCGCTCAGCGACACGGTATCGACCGAAACAATGGTATGGTTCCCGATCACGTCCACGCGGTTACTCTTGCCGAAGAAGCTTCGAAACCGATCGCGAACCGGGATCTGAACTCCGGAGCCAAACCCCAGATCGTGATTCCCGGGCAAACCAGTGATCATCCGCCGCCCAATTGGGTCCGCTGTGTGTTCATCGCCCTCATTCCATGTATCAACGAAGATTCTCACAAATCGATGGAACTCCTTCTTCCAGAACCGATCGTTGTACTTCTTGTAACGCTTCTCTGGGCTGGAGCTGGATGCCGTGGCCCATTCCCTACCACCGTCGAAAAGGTCACCCAAGAACAGCACCGAGTCCGGGCCTAGTTCATTCTGTATAGACGAAAAGGACCGCCGAAGATACTGGTCGGTGAATTTGACGGTCAAGGTCGAAAGAGGCCATGGCCGACCGGGGTAGGTGTGAGGATCGACTAATTGCGGGTCGGCGATAAAGGCGACGTGATGTGGCGTTGCGTCTTGAGACTATATCAGAGGAAGATAACAAGTCAGTACAAGACGCGAGGAATAACAACTCATTGGACGTAACCACGTACCCATTTCTCCCAATTGCCCCAGCCGCACGCCTTCACACTGTCCTGGAAGACAGTCCGTTCGCCCCACCATAGTGTGTAAATCCAGAAGAGAATCAGAGCATTTGAGACTGTAAAAATGTGTCTCACGACCCTCTTGAGCAACGACCACACTCCATTCCTGCTACTCATCTCCTCCTGTAGATCCGATGCCCACTGTCTTGCCCATGACGGCAGCAACTGACGCCAATGTCCCGAAACATTCGAAGCTTCCACGGGAGTGCCTCGTCGGGCCGGACGATAGGGATCAGCGGCGGTACTATGCGAATATGAATAGCTCATCGTCGTTGTTTCAGCCTTTGGATGGTCAAGCGCAGCTCTGCTGCATTGCCGTGCCGAGGCTGACACGAGAGGTGGGCAGCTAGCAGTTGGCCAAACTGGATATCATGCTTCGGGAAGCGTTAACGATAGTGAGTAGTTCCGATGAACGAGAGACCATGCGCCCGAGAGAATTAAGAATGAGAGTCAGTACATGGCGATGTGGGAATGAATGGTCAAGGGGGGATCGCCGCTGATGGACGGGGTCCCGTCACGTGGGCCGCGGTCTCGAACTTAAGACATCCATCCCGTTGCGGTGGCCGGTCGGCTGACATGCTACAAATGATTGCGCCAAGATCATCTAAAAAGAGGGTATGCAATGGTTTTGCTAAGAATACAAGTATTAAGAATAGAAGAACATAAAAGGGAAAAGAATGCTGTTCACACCTGCCAGTGACAAGTTTCATCACATGCAGTCATCTAGGAAGTCCACCCAACATGCACCAAGTTTACCTGGGAAGCAATATCAACAACGGCCCGCCCTAACATATAGGTTTCAGTCATACAAATAAGTGGGTATGTTAAACAAGAAGGAAATATTATGATGAAGTGGTAGAAGGAGTGTAGGAACAGGAGGATGGTATAATCGTCCGATTTTTTAATCACCTCACGGTGACTTCTTGGGGCAACACTGGCCACCCCGGGCACACTCCTCGCCGCATTCCAGGAGGCACGCCTGCGAATCGCCGTCGGGTACACTGGGTGTGCGGCTGGGAAGAGTACCCGAGGTGGAGGGTCCGATGCTGCCTGCACGGGCATATGAGGGCGCAGTAAGGGTATCCTCAGCGTCGCTGTCGGGAGCAAATTCCGGCTGAATCGTCGAGGAATGGATTCCATAGGCGTGCAGGCATTTTCTCACCTGCCTGGCCAGACGCATGTAGCGTTCCGAGCCTTCACCCTTGATTTCCGTGTCCACCTGGATATGGATAGAAGCGACAATCTTCGTGTCGCTCAGCTGCCATACATGCAGGTGGTGAGAGCCGATGACACCAGGTAGTCGTTCAATGTCCTCCTTGATGTGATCGATACTGAGTCCATGTGGCACTGCTTGCAGAAGAATCCGCGAGGCAGCCTTGCATAGGGGGATGGCGGAGAGCAGAATGATCACGGTGATAACCAGCGAAATGCCGGGGTCCACGTAGAATCGCCAAGAGTAATCAGTCAGCCAGATGATGAGAGCAGAAACGATGACACCAATGTTGCCCAGCGCATCGCCCATCACGTGGAGGAAGACACCCCGCATGTTGAGGTCGTGTCCGTGGCCATGGCCGTGTCCTTGGTCCCTGGGTTTGGGCTGAGCGTGGTTGTGGGACTTGTGAAGATCGTCATCCCCTGCAGTGTTTCGTCCTCGAGCGGGTACTTCAGCGTCATCGGTATATTTACCTGTACGGTCGCTGTGACCAAGGAGGGCAGACCGCTCTGATGGATGATTGCCTGCGCCCTCTTGTAGATCGCTGTCCGATCCGGACTGCTCATCATCATAACGATTTCTACTGGCCGCGATAATCTCCTGTCTCAGGCTAGCGGGATGCACTTGGATGTCTTCCACGTCGACATATCCACGGGCGGTCGCGCCACTGTAGCGGCGCGAGCCACGGTGTTGGCTGTCGAGGGTCCGGCGTCGGCGAGAATAGGGAGAGGAGGGTTCGGCGTGCTTGATCGGCTTCGTCAGTGAAATATTCTTGATAGTGATGGCTTAACTTACGTTGCCTTGACCATCGGCGTGAACATGGTCATGGTCGTGGTCATGGTCCGCAGCATGCTCATGCTCAATGTCTGAGCCTTCCTCGAGGTCTCCATGGCCATGACTGTGCCCATGTCCATGGGAGTGATCATGGAATAGAACAAGACCAATTATGTTCGACAACAGGCCGAGACATCCGACAATGCAGACGAATTTCGGGTTCTTCACTTCCTGAGGTTCAACCAGTCTCTGTATAGCTTCCAAGAAAATGGATAGACACAAGGCGACAAGGAAGACGCCGTTTACCAGCGCACCAAGTGTTTCCGCGCGTTGCCACTAGATTACCAAACAGTCAGGACTGGATGTAGAAATGCGACCCAGAAGAAGCTTACCCCGTAGGTGTACATCTTGGAGTTGGTTTCGCGATTAGCGACTTTGACGGCCCATAATCCCACACACAACGATAGGACATCATTCAGCTGTGCCAAACTGGTCAGATTTCGCCGTTTGGATTATTCCGAAAAGATGACAAGGCATACCATGTGAAAGGAGTCTGCGACCAGGGCAAGGGAGTGAACGCTATAACCTGTCGGTACCAATGCTGTTAGCAGAGCAACCCACGGCGCACACCCATGAGCACGTACCAGCAATCAATTCTAACAAGAAGAATGCCGTATCGATCGCCAACAGGATTAAGATCCTGTTGGTCTTGGAGAGACCCATGATCGGAGGGTCTTGCGCTCAGAGGCGCGAGATTTGGCGAGAAAAGGGAAGGATGACGGCAGACCCGGTCGGGTGTGATGGTTGTAGTCGCTCACGCACCCAGGCCTAGGGAACAGGATACAAAGGGCTCCAAGAAGGTATGATGAGAAGGGAGTAGGAAGGGAGAAGCAGGGAGATGACGGGATGGAAGGTCGGGTGATAAATAAATCATGGACGGAGTCACGGAAGAGATGCTTGAGCCTTGGAGACTGACCAGAGTCCGGCGGAAGGCCGCCCAGCGACCGGGGCAAAAGTGGCGTTAGTCGCACGACAGGCCTCAGGCTGCCATCCGTCCGTCCTCAGCGGGGTCCAGCCTTATCGCGTCTCCACCCGCTGCTCTTGCCTTCTTCCTCTCTCTCTTTGCCATCCTCTTCTCTCTACCACTCATCTCATCTCATGAGGTCTATGATCTATATGCCATCCAAGGTGATGACAATCCGATGCCAAGTTGCAAGCCCGGAAATTTGACTTCCACTTGGGTAACTCATTGTGCGAGCTACCTGCAGCACCCGACATCATCGAGGTACGACACCGTCCAAGGTACGTGGTACGGACTCCACAGTCACGGGGCAGGCAGCAACCGGATTCTCCACCTTCTCCTGAACTGCTATAAAAAAGTATGTTTACCCCCGTCTGTTGAATATGGCCTTCTCTAACTCATTTGCAAAGAAATTAGGGAGTTTACCTACAATCTAATATCTTGCCGCGCCGGATCATCTGATGATATTACAAGGTTGTGATACACCAGGGTCTTTGCTGTGTGTGCATCATTATGACTCGGAGGAAAGAAATTTTGACACTAATGCAAAAGACTAATGCAGCGGCTAGAACGCCATGGGCGACCGTGAGTGCGCTAGTCCTGTAACTATATGCTGGCTAAGCGAGCAGCCGACCAGGCAGACAAGGATCCATTCTCTGAAATGAAGTCGTTACGAGATCCCAGGTCTACAATCCCGGGTTTTAGCTGGGTCCTTGGATTTCTTACCATCCTCGAACCCATGAGGCAGCCGAGTAGCGTGGGCGAGCTGACAACTAATATGCAGCATGACAGAGAATCACAACTCGGATTGAGTTAGCGTTTCATATCACGGAACGGATCTAAAATCGCTCAATGCTTCGGAGATTATGGCTCAAACACCACCCATAGCTTGATCCACAGTCGCACATTCACCAAAGCAGCTACCTACTCCGTGCTCAATTTTGGTCCAACACTGCCCAGAAGCCTCCAGCGGGGCTTTTCGGGCCAAGATAGATCGCTCCATCCTTTGAGCCGCTACTAATTATCTAGCGATTTCTTGTCCTAACCAACATCTGCTGGTACGCCTCCGACATCAAATACACTTGAATGGAAGCGAACCCCACGCAGCGGAGTATAATTGTTCTACAAGTCCATTCTGCACCTAGCGGAGTAAACAAAACATAGAATTCAGTTTGTACCGACGCAAGTTCAATCCTCCTCAGCCCGATAAGACATGAATGTCGGTCTATACTCCAGGCTTCAAACGTCTCTTCCAGTGGGGATGCTGAACATGACTGCCGGCTGGCCATTGCGCCATGGTCGGTCGACTCGGAAATAGCCAGTCCGATCGAACTGTATTATGTCGTCTTCGCAAAGATCCATAACGTTGCAATCCGCCCAAACCTCTGTTCGTGTTTCACTTGGAGCTGTCAGATACGATGCAACGTCTTCGTCCTTCTCAATCTTTTCCTTCGTGATGAGATAGTCGAAAGCATACAGCTCAGCAGGAACCATGTTTGCGGACTCTTTGGCCAGCCAAGTGATCTTCTTCTCGGTATTCTTTACATCCGATTGTAGATCTAGCTTCAGTCGCAAAAGTGATACATCGCCGGTTCGAGAGTCTGTGGATATCTCGGTGACAATTGCGTTTCCCCAGTTCATCAGAGTGACCACCTCAAACTCCTTCAAGAGGCGGGCGTCGTCTTGGCCAAGGAGTATCTCATTGGTGAAGACGACTTTTTTCATTCCCAGCCCAGGGTCCTTGTGTTTGGGTATTTCAACAATGCTATTAGCGTCGATTCCGGCTACCCATGCGGTTACGGCTTTTGCCTTTGGGATGGCTGTGTAGCGAGCTGCTATCGGATCAATGTGTTTTTTGTTTATTGCCCATAGCTTGGTCCAATCCATATTGACGATGTTCTGGCTCGGTCCTTGTTCCAGAATGAACTGTCGCAGCGCCGATATCGTGCAGCCTCTCCGACGAACCCCGCGCACCGTGGGCATGCGAGGATCATCCCAACCCCAAACAGCACCACTCTCAACAATGCTAGTCAGCTTGCGCTTAGACAGAACCGTCCGGACTAAGTTTAGCCTTGAGAAGTCCCAGATTTCCACCCGTCGGAGGCCCATGGCGTCTTGCATCCAGCGATATTGAGCGTTTCGGTCACGATACTCATTTGTCCTCAATGCATGCGTCACCTGCTCAATTGAGTCCATAAACGGGGCGCAGAAATCTTAAGTTGGGTAGATCTTCCAAGCTGTTCCTGTGCGATGGTGCGGTTGATGGTTGCAGCGGTAGATGACGGGATCTCGCAGCGCCTTGTTCACATCATTTACCGATATTTTTGCACGGATGCACCACTGCTGCCCGTCTTCAGTCCCAGACTTCATCGCTTCAAATCTTGCGAGGCTCTTGTCTATACTCATGGTGCGACAGACACTGGCAATTCCCCTCTTTCTCTGATCGCGCATCACCTCCAGGACAGTATTGTCGGCGTATGCATTTCCCGCTTTGATAAGCTCCACACACGCCTCGTACATTGGCTGGAAGTAATCACTAGAATATGAAATGCGATCCGGTACAACGCCGAGGAGCGAAAGATCGTGCAGGATTGAATGTTGGAACTCCTGTGATTCTTTGGAAGGATTTGTGTCATCAAACCGACAGATCAGGGTACCTCTTCTGGCCCCGTACTCATGCGCGAAATAAGAGTTCAACAGCGCCGCCTTTGCATGGCCGATATGCAGATATCCTGAAGGCTCCGGAGGGAAGCGACAGACGATCCCATTCTCCATGTTGTTCAAGCCAATATTGTAATTCGCACCTGCCGCGCTTGCTGCAGCTTTCCTTTGTCGCGCATGGCTCTGAAACCCCGCCACCGCCTCCGTTATCCAAGGATTGGTGTTCTCGATAAAGGAAAACCACCGGGAAATATTGAGGCTATTCCGTCTGAGCCCGACAATCGCAGGGTTACCGCGAAGCGCTCCCCAGATGACAATATCAGCTAAGGTTAGAGAGTACCCAACAATGTAAGAGCGCAGGGTGAGATGCGATTCGAGTTCCTCCATTGGTTTACACAACGCCTTGTAATGACCAACGGCAAATGAAGCACGCCGTTTGAGCCATTCATCCACCTAACAGCAATCAGCTCACAGCACAAGAACACCCCTCTCAGTGAAATGGGCCTACCTCAATTCGCTTCCTAGAAAAGCAACCCTCCATCGCTCTGTAGAAGAAGTCCAAAATCGCTTCATCCACTATACACTCACCATCATCCGTAACAACCTCCAGACTATTCCCTGAATCCAAAGAAACCACATCCTCAAAAATAACACCAACTTACAACCCATTACGCGTCGCATAAGCCGCACTTAACACAATGGGAAGTACAAGAGCGGCATTAGCCCGAGAAGCCACTGTAAGAGTAATCATGATGCTGAATATACACAGAGAAAGAGGGGATGTGAAAGCAGTACAATTTATATTATCTGGTGATCGACGTCTTGAGTCATAGTCATGGATGGAGGCTGTGAACCCCGCAGCCTTGACAGGGGTGCGGCGCTTATTTGGTTCGGTTCAATTCAATTAGCCCCGTGAAACCTTGCAGGCGCTCCACCAATGGGAACGTGGATATGGTCTAGAATGTTATCCGATCTTTCGAGCATGTATGAGTCAACACAATCTACCCAAGGGGGAGGGAAAGCAAAACTATACCTCATCAGACAAAAATGTACGAGATATTTGAAGACTCGAAGAATTCAAAAATACTGATATAATGAATCGCCTACATAACAGGCTCAAGTCCTTTTTATAGGCAGATGTATGCGTGTCCTAGATTACCAACCTAGGTATATACGTAGGGTGTCTTCAGTCCGCGCAAGGCAGCTGGAGAATGCGCCGCATTCCCGGTCCTTATCGAAATCTTTCTACAACAGTTAGTAGAGTTATCTATTGGCGAATTGCCTTATGAGTCACTTTCCCTCATCCCATATGTTCTGTTTTATCTAATCAATTTGATATGTGTAGCTAGGCCTTATGATTATGACGCGTAGACCGAAATGAGCTTTACTCTCTCTCTCTTTTATAATATTTGTTTTTCTCCAGTGGTGCAGCCGCGTTATCAACCATGCTCGTATGTAGACGCACCGACGAACTACCTGCAGGCGATCAGTGAGGACAATCCAGCCTTAACCTCAAGGTGTATAAGGCGGCGGGGGCGACCGCGACGACGCTCTCTCGTAGTTATGATGCATCGCCGTATTGATCCCCCTTCCCATATTCATCCCCGCATAGCCATTGCTGGAGAAGTTGTCGAAGAATCTCGTTGGCGTCATATCGTCACCCATATACAAGCGTCCTGTAGATTGGTTGGTAACCGTTGAGCCTGGGGGATTGAAGATAAACTCCCGACTAAAGATATTCCCTCTTAGGTGATCGATGTCAAACGCCCCCTCTGAACGGGACGCCCCCTCTAGCCAATGACTCGCATCCCTCACCTCCAGCACGAGGTTCTCCGGCAATGGCACGATCTAGGGGGAGAACCAGTCAGCCAAATTCATCGTCAACCAACTTCCAATAAACAAACAAACAAGGAATACTTACCATCCCATTCCGCGTCTCCATCACCACATCCCCCTCCTGCAACTTGCCCACCAAAATTCCATTTCGCCAGACCCCGTTCTTCAGCACCATCCCTGAGAAAGCTGTCCTCAACAACACACAGTTTTCCACCTCGCATTCGTTGAGCGTGGATCGATGCAATGAGCTCCCAGAAATAGTAGATCTATTGACAGTGCTCCGTTCCACCCAACTATTCTGCTGAATAGTGGAATTGGTAGCAGTACTACGGGACGCCTTAGACCCCGCAAGTAATTTCACATTGCGGAGAGTACTTCGGTCTGCCTGAGAGCCATTGAGTGTGCTACCTATGGTCAAGGACCTGGAGCTGGTGAAGTTGGCGCTGCCGAAGGTTTGGAAGGCCATGGTTTCGATTGAAAGCTGGATCGCAGAGCGAAGCGATAAGTTGAAATAAGGGGCGAGATATGCTGTTGCCTATCTGTACCTATCCTCTTAGGATCGGTAGGACCCAACTTGCAGTGAATTCTTGATGTGTATCAAGGGTTGCCTGAATGGGTAGTGGCTCAGTATTAGGCCGCAGGAGCCTGCTGACTGTGGATCTGATCAGGGTCACTGTAAATGTTGAACAGATTCAGATGTCCAGTGAGTAGATGAGCGGACTCAAGCAAATTCTTATAGACAGAGCCATGGCCTACATTACCTACCCCTGATAGGAGTGTTCCTACATACATGGAGGACCCGTCCGAGATATAGGCAACTTCCACAATAACTGTCAGCCGCCTTTTATCTTGAAGAGATATCACCCGCCATTGGACCAAACGAACGATTGATGTCTTGCGCATAAGCACGACGAGATCGGGACCTGTGGGGTGAGGTTCAAAGGATGATTGCCGGGCGTTGGTCGGCTGACACGACGGTCTGACAGTCTCCGTGGTTCCGACCCGACAGGCGTCCCATCCCATCGGGCCGGAGATAGCCATACTTAACCCGGCTTATGTTCCCGGAACCTTCCCACAAGGATCTGTCCTCAACAGACAACACCATGGCCCATCCACCACGCAAGATCCTGTTGGTCGTAACAACCGGGGGCTTTACCCATGCCGGTAAGTACAGGATTAATTCCCCATTCGAGTCAACATCATAGTAATCAGTGACGCAGCCCCGGTGCTTGAAATCGGCAAAGTCCTGGCGGGGCGAGGCCACACGGTTGACTTTGCAACTCTGAACGGCCAGGAACACTGGATAAATGACTATCCTTTCATCTCGCAAGTCCATCTGCTTGGGGACGGCCCCACCGAGAAACAGTATGATGAGCACTACCTTCGCATGCGTACATGGGACATGTCCGTCGGACTGGCTGGAGCGATGCCCTCGAAGTACATGTTTGACTCGTTCTGGCCAGTAACCTACCGTGGCCTCAAAGCCATCATGGAGAACCCAACACGTCGTCCGGATTTCATCGTGGCTGATTTCTTCGTCGACGCGGTCAAAGACATGAAAATTCAATATGGGGTGCAAATTGCTATTGTCATGCCAACCATGCCCGTGCTGATGCTTCCATGCAGCTACATCCCGGGTCAGCCAGGGTTCCAGCTTGATATGACGCTCACCTCGGAGCATGCATCGATGTGGCTCAGAATCAAGAATGAATTAGTCGTGGTGAAGGGCTTACCGGAGATCATCCGGCTCTCCCGCTGGACGAAAAGAATGCGTCGCGAGAATGGAGTGAACTATGATCTTCCCTCGCAGAAGAAGCCCGATTATATTGTGCTCGTGAACTCGTTCTTTGGATTGGAGATTCCCAGGGATCTGCCCCCCCTTGCGGCAGCTGTTGGACCCATTCTCGGTGATGAGTACCCGTCTCTGGACGCAGACTGCGAGCAGTTTTTGTCAACACATAAGAGGGTGATGTATATCGCTCTCGGAACGCATATCATTCTTTCTAATGCAGATGCCGCGAAGATTATGATTGCTCTATTTCGTGTGCTCGAAGCAGGTCTTCTTGATGGTGTGATTTGGGCAATGGGGAAAAGCGGCCGCCAGGATCTAGACTTGACTCATACCTTCAACACGCTCTCAGGACCTGTCACATTTGATGATATTTTGTCCGGCCATCATCCGGATTTTATTTGCCCCTTCTTTGCGCCCCAGCGCGCCATCCTCGACCATGAGGCCACCCAGGTATACTTCACGCATGGAGGTGGATCAAGCGCAAACGAGGGTCTCTTCCACGGTAAACGGATGTTGACAATGGGGATTTTCTCCGATCAGATCGCGAATACTGCGCGCCTGGTGCACGGGGGCGTCGCGGAACCGTTGAATAAGTTCAATTTCTCGTCGGAGGAAATATATGAAAAAGCAAAGCGGGTCTTGGAGGATAAAGAAGGAACATATGCACGGAGCTCACTGAGATTACAGCGCGTTGCGCGGGTAGCAGCACGAAGAAAATATTATGCTGCGGATCTGATTGAGGAGGTGATGTATGACAATGAGCTGAGGATCAAAGATAGCAAAGAACTCAGGCCGATGCACTTGCAGACGGCAGACGTAAGGATGTCCGCTTTTAAGGCCAGAAACTGGGATTTGATGGCTGTTGGGCTGGTGGCGTTGGTAGGGGGTTTGGGGGGTGTGGGCATATTGGGGAGAATGCTGTGGAAGAATAGGCAGCTTGCAAAGGGTTTCTGGGAGGAGATGACTTATAGAGCCGGCGGCTTGCTCCGAAGGTAGGGGCGATAAGTCTGCATAGTGCGTATCCACGGCCTTGGTCGTCGAGAGTCAGGGCCAGGCAGCCGTATAATCTCAGCTCCATCCGAACACAATGAAAGCTTTTGCCACGCGACTAATGTAGCACGAACACCGGCGAACACAGGTTAGGTACTGCATGAGACCTTTCCTGTTAGATCAGGCCAGAACCATTTTTCGAATGCAAGGTGCGATGAGCACGATCACTTGAACCCGCCCCTTGCTTCATCTTAGAGGGATGGGGCAGATCTTTAAGAGACTGGCGCCAATATCACTCGTAAAAGTCCTCGGCGAGCTCTATCGGGGTATACTGCTGCTGAGTTCGACAATATTTTCTGGACTTAATAGCAGAAATGGATCGAAAGGATGCTGCCATCAGCATAGAGAGCATTCAAGATGGTGAAATTGATGTGCTCAGCTTGGACGATGCTGTCGCTCCTGCGAGTGGCAAGCCAGACATGCCACATCAATTTAATTGGATCTCAACTCTCGGGATATCCTTCTCGATCACGAATTCCTGGGCAGGCTATCTGGTGAGCGCCCCCGTCAGAACACTGAAAGCATTTGCTGAGAGTATGATGTTGTATAGAGCAATTTCGGCCAGACCCTGGCTTACGGCGGTCCTCGGCTAGTAATATTCGGGTTTATCTGTGCGATTGTTGTCCAGTTTATCGTAGTCCTCGGGCTCAGTGAGCTGGCATCGGCCTTTCCGGTATGCTGCCTCGAAAGCCTTGTCGTGGCCGTGTAGCTCACAGGACTAGTCGAGTGGAGGCCAGTATCACTTCTGCTATATGCTCAGTCCGACAAAGTCAAGAAGGTTTGCTGCCTTCGTGGTCGGATGTATGTCTGTTCTAGCGTGGTGGATAGTGACGTAAGTTTACCAGCCTCTGAGTCTGTCAATTTGGGAATCCTGCTGATCATCGCAGATCTTCCGGTATCTCACTTGTCACGGCCTCCCTTGCGGGAATTGTGAAATTCTGGCGTCCAGAGTATTCGGCCTCTCAATGGCACATATATCTTATCTATATTGCCGTAGCTCTGCTGACATGTGAGCCTCTTAGTCCGTTTGAGCACTCTGAGATGTCTGACATATATTAGTGATCCCAATATTTGTGGCTCCAAGCAAAGTCCACTGGACAGTTCAGACGGCTCTTTTCCTATCTCTCATGGGCATGGTCCTTGTTTTCATCGTCTCACTTGCCATGTGCCAACAAAAGCAACCAGTATCATTCCTGCTACAATCTGGATATGGAATATCCGGTTGGAATGACGGTACTGCGTGGATGCTGGGTGTAATGAATGCGATGTACGCCATTACAGGAACTGATGCGGGTATGCGTATCTGTTGACTCACATGTTGTAGCTTGCTGACCTCAGGTTCAGCCATTCATATCAGTGAAGAACTCCCGCAGCCAGGGAAGCGTGTTCCTCAGGCCATGATAATGAGTATTTTTCTGAGTCTCGCCACCTGCCTGCCTCTGTTTGTTGCTTTGATGTTCTGCATGTCCGATATGAATGCCGTGGTCAGCTCAGCGCTTCCGAGCATGGAGTTGATTTATCAGGCGTAGGTGTAGTCGTGTCATTTATGCTGTCACAGTTGCTGATTACTTTATGCAGGACCCAGAGTAAAGGTCTTACCACTTTTTTGTCGGTATGGCTTTTGGCCATCTATGCTGGTCAGTTCTTGGAAGCATACTCACTTGCCATCTAAGCCTGACTGACAAGCTTCAGCCTCCATTCCATCTCAATGGGTAACTTGCAGCAGAATGGCATGGGCACTGGCCCGAGATGTGAGCCTTTCGAAGACCAATTTAGTGTCTCGAGCTGACCTGAGCAGATTGATTCCCCATCGGCAAGATACTTCGCTCAAGTAGACGTAAAACTCAAGTTTCCTGTTAGGACAACAGTCGCCACATTCATTTTCATCGCCGTATATAGCCTGCTGTACCTTGTTTCCTCCGGTGCATTCAACATGATTACCAACTGCGCGGTTCTTTTTCTCAATATAACCTATGTGGTGCCACAGGGCTTAATCCTGGTCTCAGGACGGTCAAGGTTGCTTCCACGTCGATATGTAAACCTCGGTTTTCTGGGTTATTTCTGCAATGCCTTTGTCGTTTTATGGATAGTAGTCTTAGGGGTGTTTGTTTGTCTTCCCCTTGAACTGCCTGTGGAAGCTGCGTTGATGAACTATACGTCTGTTGTGCTTGTTGGGCTGTTTGCTCTTGTGATTCTTCTGTGGTATCGGCTGGGCAGACGAGCATTCAAGGGGCCTCAGATTAACTGGGAGATGATGCAAACTGCAGATGCTGCTCCTAAGTAAGAGGCAATTCTGGTTGACTTCGACCGTGGAAGTCATATGAAATCACGACAACGTAAGACTGCACTCAACGTGTACTGCACCTCAATTCCTTCAATCTAGCCACGCAATCTAAGTGCGCATGGAGTCCACAAGCCAGGTCGATTCTCTCTTACCGTAGGAGACGGCTGTCTGGCACTCCCCCAACATCAGTTTCTTTACACAAACAGCTATCCCAAGCCAAACCAGTTGATAGAAGAACAAATCACGTACCTTATCTCACTTAGCCATTTATGAGTCAACGTAGCAATGATTCCAGGATGCGTGGTTGATGGCAATGTATGAATGACGGGAAAAGTCAAAGTCAAAGCAGGCTCCAGCTGCCCCTCCCTTTCTGTGCGACGCTTTCCCTCCTCCTTTTCCTTCCTCCCCACCATCCATCCATCCACCTTGTTTCTCTTCCCACAGGTAATTGGGACCTTCTCACTATCCCAACCACCACTGTCACCACCTCACCTCACCTCCATCATAGTACAGCATATCCAACACATACCCGCAATATCAAACCCAACTATCCAAACCAAACCCAAACCATGACCACCAACCCCAAACTCACCCTCCCCGCAACCTGCCCCGCCCTCCACCAAGGCGACTCGAACAACTAGTCCGAGGCCTCCTTCGCACTCTACACGCTCGTGACCCTGCCCCCTGTCGATCTCACGACCATCCTAACGACCCTAAACCTCCAATGGCAAAGAGACATGATCCCCGAGGCCATGTGTCTCGTCCGCACCCCCGGCTTATACAACTACACCGGGCAAGATTTCCAAGCCGTTTTACAGGCGCACACGAACTCAACAAGGAATTTGTGCCGCGGGGGGCGACATTCATTGGTACCCGACAGCATTTATGTGGTTACGGGTTGGGATTGGAAAGAAACGGGATTGTTGTTTGTGTATGTTGATACGAAGGGAGAGTGTCCTCTGGAGAGGTTTTTCTTCAAGTTGAGGACGCGTATGGTATGTTGTTGGGGCTGAATTTGAGGATGTTGACGTTTGAGCAGTGTGCGAGGTTTTATGGTTTGGAGATGAGGAGGGAGAGGAGGGCGGTTGGTCATGTAGTTTGGTGATCATGGACAGGGCACAGTACCATAATTTAGATGCAAATAAGCGGCCTGTGTTTCAACAAATGGGGCTGTGGTTTAGTGGTATAATATTCCCTTAGCATGGGAGAGGTCCGGGGTTCGATTCCCCGCAGCTCCATTTTTTGACATTTTTTCCTACCCGCCCGAGTAACGGTAGACGGGACAGGAAGTTGATTTACCGTTTTAATTTAATTTACGGAGCCATTCATTGTAATGCCGATTGTTCACTATTCTGATCAAAATAGCTCCGTAAGTCCGCAAGTTGTCATGAGAATGCACGATGATCAATTATGTCTCCGCAGTTGCGAATATATATTTGGTAGGAATCCGTCGTTATCCGCAGCGGTAACTGAACGTGGATATTGGAGGGCTCAATTACCTTCGAGATAGTAATTAGATCCCATAGCAGGAGGCACTAACATTAAGAAAGCCTAATAGCCGAATCTCAGGACCATATATGCATTGCGTTGAATAGATCACATTCTATCTCACCTCCAATTTTACTGATGGTTGAAACCCATCCGAGGATCCGGTACTTCCGGCGTGCCGCTCTAATTACCATAAAGCTGCACAAACAAGCTTTATCAACCGTTGTGACCCGGCCAGTGGGTCTCGGCACTGCTAAACAAGCCCCAGGCCCGTATAGATAGGCTGGAGATAACTCGGAATTCCTCGCTGTCTCAGCTCACCCAGGATCGGCAGGTCGCAAGCAGGATGCGAGTTGATTTTGGTGGGCCGCGCAACTGATCGAGGGGTGGATCAACCGGTACGTCATGCAGATGCCATACATCATTGTCGATGCCCGCGGCTACAATATAATGAAGCAGGAGGTTTCTCTACGATGTCTATCATAAGCTCAATATCTCCCGCTCATACTCATCGAACTGTTCAACGAAACCATCTGCACCAAACACAAGAATGACAGTTCCCATCGAGGATAGCTTCGATTTCATCGTGGTTGGCGGTATGTCTGGACTCGAGTTGCATTATTTTATCTTCTGACATGATGCAGGCGGCACTGCTGGCAATGTGGTTGCCGGTCGGCTGGCAGAGAATCCCGACGTAAAAGTGCTGGTCATTGAAGCAGGTGTTAGGTAGATTAAGCTCCTTAGCAACCACACGCGTCTTGCTGACTATCATCAGCAACCCCAGTGAAATCTCAGAGATCTCCACGCCGGCATCTGCCTTTGGGCTGCGTGACAGCCAGTATGACTGGGCCTACAAGTCAACCCTGATCAACAAGCCGTACTATGAACGCGTGGAGAAGCCCAATACCCGCGGTAAAGTCCTTGGTGGCAGTAGCTCTTTAAACTACTACACCTGGATCAGGGGAAGTAAGGGGACCTTCGATGCTTGGTCCGAGTATGGAGGGCCTACCTGGAACTGGGATGAGTGCAAAGAATACTTTGACAAGGTAATAAACCAACAAGAGAGAGAAAAGGGCACCAACTAACGCTGCAGTAGCCTGCTTCTTATCATGACGATGATAATCTCTATCCCGCGGAGCTGTCCAAGATCGGCCGCAATGGTCCTCTTCATGTGTCCCATGCGGACCTTGTTCCCGAACTGCATACCTTCCGTGACGCTCTTTCTGCAGCGTGGACCAGCAAAGGCCAAAGAATCAACGAGGATATATACTCTGGGAAGATGGAGGGTCTAACACACTGTGTCAACAGTATTTACAAGGGTGTGAGATCGACCAGCGCATCCTACCTAACTGACAAGCCGAATGTGACAATCCTTAGCTCCGCAATTAGCAAGAAGATCAACTTTGACGATGATAGAGCAACAAGTGTCACTGTCTCAAACGTTAATGGCTCCGAGCTAACACTCACGGCAAAGCATGAGATTATCATCGCGTGCGGAGTTTTCGAGACACCGAAACTTCTGATGCTCTCAGGTATCGGTCCAAAAGATGAGCTAGATCGACATGGCATTAACCCAGTCGTACACTCTGAGCATGTCGGTCAGAACCTCGTCGACCATCCCATTCTTGCTCACGTTTTCCGTCTCAAGGATGGCACTGGCCTTGACAGCCATCTTCTCCGCGCTGGCGCTGCCCACAGCGCAGCGGTGCAAAAATACCGCACCAGCAAACAAGGTCCCTTCAGTAGTGGACTATTGGAAATGGTAGGCCTGCCGCGAATCGATAGCCGCTTAGAGCGATACAAGGACTATCGCGACGCGAAGGCTCAGAATGGTGGTTTGGATCCATTCGGACCAGAAGGACAGCCGCATTTCGAGATTGATTTCGTGGTAAGCACCTGTCCTAGCACCAGGATTCACGAGTACCTGAACAAAGGACAACTTAGCTGATATAAGTGCAGCCGATGTTCTCCGACGCCTTCCAATGGCACTTCCCCATCCCCCCCGAGGGGGACTGGCTAACCGTCATCGTGGACCTTCTTCGCCCATTGTCCAAGAACGGGGAAGTGAAGCTCAACTCGGCTGATCCACTCCAACAGCCATATATTAATCTGAACTTCTTTTCCAACGAGCTCGACATCCTGGCCTTGCGGGAGGGGGTCCGCTTCATCGACGATATTCTCACGACTGGTGATGGGATGAAGGATATTATCGGGGAGGACTACCCTTGGCCGATGCCTCGACATTCAGATGAAGCCATGAACAAGACGATTTTGGAGAGATCGCAGACTGGATACCGTAAGCTTTCCTCACCCTGGTGCAGCATGCAGAGTATGTAATTAATGTGCGCACCACAGACCCCTGCGGCACGGCCCGTCTGTCCAAGGATATTGGTCAGGGCGTCGTGGACCCAGAGCTTCGCGTCCACGGCGTGAAGAATCTTCGCGTCATCGATGCGTCAATTATTCCTGTGATTCCTGACTGTCGAATTCAGAACGCCGTGTATATGATTGGAGAAAAGGTGAGATGATTGACCCCGGATCCTTCATTGAGATCGCATACTAATGCGTGGCGACTAGGGTGCGGATACGATCAAGGCGGCTTATCCATCCATTTATCAAGCTTGATTGCGGGGTTCTTCCGCAGTAGCATCGTATGAGTCAGACATGATGAGCTAAGCTTAATATCTTCCCAATTCCGATTAGTACGGGTAAATGTAGATGAGATTAATGTTGAGGATTATGGACGCAGAAATCACGTAAGATTAATTGATTGCAACAGATCCAGGGTCACGTGTGGCTCGCCTATCTGTCAGCTCCAGGCAGTCTTATCAAAGCAATTGGAGGCCTAAAATGTTGCCCCTCCATCTATATACCAGACATATACCAGACAACGAAGGAGCACATTTCACTCACCAACATGGATCCCACTCCCACTACCAACTCGGAGGTCATCTTTGGCAGCTGTCTCTGCGGCGGAATCCAGTATGAAATCATCGGCCAGCCGATCAAGCGAGTCCTCTGTCACTGCGACAATTGTCGCAAAACGACCGGATCCAGCTTTATGGCGAATAGTATTGTGATGCAGTCGGTATAGTCCCTTCCATATATTCATCCCCTTCTTCATCATTGAAGTGCCTCCAATCCGATATCCGACTGACACTTCGAAGCAATTCCACATCAAATCCGGCGAGTCTCTCGTCCAAAGCTACAAAGACACCAACGTAGCATCAGGGGGTGTTCTGGTCAGACGTTTCTGTCGTGTTTGCGGATCACCGGTGCATACCAACAACAGCGTGTATGAGCAATTCGTGGCTGTTCCTTCGGGCACAATGGATGGGGAGGAAGCGAAGACTTGGAAACCTCAGGAGGAATATTACTGTAAGGGGCGGAGGAAGTATTTGCCAGTTCTGGAAGAGACGAAGCGGATGGATACCCAGTGAGATGTCGTGTCTGGTGTTCGGAGATGATTGTATGAATGTGTATCTGTTGGAGTGTTGGTAGGTTGGATTCTGGAGTTCTATGATTTGAAACATGGTCGGCGAAGTGTGTTGGAGAGACAAGTGAAAGATATGGGGTGAGGTAGGGAGACGGAGTGCATGGATGTAAATCAAAAAAACTATGTACTTATCGCTTTGCCGGGTAGCCGAGATCCTCAAAGAGCAGTTGCCTCAGGCGGCCTAACCAGACTTCCAGCCTGAGGCTTTACAAAGGCCTCGACAAATCAAAGCAACTAGCAATGTCTGAAAAGATCCATGCCACAATTAGATACAAAGTCATGAAGCCACAATAGTGTTGACGATGGCTCTTGTCAGTAAGCCGGCAGAGTTCAATATGCAGTTCCTGGGTTATCCCGAACTTGCACTCGTCCAGGATACTACATGCCGGTGAAATTAGTGGGTAGCCAGGGATGAGGTGTGAATATGGCAAAGCAGGCTGACAGTATACTTCTAATATTAATTTCATTTCATTAAATACAGTATACTCTATGGGTCAGATGGCATTATTATCATATCCGTGTGCAATCCTTCCTAGCATTCCAATGACAGTCCAGAGTTGGAAATTCGCAAGGCTCGGGTGGTCTACTACTTCAGGTCGCTGCAGCCAAGGGCCAGGATGCCATTCTATCTTCTCGTTAGACGGATCATACCCACGAGAAACTGAAAACATACCAGGAGGTTGGCCTCAGTACAGCACTGAGGAGCCGACGTGCAGCTTTTGCTATAGGTAGTGCCTGTTGATCCTCATTAGTATTTCGTGCAGGTGCCAATGAGTCCAACATTCAACATACAGTCAAGGCCGACTGAGCCGACAACGCTCGCAGCATCGATACCCAGGGTCTCGAGTAAAGGGTCGACTGTAGAGTCAAGAGGAGTGGTCAGGGAGCCACAGCACAAAAGGTCACCAACGCAGTCAGAGGTAGCGCCTCTCTGAGCAACGGGAACAGCCGAAGAAATGGCAGTGGTGGCAATAGCCAGGATGGAGATAGCGGTAGTGAACTGCATTGTGGTGATTGAGACGCAAGGGTGCAAAAAGAGTCTGCGACTAGAGAAATGACTTCTATGTCTGAGCCTGAGCTTGGAGTTTGATGTTGAATAACCCATATGAGGGATTCAAGGGTCCTATATATACTCGAGGATAGACCATTTGCCAATGATCGAGCAGTCGACGATCGCCACCGAGCCCATGGAGTGAGTTGATCAGCCCCATGGCAACTCCCAATCGTACCTGTGATGGTTATCTCATTTCACTTCCTAGTCGCATTCGGTCGAGACGAGCCGATAGTCGAAGCCTCAAAAGCGAGTCAGTCACATTTTGGATGGATCAATTGATCTGCAAATAGGCCGTTGTGGTATAGAATCTGAAGCCAGTCCCATGGGACAGGAGTCCGAAGGTAACAGTCAAAGTCTCGAAGGCGAGAGATGAGTCCAAAGCCATGGTTTGTGGCACCTTGGATCTCTCAGGTACCGATGCAAGCGAGGACCACTGTGGAGAAAAAAAGACCGATCATTACCTAGTTCCGGGGGATATTCTGCATATGGTCAAGATTCAGAGCCCAGTAGTTTGGGAACTGGGGCCAACTCAAACGCAGTGTGCCCGTCAAGCAACAGAGCCTTATCAGTTGAACCAAAGAGAAGACCAATATGGTGGCGAATCAGAGACGTTGTTGACCATCTCGGGAACTCAAGGAATGCAAGATAGCCGGACGGAAGAATGGAGAGCGAGATAAGGAACCATCTAAATTTGGGTTCCTGAAAGTCAGATCTGTGCATCTGCGCCGCATCCAGGCGATACCAGTCCATGAGCCATTGCTAAACTGGAATAATGCGGTTGAAGGCAGTTGACTTTTGCCGGCCGGCCGGCCTAACGGACGAGCCATCACCGTAGACAGCGTCATCCGGAGTCTCAAATCCAGGGTCCAGGGGTACCGTTGTCACCCAGTATAACTCCTCAGATGGGTCATCAGGTCCGTCCGCTTTCAACCCTGCTGCTGAAGGGACCGATAGAAGATCATTTACGTAAAGCCATATTAGGCGTCCAGCCAAGCGCTCTAATGACTGATCTCATTGACATGCTTTGGCTGGGTTAGACTTCGCGTTAGATCGGAGTTCAATCGGACGGAAGACTACGGACCAATAAGGAGCCTATTCCCTCAAGGCCAAGCAGCTATCCCGATCCATTGGATGTTGGTGCGCATGAGGCTCGGGTCTCTTTCGGAGGTATCCTATCTATTGTCGATCTTTCGGATGTTTTGTCACTCGGAGGGACGCAAGAGAGATAAGAGATGACTGTGATTGAATGGTAAGATGGATTGGGATCGACTATCAAGATGACTTTACCGAATGTCTTTACCGAGGCTGAGACCGAGGCGATCCCTTGGAGAAGAGGCGAGACCAAGAACCATGGGCCATACTCCGTCATGTGAGATCATGTGATGCATACCTAATTGTACGGAATATATCTGACTCAGCATACATAGATCGCCCGCATAGTCCACGTGATGCGGGCCACATGTATCTTTGATCAGTTGTGGCGGTGCAATGCCAAGACGGGTGCGCCACACCACTCGCGACACAAAAATGCAAAGTTGAAAGTTGAAGCCCAAGTCGGTTAATATCCGCCATCTGCGATCTTCCCTCCAGCTCCTTCCCCAGACTCTCCCCGCTGGGCTTTCTTTCCTCTACCCTCTCTTTATCCTTCCCAAGGGCTGTCCCTGTTCTCAGACATCATGGCTCCCTTCTCCATCGCAGACATCGTCGCCGCCCTGCCGGCCGAGGACACCTGGGGCCCCGCTACCGCCGGCGACAACATGCTGGAGGGTGTCCCTTACGCCCCCTTCTCCAAGGGCGACAAGCTGGGCCGCATGGCCGACTGGACTGCTGAGTCCAAGGACTCCAACCGTGGCGGTCGCCAGGCCTACAACCGCAACTACAGAGGTACCGCATCTATCACTCCCAAGACAAAACAACACGAGACAAGCAAGCTAACTTCCTCCTCTCTAGACCAGCAAGTCTATGGTGCCGGTTCCTCCAGCCTCTTCGCCGTCCAGGTCGCTGAGGACGAGTCCTCCTTCTCCGTCGTCGACAACACTCGCAGCTCCACCAAGCGTGGCTTCGGCCGCGGCGGTGGTACCGTCTTCCGTGGTCGCGCCCAGCGCGGCGGCGCTCAGCGTGGTGGTCGCGCCGGCTTTCAGCGCGTGGGTGGTGGCCGTGGTGGCCAGGGTGGTGACCGCTACTACGATAACCGTGGTGGCCGCAGCAACCGTGGCCGTCGCTTCGGCTGGAAGGACTACGACAAGCCCCAGCGCACTCGCGAGCCCTCCGTCAACGTTCGTCCCGACTGGAACATGCTGGAGGAGGTTGACTTCAGCCGTCTGTCCAAGCTGAACCTCGAGGCCCCCGAGGGCGAGGACGTCGACTCGTACGGTTTCATGTACTACTACGACCGGTCCTACGACAAGGCCCCCGTCAAGAACGCCGAGCGCAGACTCCAGTCCCTCGACCGCGCCGCCTACAATGTTACCACCTCCCAGGATCCCGTCATCCAGGAGCTGGCCGAGAAGAACGAGGCCACCGTCTTCGCCACCTCGGACATCCTGTCCATGCTCATGTGCGCCCCCCGCAGTGTCTACTCCTGGGATATCGTCATTGTCCACCAGGGCAACAAGATCTACTTCGATAAGCGCGAGGGCGCCTCCCTGGACCTGGTCACCGTCAACGAGAACGCCGCCGATGCCCCCATGGAGCTGGCCGACTCCTCCAACAAGCAGGAAACCATCAACACCCCCAGCGCCCTGGCCATGGAGGCCACCTTCATCAACCACAACTTCGCCCTGCAGACCGTTGTCGAGTCCCAGGACAGCAAGGTCGACCTGGCCCACCCCAACCCCTTCTACAACGCCTCCGAGGAGTCCGAGCCCCTGGCCTCCAAGGGCTACAAGTACCGCCGCTTCGATCTCTCCCTGGAGCGCGACGAGGAGCCCGTCAACATGATCGTCCGTACCGAGATCGACGCCCTGATGAAGAACCCCGTCAACGGCGAGGACCAGCAGCTGCTGATCAAGGCCCTGAACGAGTTCGACAGCAAGGCCCAGGGCTCCGGCGGCGCTCTCGACTGGCGCAGCAAGCTCTGGTCTCAGCGTGGTGCCGTCGTCGCCACCGAGATGAAGAACAACAGCGTCAAGCTCGCCCGCTGGACCACCCAGGCCATCCTCGCCAAGGCCGATGGCATGAAGCTTGGTTTCGTCTCGCGTGCCAACCCCCGCTCCGCCGCCGGTCACGTCGTCCTCGGCGTCGTCGGCTACAAGCCCCGCGATCTGGCCGCCCAGATGAACCTGAACCTCAGCACCGGATGGGGTATCGTGCGTACCATCGTCGACCGTATTCGTGCCCTCGATGCCGACGAGGACGAGGACAAGGTCACCAAGTACGTCCTCATCAAGGACCCCAACCGCCCCGTCCTCCGTCTGTACAGCGTGCCCTCGAACACCTTCGACGAGGACGAGGAGGCCGCCGCTGCCGAGGAGCAGGAGGGTGCCGAGGAGGAGACCGAGGAGTAAGCGGGGTCAATGCAATGCAGATTCTTCTCATGTGCATATTGATTGTTTTGAAAAAGTTAGTTAACGAACGAACGTCTCCGTATCTCATGGCATAGATCTAGTATTCATCTTTCTTTTCCATAATACCACCCAATTATGTTCTCCCAATGATACACTCTACCTAGTTTATACTATCCAGTATACCGTACATAAGATCATAAGTATCAAACCCCGAAATAGATACCCAGCATACTCTTACACATAGATCCAGACATACATAACCCGAAACCACCAGCACACCTGCCTACCTACTTGCCTTACTCAACAATCTCAAACCTCACCTCCTTCTCCACCCCAAACACTCCCCTCCAATCCTCCCACAACCGTCTCAACTCCTTAACATATAACCCATGCAACTCTTCCACATACGCCTCGTCCTGCTTCCATCTGGACTCCTTGACCCGAATCGGTCTCCCGACTACAACATGCACTGCTTTGCGAAACGGGATGGTCAAGCCGAATCTCCCCTTAATCATCCGGAGGTTATGTCCCGTGAGGGCTTTCCACATGCGCGGAATCATCCCTGCCCAGGGCCTGTCTTTTGTGTTTGCGTCTACGATATCGAAGAGATCGTTTTCTCCGAAGGCGAGGACAGGGACGAGATCGGCGCCTGTTTGGATGGCGACGCGGATGAAGCCGCGACGGATGTTGAGGACGAGGTCCATTGTTTTGGGTTTCACGAGCCGGGCTTCTCTGGCTCCGCCGAGGCAGATGGTGATGGAGCGGCCTTGGCCTTGGCCGTCGTGACCGAAGCGGGTTAGGTGGTTTACGCAGGAGGTGCGATTGACTCCGCTGATACCGATGGAGAGGACGTATTCGCGGGCTAATGGGGCGTAGAGGATCTTGTCGGTGATGAGGAGGGTGTTTGTGATCCCGGGGAAGAGGGAGGAGAAGCCGGTGCCGTTGGAGGCGAAGGAGCCGACTGCGCCGCGGACGGCAACGCCGTGGGGGTGGTAGCCGAAGATGTACTTGCGGCGTGGGGAGAGGGGACAGCTTCTGTAGAGGCGGATTGGAAAATAGGAGGCGAACAAGGTCCAAAGTGAGCTGTTCCGGAAGGTGTCGTTGCGGAGCCAGGAGGAGCCGGACTTGTGTGCTTTGCCGAAGAACTTGATATAGATAAGGTAGATGAGGATGGGGAGTCGAAAGCGAGGGATTATGAGGAGAGCATAGCCTAGGATGGGGAGGGCCCAGGTGGTGTTGGTGGATATGGCGACTATGAAGAATTCGAGGATGCGTTGTAGGTAGGCAGCACTGTTGACGGTATAAGCTAAGAGGGTTGGAGGGCTATGATAAAGGGGCTTCGCGCTTACCCTGGGATTTTCTTGTCGGTTTGGGGCAGCCGGATGGTTTCGAGGATGCCCCCAGATGCGTTCTTGATACTTTGGATTTTGCCCTTGGGAGGGAGATCGATGTCATTGACGCCTGGGATAGGCAGGGCCATCTTTGCTGGATTGTAAGCTAGCTCGGAGATCTTCTCTGCTCCTACGACACGGCCTTCCCGTTTGCGACACAATACAGACAGCTCTGCTGCCTTGGCCTGGTAAGATGGATTGCCGACCACCTTCAGAAGCGCATCAGCTAGCTCACGGGCATTCACGCCCGGTGCAGATGATTTGTTTGCGTAGACGCCGATGCCGAACGCTTCAGTGCGGACTGCATTTTCATAACAGTCTTGCCAGCCGGGGAGGACGACATGAGGTACTCCATTCCTGTGTCATCAGTCCAGTCCCTTTTGATGTCTGGGTTTAGACAAGTAGAACTCACTGTATAGCCTCGTACCAAGAATTGGCACCTCCATGATGCACAGTACAGATGATCTGACCAGTCTGAAGCATAGCTAAAGGCTCTACGTCAAGCCAGGACCGGATGCGGACCCTATCTGCTTCGATCTCCACATGAAGCAGCTCTAGTACCTCTTCGTAAACATGATCACAATCCAGAGAATGCTTTGGCAGCTTCCATAGCACTTGAAGTTGAGAATCACCCGCCCACGAATCCAAAAGCGTCTTCAATGCCGACCCAATATTCATTGCGTCACGCGGTTCCGGTGTACACAGAGTCCCTAGGTTAACAAGAACAGTAGGCGCATGGTGCAACCACCGATCGAGCTCTGGATCTTGTGTCTTTGCAGAAGTCACTGGCAAAAGGATGGGTCCACATGGGAGAACATTCTCCGGCACCTCGAATGGCCAGTCAAGCTCCTTCAACCCCGGTGCTAGATGGAATCTATCAGGCCGCCACGCATCAGCAAATGCAAATCGGCCCTGGATATGGTGCCTTATTCTCCAATCGCGAATCTCCCGTTGCCGCTTGCTGCTGCGGTACATTTTAGCGGCTTTGATGACAGCCATTGCGTTGGCCGGGATGCGGTGCCAGGGAAGTGGGTAGGGAAAATCGGTTCCTGGCCTGATCATTGTTAGTATCAATCAGGTAAAAGATCCAGCACGGTATGATCCACATAGATGCTCACATTGGAAACTTCCAAGCCCATGCGGAGTTAGGCTGTAGTCCATACACCACATGAGATAGAGATGTGGTATACAAAACAATGGCTGCATGACCGGCGTTGTACGCAGCATCTCGTCCCTGCGGAAAGAACCAATCCACGATTGCCGTCGATGGACCAGCGTCGTGGATGATATCCAGGCAGCTATTATAGACCTGCATATAATCCTCCTCATTCCACGCCCAGAGCTCCTCAAAGAGCGATTTGAAGCCCAGCAATGCACCTTTGTAGCCAGGCGGATGGCATACAGATCGTTTGCCTGTGCGAGCGAAGGCCTCACTATTGGAAGGGCCACGAATGGGGTGAAAGTGGATGCGCGAACGGTAGGATACATCATAGCTGGAAATATTGTTATCTAGTAGCTTCTCGAGACGCGGTTCCAGATTGGGGAAAGACCCGATATGCACGTCGATATCGCCTCGGATGAGCAACTCATGCGTTAGCGCGAGGATGATGTTTGTCTGGCCATGTTCACTGTTCGCAAGGAAGAGCACTCGGGGAAGTTGTGGCGGGGGTTGTTTTGCTTTCTTTCGTGGGCTGCGTCGGCGCAGCACTGAGGACTGTCTCTTTGCCTGCTTGGTTTTCATGATGGGTTAGTAGAAGCAGTATGCTGCATGCAGGGCCAACTGCATGTTGCAAAGGCTGTGCTACATGGTGGTCAAGGGTATATATGACTTGCCAATCAAGGGGTCATCGAAGGGAGGAATGCCCGGGGGGGTTCAAGGGATAGATGGATACACTGAAGGGATGTTTAATTAAGGTTGAGACAGGCATCCAATTTGGTAATAGTATGTGGCTTGAGAGAGGGTTTGCGTTTGATGAATCTTGTCGAAGCAATGTCTTTCACCTGGCGGGTTGAAGGTAGATTGAGAAATACGGAGTAGATCGTACATGGCTGCGATAACGACATCCCGGCCCGATCACATGTCAGCAGGTGACTTGTAAACTACGCAGTAAATAGATACAATGAAGTATCTAGTCCCGGCCAGGAACAAAGCGCAATCAAGCCTTCCAAGAGGTTAGTCATCGCACTAGTTTGTCCCTAGCCGTATACCCACTTTCACACTCGATTCATCCATCCGACGATCCATTCCAACTACACCATCCATCGTCCTCTGCACTGTCACAGCTATCCCATCATTGCAATCACCCCCACAATCAATTCCTACGTGCAAGTCAAACCCAAGCCATTCTCCCAATGCCGGACATCCACCCCCAACGCCCCAAGTCCCGCCCCACAGCATCCTGCCTCCCCTGTCGCACCCGGAAAGTCAAAGTAAGTCTGATATCTCCATCCCCGATTAGCCTGTGGAAGATACCAACACAGCCCCACAGTGTAATCGCCTGACGCCCTGCGAGGCCTGCGTGGCGCGAAACATCTCTCACGAATGTAAATATGCCGTGCCGGATGAGGACCGTCAGGCCATTGCGCAGGCGGAAGCAATCGCCGATCTGCGGGCCAAGGTAAATCGCTTGCGAAGCCAGTTGGTACAGGGCCAGCAGCGGGGCCGGGTGCAGGAGTTGGATCTGGAGGGAGAGGTGGTGGAGGACCAAGGGGAGGAGGATGGATTGGAGGATTTGGAGGCTGTGTATGCGGTACTCCGGGGCGGGTCGTGGGAATCGGCGCAGCAGGTGATTACGAGAATCCGGGCGGGGGAGCCCGTGGGGCGGATTGCTAGAGAAGTTTACTAAAGCGAAGGGATGTAGGTATATATATGTATAGTTTGGTAAATTGCCATCAAGGAACTCGATGGATCGGATTCATGAACGGACATCTCGTGGTCTCACATCTCTAAGTCGTACAATATATTAGGTTCCGCGGTATAGAAGGGTCTATCCCTCACGGCCACAAACACGTGTGGTGGTAAATCATGACAGCAGAAAAGGCATGCATCGACAGAAAAAAAAGAAAAATCAACAGAAGCTGCACGGGCAGTCGCTGTCTGGCGGTTAGATCCCAAAGAAAACCATTGCTCCCAGAGCTTTTATTTACACCTCGCCAGGACCCGTACTCAAAACAAAGGAAATCGCTCAAAACTCCGCCCACAGCCAGCTCAGGAATACATCTCATCTCCCGCGTGCGACAGGCCGCGATCGACCTTGGACCCGAGCACACTGCTCAGGCAGTCCATCAGCTCGAAATCTTCCACCACGGCCCCAAACCCGTAGCAGCGGACTTTGGTGTTGAGGGTTTCAATAATAATCTTGACATCGTCCCGAGTCAGATTGCGGTACATCTCGTGGTTTTTGAGACACTGAAGCGCCATGATGGGCGTGATCTGTCCGTCGGTCACTAGCTGCCGGCTGAGGTTGAGCAATGTGGTGAGATTGGCGTGAGGCAGGTCGTATGTCTTGTGCGGGTACACTTGTTCATTTGTCGTCGTGGCAATGTACGTCGGCGGCGGACATGTCGCCATCAGGGCATGACCCGAGAAAGGCATGTCCTCGTCGTCCGCTTCGGTGATCGACCGGCGACAGAGATAGTCCGTATGCTCACGACATGGGGATTCCAATCTATGCAGTGTCAGTGCAACCGCCCCGACTTCGGGGAACACATGGTTGGGCTTACGTCAAGATAAAGTCAACCTGCAGCTGGGGCTGCTCCTCAAAGATACCAGGAGGTTGGGTTGGCGCTCGGCTCGCCGGAGCTATCTGGTCTAGTGTGGCCAGCGCGTCGCACGGAGCGGCCTGGTACGGCCCTTGCAGCGGTGTCAACTCCTGCATCGGCGAAACATCGATATTCTCGATCCCATTGGTGATGGGACTCAAACTTGCGGAAACCGTCGTAGGTGGCGTCGTGTACATGTTGCTATTCGAGGGATTGGAAGCAGCAACACCTGCAGGTTGTGATCCGACACTACTGCTGGCAAACGGGCTGGACTGGTATCCCAGATTCGACCGTTCGGCTTTGCGGCGTTCGAGGTCGGCCTCAAAGCTGATGCCATGGGCGGTGAGGATCTCTTTCAGTATGTTGTTCTCGTCCGATAATGACTGCACCATATCCCGGTGTTGAACAACGGTCAGGTTGGCAGCCGAAATTTCTTGGGTATATGCCTCCCGTAACCGTGACACCTCTGTTTCCAACGCCCGTATATATTGTTCCTTGCGCTCGCGGTGGGTTCTAGACAACCGTTGGTATATAGGCTACCGGCAACGGCAGACGGGCAGAGAGGGGATGGCCACGTACCTCTGGGCCTGGCGATTCAATTCCTGTCGTCTGGTAAGGGCCGGTTTGCTATCTGGTTTGGGGCCGCGTCGTTTGGCCGGTTGGCCATCTAGATCAGGGTCGGTTACAATGAGTGCGGAAAACATCGAACACAAGGTATCACAAACCTCGAGTAACCTTCTTCTGCGTCCCACTAAAGAACTTGAAAAAGTCGGCGCTAAGTGTCGAAGGCCTAGAACCGGATTGACCTGCAAGCAGCGTGTCAGAGGCGGGCAATCGACGAGTCTCCAAAACGAGCGATGTAACACCACAGCAAGCGATAAAAAATCACGACACATCAAATCACGTATGTACACCACACCACGTCATACAACATCCGGCCGTGCAAGCGGGAAAATGGCCATGGAATGTAGGCTACGATCGAACGACGCCAACAGCAACAGTCGAGACCATCCAGATCCGGGACTCTTTGTCGTTCCCAATCCAATTCTTCCAGAGAAAATCATCGAACCTCTCACAAAGGTATACAGGAAGCATTGCGAAGTTGCCAATTCCAAACGACGTCGTGAACTTACTTTGCATAGCCTCCGGCGGCAATGTTTGTCGATTTGCCGTACTGACATCCAACGGCATCGGCCCGCCGTTCATTGAAGTCATGATGGGCCTGGTAGTAAAAAACGAGGGTGTGTTGAGAAGGAATGCGACCGGCGCGTTCACAGCAGTAGGACGGCAGACGGACAAGGAGCGGAGAAGGAGCGGAGACGAGGGAGAGCGCCGAGGAACGGATTAGAAGGTGGAACAGGCTGGAGGATAAAGGAATAAGAGAGTCATCAATATCCTGGACCGTTATCAGCCTTAAAATGGACTGCTTGCAGCCAAGTGGATTCCTCCGTCCAAGCGCCCTCACCGTTGAGTCCGATATACGCCCCGGCAGGTCGGATGTTTTCCCCGATGTGCGCGGCCGATGGGGACTTGAGTTGGGGGGGGGGGGGAACACCACACGAGCTCTCGACAGGGGAGGTCCGGCGGGGGTGGAACGATCAGGCAATATTGACGACCAAGGTTCGTGAGATACCTAGATCGTAGATAGGCAGACAGACGGGAAAGACTGAGGTACTAGGTAGGTGGGTTGGTTGGTTGGTGGGTGGGTAGTGAGTGGGTGAGCACTGGTGGTAGATGGTAGATGGTAGATAGATGGTAGTAGTGGGTGGGCGGACGGACGGACAGCGACGGATGTATGTGTGTCAAAAGGGCGAGTTTCAGTTGAGGCTGCTGCAGGCTGAAAGGGGTGGTGGAGGCCGAACAGTGACCGGTGGCAAGCAGTGGACACCCGCTACTGGATAGTCTAGTTGGTTATGGAGACTGGAACACTGGAGAGGTGTGAGACGTGACCAGAAGAATAATCAATATCGAATAATCGGGTCGGAGCTAAGAGCCTAAGACTCTAAGAGAGTCCATCCGTAGGCGAGCTGGGTGTTATATCGAGGTATCGAACGGGGAGACCCTGTCAAGCGGCCCAGGGCCAACCGTCCGGCGGGCAGGGCATTATTGGCTCGTTGGGTCTATCCTTTCTTTCCCCCCGTTCTTCACGGGCCCAGCAGGCCTGGCCTTTGCGCAGGCCTGCGTTGGTGCTGCCGGGCCTGCCATGCACCGGGACCCCCTCTGGCGTCCACTAGTCTGGTCTTACGGTTTAAGCACAGGTTAATTGGAATTGCAGTTTTCATCGAGGCCAGTTGGTTGGGGATGTAATTAATCATTATGATTCTGCTTAGAGAGACAAAAAGAAAATAATTATCTATTAAAGGGAAGCAAAAAGGAGAGGCAGGTGATAGGGACGGAGGGGGGGCAGAGGGGAGAGAGAAGTGTGGGAGTGGTCCGGAAGCAAAGACGCGGTTGTGCGATAAGTGAGAGAGACCAGACAGACAGACACAGCGTATCATTGGTACCGGGAAGGTACCTTACAGCGTACACATTCCCGACCCCTCTGGGGCTAGCCGATTCTTGTCAGATCTCGCCTCGGCTCCTTGACTGCTGACTGCCTCCCCCATCGAGATCCGTTGATTATTCTCTTGATAGGTAGGTAGTAGTTAGTTAATATATTCCACCCCCCGGGGTCACATCCAAGACGGGACGGACCTTCATCCTAGTTACAGTACCCCATATCACACCTGGTGACTCCAATAAAGAACTAGGGTAGAGGCCATAATACTAAGAGAATAAATGTACCTAAAGGAACTAAGAAAACCATAAGAATCCTGCTTGAAGAGAAAAAAAAGAACAGAGAGGGTAGGTAAAAAAAAAATTGAAAAACAAAAAGAAAGCATCTGCCCGTGTGGAGAATACAACCCGGGTGTGATCGGCCAGACATCCAGTCAATGATCGGTCATTGGCTATTGGTTTTTTCTTTTTTGCCCTCTCGTCGTCGCCCCTCACTTCTACCCCCAAAGCGAATGAGGATCCTCGGTGCCTGGTCAATAATCGCGCTACCCATCATCACTAACCCACGGCCTTGATATACAGTCTGGATCCAAATCGGTAAGTACAGGCTTTATATCACAGCCTCATCCTGCAAGAAGGGGGGAACCGCACGACATGGGATGGTGGGCAGTCAGAACAAACGGGAAAGGGAGAGTGAAAAAAAAAAAGTCAAAGAATCTGATCTGTATAGCGCATATCTGTGGCCCAGAGTTTCGATCGATCGTCCCCGGGCTGTCTGTCGTACCAGTCGCCTGTCGCCGGTAGTGGAACGTCAGCCTCCGCACTCGCTCTCTCTCTCTCTCTCTCTCTCTCTCTCTCTCTCTCTGTCTCTCCCCATCAGACCCTCAATCGACATCTCAGAAAACGCAAACCCCGTGTGTGTAACATTCTTTGTTTCGCTTGGACCCAGATACATAGATGGGTTTTGAACAGGCCATCCAATCTCGATCTAGCCTTTTTCTTTTTCTCCCCCGTATTATTCCATGACGCTTCCTTCGTGCCCACAGCCCACAAGTCGTTTTTCTGGACTGTCCGGTTCACCAGTCCGTGTTTAACGGGCCCGTCGGCCCCACTGGCCAAAGAGGCCTCGGACTAGTCGCCTGGTCCAGGATAGCGCTGCACGTTATTATTTATTAGTGGCAGGCACAAGAATCTATTGTCTCCAACGCTCCGGCTGAGCTGCGTCATTAGGATAAGCATGCGCAATGTACCGGACTCTTGAGGTGGTCAAGTGGGCGCGGACTCGGTGTGGTACCTACATCCGGAGTATAGTGGAGGTCTGGATGTAAGTGTGTGCAATGTGCATCTTGCTCCTGCCGCCATAGCTATTGATCTGTAAGGGGGGGCAAATGCCATCCGAAGCATCGTGATCGTGTCAACCAGTGGTCGTTCCGTCGCTCTTTGCCCGGACAGGTAGGTTTTAGCTGTAGATCGAGGCCGGTGTAGCATCATTATCCATCAAAACTACCGCGGTTTTCCCGCATAAGACCTACTTGTTCTGTGGGCAGGCGGGAGAAGACAGTAGACACACGCGCCCTGCAACCGAGGTGATGTAACTGACCGACCGGGATACTCTCTTCGGGGTCTCTTTGCTTTTTCTCTTTGTCTCCCACCCTTTTCGTTCTTTGATTTTCTGGTCCCCGAGTGATGCATCAATACCGAAAGTGCTCCCAGTTGGGTGTGCGAGTGCACGGGCTCTTGGAAGAGATTCCCGGCCATTCAACGACACGTTCGAATCCAGATCATATGCCAAGTGATAGCGAGGATGATGGCTGTGAACCTTGAAGGATGGTCCTTCAGTTCAATGGTTCGGACCGGACTCTAATAGCCATTCTTGTCACCTGAACGTGAAACTTCAGCATGTCCACCAGCTTTGTATCCACAATTGCCTCAATTCCTCTTCCTGAGGGTGGGCAGGCAGCGACGATCATTAGCAGGATTATGACCAAAAGAGTTAGCTCACCAGCTGACCACGGTCCCAATTGAGATTGTCGACCGAATCATCGCCGACGAAGCTGCCCGAGGTAACGGGTCAGATCGAGAGAGAACGGAGAACGGAGAAGAGCTTGTTGATACTTGAACTTGATGGAACTGGAACTGGAAGAAGCGAAAGGTCGAAGTCGGCGGGGAAACTATCGAGGCGGATCGCCAGCCTAAGGCTGCGAGGCCACCCAATCGGGAAGCCACCTCAGGCCACCATGACTCGTGATCTTCGGCGGCTCCTCCTATCATGTGCCAGCCTTCAAGGTTCATATTTTCTTCTTCCTGCCTCACAATAATCAAGATCCAACGGCAACAGCCTGGTGCTTTCTTCCCCCACCACCACGCTGCTTCCAGGGAAGGCAGCCTGCCAGGCCTACCGTCAAACACCGACACAGGAAACAAAGAGCCCCACCATGTCGGCCCAGGCTCTTTATCAACCGTCCGTCCGATGCCATGCCAGAATCCGAAGTCCTCGTCCACATCTCCGCACCCAGCACCGTCAGCAATGACGCTCACTATCGGGCCCAAGTCGAGGCAATCCTGGGTTTTCGGCCCTCCTCTCGTCAAGTTATAACCTTGCGATCAGATGATCAAATTCCTGATCTCGAACCCACACCTGGTCCCGTCCATTCACCCAAACGCCTGTGCGTCTCCCACGGCCAGGAAAAGGACAAATCCAAGCCACCTAACAGCACGACTGCCTCGCCCGTCCAGCAACAACTTCGCTACGAGAAGGACTCACTCGGAACACCCCTGAGTGTCATTCCAGACTCTCAGCCCGACCGACCCCTTCCTGACCCCAACGACTTGCGGGAGATCGAGCCTCCGCGATCAAGTCCTATTCCTCGAAAATCTATATATACGGATGGCGCTTCCACAGTGAAGCGAAGTCGACTCCAACCCCCTCGGCCAGTGGCCGCAGAGCCACACAAAAATATACACTGTCTGGACGAGCATCCCAACAGTGGCAAAGCCCCAAATGACGACATTGCCATATCTTTTTCTTCCAGTGCCCACGATGACGACAACCCAGCATATGACAATATATTACCAACAAAGGGCCTCCCAACCCTTCCTATGGAGATCAGGCCCCGACTACCCCCAGTATCATCAGGCCGTTTCGTATCGCACATCACCCCAACACTAGCAATGCTAGCCACTCGCCTCATGTCCCCACGAGCATACAACCCTATCAAACAAACCAGAACACTGGATAACCTGGAAAGAGGATACTGGTATGTCCGCCTTAGTCTTGAGACACAAACCCTGGACGAGCGACCCCGACCAGCAAACCCCAACCCCATGATCTGGGAGACGCCATTATTCACCCGTTTCTGGACCTTCTTATCAGAATTTATCGCCAAGGAAGGCCGCGCCGGCTGGGGTGTTTGGTGCATTCTAGAGGATGCAGAACCAACTGCATCACCATCATCGGAAACAGTTGCACCACCCCCCGGTGATCCTGGTCATATAAAATCAGTAACACTGAAGGTTTACGCCTGGGGTGAGATAACCTCGCATGTCTATTTGCTTTTATTCCTGGCTAGTGAACGCCACATCCGCAAAATGGGGCTTCAATGGCGTGACAGCGCTGACGAAGTCGTTATCCAGATGCCATAGGATAAGATATCCCACGGTCGTAGTATACTCTGGATGATGTATGGATCAGAGCATTAACCTTTATAGCTTAGTACGCAATAAATGTATGTATCTATATATAAACTAAAAACTACACGATGAAAATCAGAGAATAACAGCCAGGTTTATCAGATTTATAGTATATAACAGAGGTTAAGAACAACATCTGGCTAGACACATCAAACCCGATGATTTGATTTACCACTACTCCATATACGTCTGATTACTACTAAATTCAATGTTTCCCTATGAATTACCCGAGGAATTTTCAAGTCAAGGCTATACAGAGAGGCGGCCATGTATCATTGTGCCTACTTCCTAAAATCAAGACGAAACTATGGTACAATTCGACGAGGGCCAATACCAGGAACGATAAAGGGAAAGAACGAAGGGGAAACCCGCAGCCTTGAGTTTTACGATCCCAAAAGTGGGAACAAATCACCACCACCTAACCAGGGTACAATGGACCAGGCGGCATTGCGAAAACAAGTAAGGAAAAGGGAAGCAATCTCAACTCTCCCTTGTAATTCCACGCATTTGGATGAAGGAGGAGCATGAACGAAGACAAGACTAAGAAAATCGGAAAGAGAAGGGGCAATTTCGGCTCATATACGCAAAAAGAGTATTACACGCAAAGAAAAATGCACGGCATATGCGGTTGACATGGTAAATGTAGCTGGCTTCTGAAATGCAGGAACGACAGACCAGGAAACGCCATTTGCTCGGAGAGAGATTTCTGGTTGTAGATGTCTAATAGTTCAGCTCACCACTTCCGGACCCACCAACTGCATCCAAGTCCTCATAGCTCTTAAGGCTGCGGCCTTGGACGGCTTCACGTGGTCCCATACCCTGCTGAGCGGAACCAGCATCAACGAAGCCGCTTGCCCCCATCAAGGCGGCGGCAGGGTGGCCAGGGGGGATGTATGGAGGGCCAGAACTGGCGGGCAGACGACTACCTGAACCATACATGCTGGACATGCCACGGATGGGGCTCAGGCGGCCACTTCCAGCACCTGAAGCGCCATGCCGATTTCCACGTCGGTCATAAGGTCCTGTCCGGTTATTGTAGCGACCACCACCACGGCGCATGGCACCTGGTTGATGCAAGCCGGGGCCATCTGCAGATACCATGCCATTGGCACCCCAACTCTGGTTGTTGACGCCCATGAACCCAGGTAGTCCAGAGCCCGGGACACTTTGGAAGCCTGGAGGTACACTTCCACTGCCTCCAAGGTATGCGGGCATTGAGGCTAGGCTGAAACCACGCGGTGTGCCGGTTTGGCCCTGACCAGAGCTAAGGGGGAAGTGGCCATTGCTATTAGCATCAGATCGCGAAGGTGCGATTCGAGCAGGGTCAAGGACGTAGGCGTTAACCAACGAAAGCTGCGGGACCATTAGCATCAGCCTCATAGGGCAGGTTCAGAGAGGAGAGACAACTTACGTCACTGCGGATGTTCTCGTACCATTCGGCATGGCGCTTTTCGATGTGCTTACGCCAGAAATGCTCCGCCTTGAACAGCTTCGTACATTCGGGTACTTTGCACCGGAACTTGGACTCATCCTCCTGTTTGACGTATTTTCCTAGCTCTTCCTCCAGAGCTTCCTCAACAGATTTACCACCCAGCTTCCCTATGTCCACGTTCTCTGGCTCAAGTATTTGCAAGAGCTTGTCTTCAAACGTTTTGACCCAATTAAAGGCACGCTGGAGCTGTTGTTCCGACTTGGAACTGAAGCGTTGTGGTCGCTTCTCCTCTACAGCTGCTGGAGGTTCCTCTCCCTCTTCGCTTGGCTCTTTCTTCTTAACAGGGAACGGCTGTCCAAGAGCACTGGCTCGGGCCACGGCCTTTGACTGTGTCGTAAGACCAGCCCGAGGCCGACGCAGATGTCCGCCGGGACATTTCCGAGCAAGTTCATGCACAGAATCACTTTCGAAGACACAGAAGAAACAGAAATTGTAAACTCTGCGAAGGTATTCCACCATCAGATCCAATTTCTTCTTGTTGGCCAAAAGCTCCTCATCATCGAGCTCGTCATCTTCCCATCCTTCCTGCTCTTCACCCTCTTCCGCCTCCCCTTCATCGATATCATCGGCATCATAGTCGGGTTTCCTTTTCTTGACGCTGACAGGCCCCGTCACAGGCGGTTGAAGCCAGCCCTTGCCGCGCAATTCCTCCACCCGTTCCTCGATCTTGGTAAACCCGTCTGCACTGCCTCCCATTTCCAAGTCGAGCTTCGACACCAGTCTTCTTGCCAGTTCCAGGTCCCGTGAGATGCGTTCTGGCGCAGAAAAAAGATCCCACAAGGCCTTTTTGCGGGGCTGGGAGGGCGGTACATGGACTCCTACGTGGCAGACAAAGTCTCCATGGACAGGATCATGGATTGTCTTGTCGTTAATCGCCTCAAGAGCCTTCTCGGCAGCAGTAACAGTTACTGTTCCGTTGCCCGTGTTATCATGCTCCATCTCCTCACCCTCTTCTTCTCTCCCATCTCCTCGCTCAACAACCTCAACATCAGGGGCAGGATGCAGCATAATCCACCCCATCCGATGGTATTTCTTGGAAGGATTGGGATCGCTGAGACTAAGCCATTTGAATCCACCATCTTGCTCCCCCAGATGCTCCTTACAGAAATCTTCGATCTTGTCGCGGCTAACGTTGGGGGCCAAAGTCTTGATCAGTAGGGCAGACTGGGACAGGGCTTCGTCACGCAAGTCTCCACCTCTCGCTGGAAGCAAGTCCAAAACACCCAAGGTTTCACCAACCGCGGTAGTCTCGCCCTCTTCCTTCTCGATCACACCGCCTGCACCGTCACTCTCACTCTTGTAAATGCCTTCGAGCGTAAACTCGTCGAAAAGACCGCTGTCGAGGTCACTTTCCCATTGCTGATAGGCACCCGCTCGAAAATCCATCAGTCTGCGACGAAGAGGATCTCTGACATCTGGGACATAGCGCTCTCTGAACCATTCCTCGTTTCGATGATGCTGGACAAACGCACGTGCCATTTTCGCTTGGAGGTCCACCTTGTATGCATCATAAGCCGCTTGGATCTGTGCCCTTTCTCTATCCCGGTCTTCACGAGCCTCGCGCTCTCCTTTGACACGATCGGATGGACGTCGGCCGCCATGCTTGGCACGCTCCTTTTCCTCTCGGATTGATTGCTCTGCTCGCCACCATTCCGCGAACCAATTGAACCCCACCTGGAAGTCCAGGTTCAATGGGTTGGGAAGCGGGTTGGTGGGAATAGCGCGCTTGACAGAATCTTGCCCAGGGACATAGCGATCGATATTGGCAACATTTGGCGAGGGCGCGCGACGACGATCCTCACGGTCTCGCACAGCGTGTTCCCGAGAAGCAGCATAGTAATCGTCTCGTGAAGCACGGCGATCGGAGGGTTCGTAGCGATCAATCATAACGGGCGAGCGAGAACGTCCGCGTCCTCGACGTCGATCCTGGGACACTGAAAGCATTCCGGTGGTTAGGAAATGACCAGGCGTCTGAAAGCATCCGGGAGGGTTGTTTAGACCTGAACACTTACCAGGCGATCTGCGTCGGTATGAATCCACCGGTGCCCTGGAAACGTAAGGGTCGCCTCCCTCTCGGCTCCTGCCGGGGGACCCGTAACCGTCATATGAGTCCATCGGAACGAGAGTGTAGGGAATCGCGTAAACTGAAGCTAGTGAGGGTCTTGGCGGAAGGTCGCTTGGGTGCCGTCTTCCGAAAGATGGCCGAGGGTCGCGCCCAGGGCGGTAGGAACGGTAGACGTAAGCTAAGATCCGACATCATCAACATTAGAGCGAGTCCTTCATGTTTGAAAGGGTGCCTGATAGGTTGGACATTGACGGAGGAGGGTTAAGGGGCGAATTGGGCAAGAAGAGGATGCAAACGAAGCTGATTGCCAGCAACCGGCCAAGGAAGATAGACAAGGCATGCTTTTGGATAGAGATGACAAGGGTAAACCCGAGAACTGAGAGAATATAATGCAGGGCGCTCGCGAGAGCCAATAGAAGCGGATAGATAGAGAAAGAGAGAGCACAGAGAGATGGATGGCAGGCAGGCAGGCAGGTAGTAGGTAGTAGGAAGTAAGCACGGAGGATCTCGCGGGCCAATAATGGCGCGACAATGAAAGGAGTGACTCCGAGAGGAGGTAAGAAAAGGGACCAACGAAGCACAAGTGAGGCAAGAATTAATGAATTGAATGACAGGGGCTGTTCGATCGAGATAGCGACGAGATCGAGCAATAGAAGGGGGAATATGAGAGACAAGGGCGGTGGTGATTGGACTGAACACGATAAGAGAGAGAGTATGGCAAGGCAGGCGACCTACAAGAGAAGCCTTAGGAGGATTTGGAAGTCCAACAAGATGCGAATTCGAAGACTGAGCACGTCCAATCCGAATGGGGACAGATGAGACGAGACAGATGAAATCGCAGCAGCCCTGGACAATAGCGCAGTCACAGGAGGGAAGCTGGTGAAGGGGGAAGAGAAGGGAAGAGAGGAGGAAAGAAAGAGAGGGAGAGAGGGAGAGAGAGAAAGAGAACGGAGGAAGACGAGAGGGAGGATTGGAGTGAGGCTGGAGACCCGGAGAAGGCAGTCCGCCGCCACTAGACCCGACCGGGACTGGCGCCGCGAACTCTCCAACTCTCGGTCGATCCCGGCAGAACAACACTATTGACACTTGACAGTCTAGACACTTATCTATCTAGATATCCAGTTGATGGCGTACCACCTCTCGCCAGAAAGAACCCTTTTCACTTACCCGGCATCGTTTTGTCCTAATCCCTAATCCAGCACTCTAAGTAAATCTAAAGCAGTACCGGTGGCAACGAGGAACGGGGAACGCTCATTCAGCGGGACCTCAGAGCCGTGGAAACAGAAAAATCAATTCGAACAGGAAGACTTCGGCGGAGGGTTCATGACAAGACCTTCCTCTCAGGGCAAGTGAAGGGCCAGGGCCATAAGTAGCCTCATCTATTCTACTCGGTATTCACAGCACAATTAGCGGCTCTAGAACCCAGTCACTACGACAAGGCACATAAGGCTAGCAACGAGATCGCGCAGTATGTCTTGGTATTCGTACATGACTAGTAGGGGAATCATCCGTTGAAGACCAAAATAATATACCAGATGACGCATCAATGGGGGATGCGACAGACAAACGAAGTGGAGAACCACCACAGCTTCACATGCCAGGCCATCCTCGTCGAATCAGGCTCCAAGGAGCGCGGCGTCCATGCTATGCTGTCTTGCAGTCAAGCTAACATGCAAACCTCAGGTCTCATGCCAAAATTGAGTCAATTGAGGCAGACTGAAAGCACATGGGACGGAGACTGGCGTAGAATATCTCGGCGGAAATCTACCACATTTCCGTGGAAAGAGGATTGCCAGACAAGGTCCCGCAGCACGATACTAAGGCATGCTTGCATCGTCCGCCGCCACCCTGCCATCCAGGCCCTGTCGCGGCGCCGGCCAACCCCGGGGTTTAATTTTACCAGCGATAAGCATCTTTCTAATACCAACCAAGGCCCGAAAGCACGATGCAGATGAACGGGACCGGATAAGATGGCGGGTTCGGAGGCGAAGGGAAGAATGAACACAGTACACAAAAGTTGCCAATGACATTGAATGAGTTGCCTGTCGAGATTGAGTGGGCGACAGTGCATTTATAGAGGTTACCGCCAGTTGCGAAAACCACGACTCTGGGGGAATTAGAAACCGGGTCATGCAGCATCGACAGTGGGATGAACGTAACAATTCATGAGATTGAGAATCGTGCACCATCCCGAGAAAAGAAATAAAAATAGCAAAAACATAATCATCTCATACATGCAATCCTAACAGGCTGAACATCGTTAGATGAAGTGAGAATAGTAGTAATACTTCGTGCCAGCATAACAATATAAACAGACATAAGAGTTTCAAGTAGATGAAACGTGGTGTTCCTGAGGAAACAGTAGGTGGGAATAACGTCAATAAGTACGAGAGAAGATGGGACAGTTGCACATCGCTCGCTGCGAGAGGAAAGGGTAGGGAAGACGGGGTAAAAGAATTTCCAGACATCCATCCATCATAAAAGGTAGTTGCGGAGAACAGATATTTTAGTAGGCAGCTCAAGGGCAAGGTGCCGCTCAACCGTCCTCATCAGACAGCTCAGCAGATTCATTTTCACTCTCGTCCGCGCTAGTGCTTGTTTTCGGCGCACTGGTCTTCGTCTTCTTAGACGAGTTGATAGTGTCATCGTTAACATCACTTGATTTCCGTTTATGTGCGGACGGAGGATTGTCTCCAGTCGGCTTCATCGCACTGTTATCAGTCATCTCATGCCCAGTGGTCACAGAGGTTCCCTGCTTCTTCTCCATAGCAGCCACTTCGTCAGCCGTCAAAAATCGCCCGCCAGGACCCCTAGGGCGGCGCATGGCATGATTATGGCGTGATTCATGGAGATACGGTTTACGGCCCTTAGACGTGAGTCGCAATTGCTCTTCGAGTTTTTGGCGAGCCACTCGTCGTTTCAGAATGCGGTGGAATTGCTTCGCATTGACGTATAAGGGCGACTCTTCCGCGGCACCAGCCACCATATCAGGAGAGTGTTGACTCTGCTGAACAGGTGGTTGAGGTGGAGGCGGCATGGATGGAGGCACCGAAGGCCGAACAACATGGTTCAGGACTGGCTGGGCATTCTGGACATGGGGGCTGCTAACATGGCTCATGCGACGTTGCTGCATTTGGGCGTTCTGAGACATTTGGACCTGAGACCCCATTGAGGGCATCTGACCAGGAATCTGTGGCGGGGAACGAGGGTTGCGGTCGCTCTTCACTTGCACCCCGGCCATACGTGGTGATCCACGGGGGCCCGGGGCCATCTGACCAGCCATAGAGTCTTGATGAAGAGGGTAAAATTGGCCCGACGCTGCGGCGGTGGCCATGGCGGCCGCCTGGGTGGGCGAGATACCATATGTTTGTGGCATCGCCGTGGTGACCCCATACGACTGGGGGAAATTCATTTGCTGGTGTACAGAGCCCGGCGCATTTTGAGCCGGTTGATAATGGGACTGTGATGGGACGATGGGGGACGCCTGATGTGTAGGATGAGCTTGTTGCATGTGTGCTTGGGGGTTGGTGGGTGAAGTCATCGACCCCACTGTTGACCCTGCATTTTGAGGAGCCGTCTGGTAGGGAGCAGTGATGTGAGACGAGGCATGAGGATGCTGGCCATGAGGCTGTTGATACTGCGGGGGATATTCCATCATTGAGCTGCGACGGTGTTTACCGTCAGGCTTCCAGCTCGAGTCGTGATTGGAGTGGCCTAGCTGTCAGGAACCAGCAGGCTAAGACCAATGATACTGTCAAACTCGGACCAATCGAAGGATATCACTTGTCCGAGACCAAAGTGGCAAAAAAAAATAGGGAAGAATGATAGGTTGTAACGGTACAGTTGCACCTAACAATATCACGGTCGTGCACAAAGAAACGGCAGCCGCAATCCTATGGTTTGATGATTCGACGAGTGAACTGCGAAAGTCTGCAGGCTCTGGTTTAAAGTATCAGCACGGAGCGCAGCGCCAACCGGTCACTGGATTGCGAGTGGGGGTTGGATGGGAATAGAGAAGGGCGCTTACACCGGGGCGCGTACCTGTGTTTTTGTTTTGCCAATACACCCACTCATCAACTTTCTGGCGTCAAAAGAAATCGCCCAAAGGTGTACGCTTGTTTGCCGAAATGCTTCAAGCCGCTGTCCCCGGAGGTTCTGCGTCTTTTGTGGAAATCTTACGTTCACCTCCAAGTGTAACGTGGTTGGGCTTCGATGCAGGGAACCAGGGTGCCCTCGACTAGATGTCGCACTTGATGCGTTGTCAGACAAAGCGCGATCTTCTTGATACTGGCGCTCAAGTCTATCGTAGACACAAAGACTACGCAGTATAATGAGACGACAACTGGCAGGCTACCTTGGGTAATGCCTGGAATCTAAATTCGTCAGGCTGCTTGGCCACGTCCGTATGAGGCGGTGCTAGCAGCGTGGTGAGTTAGGTCGCTTGGGCCCAGGAGTTTGGAAATATCCTGGTCCGCGGTCTCCCGAACTATAATGCCACTCGACGCCGTTGTCAGGGTACGCCTGAGAGGGGCTGGCACGGCTCAAACTACAGGAGACTATCAGCATCCATCTTCTCCACCATCCAAACATTTCGGCTCCTGATTTGTGCGCTGTCACGATTGGGGAGATTGTCAAGGTGGTGGGGGGTGGGAGGGGAAACATCGTGGCGGTTTAGTCTCTTCAGGGCTGAAGGATGTATGCGTTGGCAAGCGGAATCACGATGCAGCCGGCAACATACCTTGTTGAAATGCAACGCACTCACGACCCCAAACAAGGGTAGGCGGAGTTTTGCGCGCGCGCAAAAACGGGACTTGAAAACAGGGAAACGGACAGCCCTGACGACGGGACTATCCTGCAGTCTCCGACCGTAGAAATCGAGATGCGCGCCTATTGACAGGTCATGATGTTAGAAAGCTGTAAGAGAAGGCCAGTAGGCAAGGATTGACGCGTAGTGATTGGGCCATCCTGGGCGGGGAGTCGGGGTCGCAACTGAAACGCGACAGAAAACATAACAATGCATAAGCCATGGCAAGAAGCTCACAAGGGGCAGAGGTGATAGGAGGATTCGCATCAAAGGGTCTTGCCTGCAGTGCTTGGAGCACATGCGACACTAATTCTAATGGTCTGATTTGCTTTGAAGGTGGGTAACGCCAGCCATGTCTGGAGGGGGGGCAGAGGAATCACAGTTGTCGCGGTTTGCGGGCCGCGGCCAAAAGCCAAGAACAACAACAACAGGCTTGCCTCGTGGTTTGGAAAAGGCTAATTACCTCGATCGAGGGTTATTCTCCGCAGGTGGCAGAAAAGCCTCCTATGCAGAGCGACACCGAAAGCAAGTCGATGTAATGATTTGACAACACTTTCTGTCACGAGGGGAGGAACCGGTGATGATTCGCGGGGCGATGGCAACGCGACGGAGCTCTGCCAACGAGAGAAGGCGGACAGCAGGAATGTCCGTCTTTCACCGCACGGTAGGCTGCCGCTGATGTCAGTCCGGCCCGGGTTGATCCGCGACCGAGCGCCAGCGGCACCAGACTGGAAATAGACCAAAAATAAAGTAGACCAAAAAAAATAAAAATAAAGTAAAATAAAAAAACCACAATGACGGGGGGGGTAAAATCGAGCGAAGGAAAAAAAGTGGAGTGGCTTGGAAACAAAAGAACAGACTCAAGAATGGACCAAAAATAGACTATGATATTTGGTGGGGAGGGCCAGAGATCGGAGCAGACAGGCGCCGTGGCCTGTGGTTGGGTGCTGGCTGAACAGCCGATGTTTGGAAGGCCGCCGGAGGAGAGAGAAATGCACACAATGAATGGCGGGGGGGAGGACGACTCGGATGATTCGTTTGATGCTGCCTCGGAACGCAGAAGGGTACAATTGATTGGGCGCGTGCAAAATTAAAGTATGCAATCACAAAATAGGAAAAATACAAAGTTGAGCAAGGGGCAGCAAAATAGCTAACGTACCTTAGATGGTGATTCGACCACAACCGTGGTAATGACAGAAGGAGAGGATGGAAATGATCAATCACGAGGGTGAAGCGGATGGGGGGAGGGAAGGCGGGCAATGATTGGGTTGGACGAAGAGGACGGGTTAATCTGAAGCCAGGCCGGCGAGCAACGAGTAGGAAAAAAACAAAATGGGAGGAAACCAATGGGCTCTGTGCAGCCAGGACAGCCCGACGTTGTTGACTGGAGGGCACGCAAGGACTGGAGAGGTTGGATGACCAACGAGAGGGAGCAGAGAGAGAAAGCCGCAGCGAGAAGAAGGGGCGAGCGATGGGGCATTTGTACCGGACGCGCTCAGGTAGTAGCTGAGTGGCTCGGCAGCTCGTTAGCGGACGAGGCGGCGATGAATCAGACCAACAAAGGCCAGGACCATACTGTCCGGTATCAACCCCAGGGTTCGGTCCACTTAGCGCCAGCGCTCTTTCCCCTCCTGGGTAAGGCTGGTAAAGCCGGACGTAAGGTACCGTAACCGCGTGGTATGTATCGTCTGGTATCTTACCCACTCCTGGCCAAGCCGTATTACCAACGAACCTTCCAATGGCTCATGGCCGGAAAACTTGGGGTCGAAGGACACGCCGTGTGTGCCGCCGGGCAGCTTGCGCTCAATCAATCTCGGATATTAGGCCCTCCCTCTCCTCTCCCGAACTTTGTCTCATTACACAAGGGGGCAAATTTGGATCGATCGAGTCTGACCTCATCCTTGTCCGAGACCGTGGACTTCATCTATCTAAAAGCTACGGTAAAGTAGTTGGTAGAAATTATTTCTTATCTGAGGTAGCCGCCCATTATGCAAAGCATCCGGCCATCCCGAATTTGTGACGCTCATCATGTGCAACCCAAAACTGGCAAATTGCCCTCGGGAATAAAACCTGTCTGACCCAAAGTGACATTGACCAGCCACCCCCCATTGGCCCACTTGAGCTTTACTTGGTTTGTTTTTGCGAATCATGGTTTACTTTAGCCACAGGATTATGTGACTGGCTTTCACTTTCTCTCGTCCTCTCTATCTTTTTTATTTTATTCTATTTATCTGCTTTCTGAACTCCAACTCTAGACTTGAAGTAGGAAGAAATTCGGCTTCCTATGGTTGTGTTACCTTAGATAGGGAAAAAGTAAACTGAACCCACATAGCAATAAATGCATATGCTTGCTCTTATGCTCATCATGGCAGTACATACTAGTAGGTAGGGGAAGTGATAAAGATGGAAAAGGCACATGAAAATCAAATGCCATGCTATCACTGACCTGACACTTTACTAATGCAGCATGCAGTCTCTTGCCGTGGAATCACATTGTTTCTACGGAGGAAGCGCGGCTGGATTCTGGCTTTTGTTACGTACAGGCTGATACACTCAAACGTCAGCGGAGCGAATCGAAGCCATGGCCAGCCTCGGTTATATAACCAATCTTGGTAAGACTCCCTGAGTGGACAATCCATGCGTTCTCGGTGCTAAGTACTACTACGAAGTAGATGATGTGCAAATATCACTCGACATGAACACGACCAACACTGAGGTCCATTATCATCAAAGACCTAATATAGATAACGGGCATAACAGCTACAACAGACAACCTTATGTTGAGCACAACGGCACAACATTAGCCGCAGCCTTGTTCTCCGCCAAGGCTGGGATCAGGAAGGCTACTATAAATTATATATAGATTCATGAATCGCAGACCTGCCTGAAGTACAGTAATCACGATGCACGAACACGAGCTCAGGACCATTTGACCACAATCATACTGGCCCTCGTATATATAGAGTACTCCAGAAAATCTTCGATCTCATGGTTTGGGTTTGTCACCAGGTTGCCTGCCGTCAGGTCGCAAAGTTACATGGAAGAACCGTGAAATCAGTGAACCTGCGGAGTCCTTGTTAGCGCCCTTGGATTTACACAGCGAATGCCGCAAGAGAATAACAATAATTCATAATAATGCAACCCGATCCAAATGTAGCCTACCGCGTAATACTACGGACTAGGCCGCCTATTTTCTTTTTTTCCAGAGTCAACTGGCATCCCACTCTTGTCTCCCTCTCGCTCCATCAGCAGTAGGGCGTCGAGAGAATTGGGTCATCGGACCCTGACCAGCCGGAAATGAAGATCCCAACTGAAATCAGAGTAATCAAGGTAAGATCAAATGAAAATACGAGAATCGAAGACTAACGGCACAAGAAAGGAGCAGCTACTTACGGGTACTCTGTATAACTGAGCGTTATAATTGGGAGGTTTGCGGATTAGCAACCTTGACCGATTCCAGATCTCTGGGATATGGAAAATTTAAGGTACTCCGTAGAAAAGTACGTAGGAAATAGAAGTGGAAGTAGACGGCGGAGGATGTAGTCTTCTATGAAAGGTTTACCGGCGTGTGTACTCCATACTGATTACTATCTAGTTGGATAAGGCCGACCGGCACGATGGCAGAGCAGATTGGGCGCCGATCTGTTCCACACCACGTGTGAAGCTTGACCGCTTGGTTCTTCTTTTATGGGGACTTTTCTTTCTTCCCTCGGAGAGATGGAGACTGACCTCTTGCACTCTGGATCATTAAAGCTGGACCTAATGGGACTCTTTTCCGGTTGAAAAGCCCTTAAAGATCGTCTGGTTACTACTACTAGTAGTACTTTGTAGAATGTGAATATGTAGTAAGTAAGACCACAATAACAAATAATAAAAATAATAATAATGATAACAATTTGTTGTTCTCGGGTTACTTCCCACCTGAACCCTGTGCGGGAAGGCGGCAAGTACGGCGTATCGAGATACTGCCGGTCGCGTATGCGGAACGTACAAACCATACCTGGACGGATACAGAATTACCGCGTGTACATGGGACGGGCGTATCTTGGTTCCAACTCAGCAGTTAGCAATTCAGCACTGACTGACTGACATGGGGGAAGCTCGAGCCATCTGACGTCAAAGCCAGCCAGGCTTCCCCGCCACACCGCTCCTCGTTGACATTTTCCTCCGCCTGGTTCTTTTGACCAGCAGTGTCAGTATCACAAGAATGTGAGAGACATCCGACCTGGAAATGCCGGTCTCTCGTTTCTGCTACTCTTCAATGATGCGCGCAGCCAATCACGTATTTCCCGTGTCCTACCCGGTGCTCGTGTGGTGAATTGAAATTGTAGTTGCATCATGAGCTGTTGCGTGGAAGTACGCGGGCGGAGTAATCTGCCTGAGGTATCTACTACCGGCGAGCGCCGAGGCTTTGTGAAGGTCCCACCAACCACTCTGCCGGAACCTCTATCAAATATCTAATGTACAGCTGGATTCATCTTCGATGAACCTGCTTACGTTTTGTTGATAATAGATCGTCTTCATAGCAACTCACACGCCTTCACCTGACATATCTCTATGAATAGTGCCTCTTCCCATCCCATATCCTTTGTCACAAGCTAACCTCCCCCCTGTTTACCGTAGGACCAGATATGCATATGCCATCCCAGATGGAAGATGTTGAGTCTCGAAGCAGGCACAGACTAGCATTGATCGCTTGCCTTGTTTCTCTTGGTCTCTTGCTCCATATCAACTATCCTTGGTTACGTGGCCGGGGAGGTGGCGAAGAAACATCTCTTAGCCTAGCTCTCGTGAACAAAATGGCCTTCGAGAAGCTTTCCCTATCGCTCTCCATGACAAACAAGTTCTACGTTGCGTCTAGTATCCTAGAGATATAGATGATTTCCCTACCAGGATACTCTCCTCAGTGCCTGCAATTCAGGGCTTGATGGCACACCGATCCTGGGTGACGTAAACTAGACCCCTCGCGACTGCAGTTTTAGAGATTTGTACTCAAAACTGCCACTCACCCAAGCGGGTAACATTGCTCTTGCTGCATTGGCTTTAAGGTATGTGGAAACGCTTGAGAAACGAGATACCGATGTAGGATTCAGTATCCCTACTATCATCCCATGCGCATCATACAAAGAAGCAGATTGACTGAAGAGGCAACAGGGGAAGGTCGCGAAGGTACTCCATACTTGGCATTACCGTTGTATAGCCAGATACTCTTACTGAAAGATTAATTTGGGGGTGATCAGAGGACTATGCCCCATTGTCGTCGGCAGGTCAAGACGGGAATATTGGCGCCCTCTTGCTATGCTAAGCGGTAAGTTTCCAGATGAAGTCATGGACAATCGTTTACTCAATCTGGCATACGCATCCTCCACAGCAATCATGTGCAGACCTCATGATACGGCCTCTTCTGCTGTATAAGGACATAGGAGAGCTCCAGGTGCTAATCTGGTGACTGATCAATCGAATAAAGAACCGAGAGATGGGACGCAAGGAGCGAATCGTCCACAGTCTTCGGTCCCTTCGGCTTGTAAGTATCGAAATCCGTCGCAAAGCGCGGGGCTTTACGACAGCCATCGTTCCCTGACCTTACGTTCTGTGCCGTGTTATCCACAAGAGCTGCGGCTACGTATTGGGCGACGTGGCTTACGTCTAGGCAAATTAACGCTGCCCATCCAGTGAAATCCAATTACAGGACTGTGGATGAAACCAATCTTACACCAATCCAAGTTGCTGTCTCATGTATGCAGTGGAGGCTTCAGGAGCCCAGCCTATGGTCTGTCGGAGGACCCCTTACACATTACCATCATCGGACCATAACATCACACAACTAATAGCAAGGTTGAACAGCGGCAGCCCTGGCCTTTGCAAGGGGCAGGAATGAGCAGAAAGCTCACGTCCAGCACAAGCACCCAATAGGACATCTGTACGCCTTCTCGCTCCTCGATAGGGCAATGCTCAATGTGACAAATGCTTTCACTGCATATTGTTCATTGGTCACCATGGCCTTGATTCCATGCAGGCTATGTGGTTTGGTTCTCCTTGGGGTGTACTGCTGCGTTGCGATCTGTCACCATCAGCTCCCTAGGAAACTCAAACGGACCCGCTCGAAATTGACACCGGATTGCTTTCAGATGAAAAGGAGCGCATCAATTTTTCATCACATGGGCTGGCCCCTCCGCACTGCGGCATTTGATGATTCTCTCCATGAGTTGATGCTCGGTATTTCAAGTTAAACTTTTCGGAGACCCCGAGATTACAGGCTGCTTTAATTCACACAGATTAAATGTCCTTTTGTGACGATTTGATCGTCCATTCAATCTAGATAAGCTCCTGATACGGAGCACGTTTTCGCCTTCCCGCGTTTCGTTCGGTAAGGTTCGATAGGCAGACACTCTTCGCATCTTATGCAAGGCAGGTATGACAGACAAAGTACCCAAGTTTGAGAGAATAAAGAGATAAGGTGCCTCACGTCATAAACTGACATCATGCCGGCATCGAACAGTGTCTGGGACTAATGATCAAGCCAATAGGGGCGGGACACAGTGTAGTCGATCCAAAATCAATCCAACAAGGTAAAATTGGAATATATCCGCCATGTACAAAAGGCATCCAGATAGAGAGGCACGTTTTTGATAAATCCACGGAAGTCAACTCTTAAGAAAAAAAAAAGGCCCCAAATACTGCTGGAAAAGCACTGTTTTTGTGGGATAAGAGAATGTCTTTATGTCCAGACTTGGCTGTCGTTGTCTCAGTTCCCAGGCCCTCCAGATTGGGCACTCAGGTATCAATGTACCTCCGAGGTACATAGTTGCCATGTACACCCGTTGACCAAGTCCTGCAATCATTGGGTACAAAACTGGCCTACGTCAAGCTGGCTGGCACCGACACTCACCGCTGGCTACATGGCCATGTCTTACAGGTCCAAAGGTTGGTCCACTGCAGACTGCCAGCTGTTCATGCAGTATTCGACTAAACCTGCCTACCACCCACTATCTAGACTGGGTATCCGCTGCTCGCTATATATTGCGCAGCACTGTTAGAGTATACTCCTTTGGGGGCATGATTATATGTCGGACCCGATGAAGTATTTAACCGTTATTGTTATTGCCAAAGTCCAGCGTGTGGGGGATCTCGTCAATGTAGTGTGGGCTTGACACAAAATCGCGCAGCATGAGAGGGATATACCACAACGAAATCAAGGCTAAAGTCCCTTCCCCCGCGGTGTTGACTCCTTGCTAGATACAGCAATTTTTGGGAGCTGTGGCAGTGCTCAGGATCAAAGCGAAATTTCATGACCGCCTGTGCTGTCTATACTAAGCGATGTCAGCAGGATTCCGGGTAGCTGCTCTTCGTGTATGCAGAGAGGCGGATTGGGCCCAGTCAGCGGCAGTCTAATCAGTGGAAAGTTTATACGGATTAATAATTATCTGGGTGCCCGAGAAACATCCCATGATGCGGGGTATCTGGAGTATGACCTTTGGCAATGTTCTGGTCGTGGTCGATAATATATGGGTGAGTGCGAGAAGCGGAATCGGTCGAACGGAGAGGATTTGGAGCAGAATCCAAAGCTTTGATATGAAAGCATGTGGTTGCGGAGTATCCATGGTTCTTTGTGGGCATGACGCTTGGACAAGAAAATTTGGCTTGCCTAAGCTCATATTATCTATCAGGGAACTGTTATATATCTTTTCCGGGCGATATTGTTGTTCAGAACGGTCAGGGAGACAGAGAATGCGGATTTTCTAAGCATGAAAATTCCATCCTTAGATGATTTGTAGCGAAGGACGATTCCAGTAGGCTATATATGTTCAGGCGTTGGTGTTTATTGAATGCTCTCTTCCTGGCCCATACTACTAAATCGTTAGCGGATGAACGGACGCCCTGGAAACCGGGCGGAGCTGCTGCAGAACCGTCACCGGGGACCTATTACAGAGCCACAATCTCTGAACTCCCAGATCGATCCAACACTTTATGTTGCGCAAAGCGAATCAGGAGCTCGAGAAGAGCGATCGAGAGAGGTGTGCCTGCATAACGGTGCATGTTGAACGACAACCACTCTCACTGGTAGGAAGCAAAGCGATGAGCACCGGTAAAGACCCGCGCTGCTGATTGGGTCGCGGGGGGAAGACCGGGTCGCTTACGTGATCCGCCTCGATCCCGCCCTTCGATCCCTCATGTGGCTTTTCCCCGTGCTTGGGGCAAGGAGACCGACCGAGTCCGCCTATCTTCGTCTCTTCATTCCAATCCCTTCGCCATTTGCTCGACCCCAGACGATCCTGGGACCCTCTCGGAAACGCCTGGTCACACTACGGACGGCCCCCAACACCCACCGCTCCGATTCTCATCGTGATCTTACCCCTAGAACGCGCCGATTTGTCCGCCCGCAACCCACGATATACATGACGTCTTTGTTGACACCCGTGTCAAACAATCAATTCTCAAGTACCGTCCTACAAAAAGAACTCGTCTAGCATTGCAGTCGGTGCCGCAGACCCGGAAGATATCAGCTTGCGAAATCCCATAGGGCGGCGCTCCTCGTAGCGTTCGCGACTCGTGGTTCCCGCTTGTGTTGTTCACCCCCTTGCGAACTATCTGTCGAACAGGCGGAAACGGGCGATCGGTCCCAGGTGTATGGGGGATAAGCCAAAATGGCTCCAGCAGGTGGAGGAAATATCAAGGTGGTGGTGAGAGTGCGGCCTTTCAACAGCAGAGGTGAGTTGTTTTGGCGTTGGGAATGCGATCAAACCCCTCCCAGACCAGACTGACCCGGTGCTTCCTTCTCTAGAACTCGACAGAGGTGCAAAATGTATCGTGCAAATGAAAGGCAGCCAGACCGTCCTCACCCCACCGCCAGGCGCTGATGAAAAGGCCCGGAAGGCTGGTGGAGGGAAGGGCGCGGTAGAAGGGCCGAAGTCGTTCGCCTTCGACCGATCGTATTGGTCTTTCGACAAGAACGCCCCGAACTACGCCAGCCAGGACAATCTCTTTCTCGACCTGGGTGTACCGCTTCTAGACAATGCTTTCCAAGGTTACAACAACTGTATTTTCGCGTACGGTCAAACGGGTTCCGGAAAATCGTATTCGATGATGGGCTACGGCAAGGAATTCGGTGTGATCCCGCGAATTTGTCAATCTATGTTCGAGCGCATCACTTCGATCCAACAAGACAAGAACCTCGGCTGTACGGTGGAAGTGTCGTATCTTGAAATCTACAATGAGAGAGTCCGTGATCTGCTCAACCCTTCGAACAAGGGGAATCTTAAAGTCCGCGAGCATCCGTCGACCGGTCCTTATGTCGAGGACCTTGCCAAGCTTGTAGTGCGCTCCTTCGATGAGATTGAGAACCTGATGGACGAGGGTAATAAGGCCAGAACGGTCGCTGCCACGAACATGAATGAGACGTCCAGTCGTTCGCACGCCGTGTTCACTTTAACACTCACACAGAAGCGCCACGACTCGGAGACGTCTATGGATACGGAGAAGGTGTCGCGGATTAGTCTAGTCGATCTTGCGGGTTCGGAAAGGGCAACATCTACCGGAGCGACCGGTGCTCGATTGAAGGAGGGTGCTGAAATCAATCGGTCGCTCTCGACCCTAGGTCGTGTCATTGCAGCTCTCGCAGATGTGGCTGCTGGCAAGAAGAAGAATGCCTCAATGGTTCCATATCGTGATTCCATCCTAACATGGTTGCTGAAAGACTCCTTAGGAGGTAACTCCATGACAGCAATGATTGCCGCTATTTCACCCGCCGACATCAACTTCGATGAGACTCTGAGTACGTTGCGTTATGCAGACTCGGCGAAACGGATCAAGAACCACGCGGTGGTGAACGAAGACCCCAACGCACGAATGATCAGAGAACTAAAGGAAGAGTTGGCTCAACTCAGGTCGAAACTCGGGGGTGGTGTAGCCGCCGCCGCAGGCGGAGGTGCAGGTGGCGTCGCTGGCGCCATCCCAGCAGAAGAATATTACCCTCCAGAGACTCCTTTAGAGAAGCAGATGGTTTCCATTCAGCAGTCCGATGGCTCGGTCACTAAGGTCAGCAAGGCTGAAATTGTCGAGCAGTTGAACCAGAGCGAGAAGCTCTACAAAGACCTGAATCAGACCTGGGAGGAGAAGATGGCGAAAACAGAGGAAATTCACAAAGAGCGAGAGGCTGCGCTGGAGGAGCTTGGAATCAGTATCGAGAAAGGTTTCATCGGCTTGAGCACGCCGAAGAAGATGCCACATTTGGTCAATCTCAGTGACGACCCGTTGCTCGCCGAGTGCCTTGTTTATAACATCAAACCGGGAACCACAATCGTCGGAAACATGGAACAGGGAGGCCATGTGGAAATACGATTGAACGGCTCGAAGATCCTTGACGATCATTGTAGGTTCGAAAACGTGGACAACATTGTCACAATTATCCCTACTGAGGGTGCGGCGGTCATGGTGAATGGACTGCGGATCGATAAACCCAAGCGACTCAAGAGTGGGTTTCGGATAATTCTGGGGGACTTCCATATCTTCCGTTTCAACCACCCGCAGGAAGCGCGCGCCGAGAGGGTTGAGCAGAGCCTGTTGCGCCATTCAGTTACTACGAGTCAATTGGGCTCGCCGGCTCCGAACAAAACACACGACCGAAGCCTGAGTAAGACCGGCTCGGAGGTTGATGGAGACTCCAGCAGAGCGGACTCCCCGATGCCTTCCCAACGTGGCAGGGAATCTGATTGGTTTTATGCTCGCCGTGAAGCCGTCAGCGCTGTGCTGGGGCCCGATCAAATCTCGCACATGCCTGATGATGAGCTGGACGCTCTGTTTGAGGACGTGCAGAAAGTGAGGGCAACGCGCCGTGGGCTAATGGAGAACGAGGAGGACTCCGACTCGCTGAGTTCATTCCCAGTGCGTGATAAATACATGTCCAACGGCACCATCGACAACTTCTCATTGGACACTGCCATTACGATGCCCGGGACCCCCCGTCCTATTGACGAGGATGACGGCCAAAATGGGGGTGATGCAACGTTGCAATCAGTTCGCCAGGATATGCAGCGCCAGCTGGACCGACAAAAGGAGGAGTATCAGGACAAGTTGAGAAATGCTGAAGCTTCCTCCACCCAGGGTGTCGATGATTTACGCTCTGAAAAGGCCCGCATGGAGGAAGCCCTGCGAACGGCCAAGGAAGAATTCGAAGAGCAACTGAAAAAGCAAAAGGAAGCTTTCGAGTCTCACATGAAGGACCTAGGCCAACCGGTACCCAAGATCTACGAGAATGGATTCGCCAAGTTAGACGCAAGGGAGCTTGAAGTTGCAAGCACCGTCTACCGCCATTGGTCCCAGCAAAACTACGTTCGCATGGCCGAGAAAGTGCTCCAGCATGCTTCTCTGTTGAAGGAGGCTCAGGTGATGAGCCATATCATGGACAAAAACTTTGTGTTTCAATTTGCGATCATCGATCACGGGCACAACATGGCCTCATCTTACGACCTTGTACTAAACGGCATTTCTGGAGATGAGGACGTTGTGCTAGACGACGCTAAGAAACCATGTGTTGCAGTTCGTGTGATCGACTTCAAGCAATGCGTGATTCATCTCTGGTCTATTGAGAAGCTCCAACGTCGCGTCCAGGCTATGCGTCAATTGCACCAGTACATCGATCGCCCTGACTATATCCAGCACTTCAAGCTTGAGAATCCGTTCTCCGAGTCATGTTCGCCACAGTATTCTCTTGTTGGTGACGCCGATATCCCACTCACGGCAGTATTTGAGACTCGAGTTCAAGATGTTTCTGTCGAAGTGATCTCGCCATACACACAGAACGTCATAGGTATAATCAGGCTGTCCTTGGAGCCCTCCTCGGCTCAGGCGCCTTCATCTACCCTCAAATTCAATGTCGTGATGCGCGATATGGTTGGGTTTGCTGAATGGGAAGGGTCAGATGTCCACGCGCAATTGTTTTTGCCGGGCATCTCTGACGAGGGAGGAGCTACGACCACTCAAATGATCAGTGGGTTCGACGAGACACCGGTGCGGTTCGAGAGCGTTCATAGTATGAGTCTACCACTCTCAAGCCCACGAACTGCGGCGCTGAAAATTTGCGTCTATGCGCGAGTGACCCAAATGCATCTGGATAAGCTGCTCAGCTGGGACGACATGCGCGATTCCGCGGAACCGGCACCGCAGAAACGCAAAACACCACGAATTGCGGAGACGGAGTTTTATTCCGAAGAAAGACACGATGTTTTCGCAAGGGCGCAGGTGCTTGAATTAGCGGAGACGGGAGAATACCTCCCGGTCGAAGTAGTCCAGAGTAACAGCCTTGATGCAGGTACTTATCAGCTCCACCAAGGACTACAGCGTCGGATTCTGGTGAACCTCACCTATAGCTCGGCCGAAACTCTCCCATGGGATGATATCACCAGTATTCGCGTGGGGTCGGTACGGTTGCTAGATCCCTGGGGCAAGATTCCTGACCAGGACCTGCAGACTCCAGATGTTCCATTGAAGTTTGTCCAGGAGCCAAATGTGAAGGAGAATGCAGATGGAACATCCAACATTACCATCATAGGTCAATGGGACTCTAGCTTACACGGATCCCTCCTGCTTGACCGGGTCACTGCGGACAAGTATCGGGTGCAGGTGACATTGCGATGGGATCTTATATCCTCCCGCCTACAGGATCCTGTTCCCTTTGAAATTGATTTGACTCTCCAGATCCAGGGTCGAACCTATGTCCGACCTCAATCCATGTTCAAGCAATTCTTCAATTCGACGCGCATTGTGCACTCCACAGTCCGGATGTTCTCATTAGTCGTTCGTCCAGTGTCCGCCAAACGCGCAGCTGATCTCTGGCGCATGAACACACAGAATGACTATGTCAAAGGGGAGGAATTTCTGACAACTTGGGCTCCACGCAAAGTCTCACTTGTCCGCGATTACGTGGCCGCCCGCAAACGAAGGCGACGTGTTGCCGAATTGAATGCTGCCAAAGGCGCTCTGAGTGCAACTAGCCTCGTGGCATCGCCTTCACGCAGCGGACGGTCCACGCCGCTCCGTAGCCAGGAGCGTGTTGACCGTCGGACCAAGCTGCTCCAGAAATATGTTGACCTTTGGACAAGGAAGACTGATCCTATTGAGGCCATTCTTGTTCGAAGCAACACGGAGCCGCCTGCAGGCGGGGCGGCTTTTGCCTCGCGGGCGAAGCCATTTTCTTCAAGTGATGATGGTAGTTCGGTGCAGGACGAGGCATCATTGAAGCCGCGATTTGTTGCTACCGTCCAAGCCCTCCCGAAGAATACTTCCTCCCTGAAGTCGGGCTACCTATTGACACCCGACGATACCAACAGCCAATGGGTCCGGCGGTTTGTTGAACTGCGTCGGCCGTACCTCCATATATACTCCGTTCCTGACGGCGACGAAATCAATGCGATCAACCTGCGCAATTCACGGGTTGACCATGCACCTGACTTTGCACGGCTCCTCGATGGTCCAGGCGCCGGGTCCGACCGCGGAACATCTCCACGCGGTCGTCCGAACGTTTTTGCGGTGTACGGTGCGCAAAACACGTTCCTGTTTGCGGCCCGAACCGAAGCTCAGAAAGTCGAATGGATCCTCAAAATTGACGAGGGCTATTTTAGCAGCAGCGGTGCCCGAGCTATGGCCAATAACAATGCCTAACTCTCGAGTGTCGTCTGGCCCCAGCTGAAACAGTCTTCCCCTGTTGAACAGGTTTCGTCAACATCCATCAGCCTGCCCCTGCATATAGTACTTTCCCCGGTGTTGTTTGCGTTCATGGTTGTTAGCCCTTCTTAACCATACACTTAGATTATACTGTCCCTTTCTTTCGCGCGTTCACTCATTGGCAGGCCTGGTGTTCCTTCGTTGACGCATTGACATCCCCTTCCACTCTACACCCGCTCTTGATTGATTTTGAGATACCCCTGAATAAATTTACCCCACACGGCCTCGGCCGTCTCCATGTACATATTTGAAATCTGCAAACATAGATACAACCTGCCTGCAAGCCATGATAAATGAGGGGGGCCTGGCGTGTCCGCAGGCGGCAGTAGGCCATTGCCCGAATCCAGGGATTGCATTTAGCACCCTATTGGTTTGAAGACGTCCTATCTTTCAGGACAGCGACATAGGAGCTTCTGCCTCTACCTTTCCCATTGATAACCTGGCTTATTATTATCATCAAATTTATCACCAGAATTACCTGCTCCCATCTGCTCAAGCCGTTGGCGCTTTCAGCAAGTTCTGTACTCCGTACGTGATGGCCAATTGGCCAATTGGATGGACATGTATATATCGGCCGTTGCCATGGCGACGCCAATCCCCCGGGCTTCAACAATTGCATCATGCTATCCCCCATAATGTCTCCATGAGCTGAGTGCACCAGAACCACCTGCACAGGTAGACAAAAGGCACGGCAATGCAATTGTTGCAAGGACAATCGTCAGGCTTCCGTTTCTTGGCCACGGGTGCTGTTCTCTCTTTAATCATCACGACCTTCATCATCTTTGGTACGCGGTACTCCAATGACGTCGCCAAATATGCTTTAAAGGCGCCCCTGAAGTCAGCCCCGCAGTCCTGTTCGCATTTACCGCAATTGACGCCAGTCAACGATTCTAAATGGGAGTTTATGGTCGAGCGCGATGGTGACAACCATGGGCTTTCGGATACGCAGTGTCGCCTTGCCTTTCCTAAATTTTTCGTTGAGCTCGACAAATCCGTATCGCTAAGGGAAGGAAGTCGCATAACGTTTAAAGAGCTGGATGGCTTGGAGGTGGGGGATGGTATGGTGCGGGGCATCATTGATCGTGGCGAGGTGTGTTTACACATTGATGACCGCGTTGTTGTAAGCGTTTCTAACCGGTTACGTCTGATATAGCTCCATATAGTCGATTTCGGCGCAATGCCTGCGACTTTCACCCGCGGTAAAGCAACTTTACATGCTATTAATCGCGCCCTGGCCTCGTTCCCGGACCGAGATACTCTGCCATCTATCGAGTTTGTCTTGACAACGGAGGACTATAGCAATAGTGAAGGGCCAATTTGGTCCTATTCTAAGCGGGACGAGCAGGAGAATGTCTGGTTGATGCCCGACTTCGGATACTGGTCGTGGCCTGAAGTCAAGATTGGCCCATACAAGGAGATCCGACGTCGCATTGCCGCAGTCGACGACGGGGAGGCCACTCTAGATGGGAAGTTCGCCCCGGGGTTGTCTTTCCAGGACAAGAAGAAGCAGCTTGCCTGGAGAGGTAGTGTTGCTACAAGTCCCGAGATTCGGGGTAAGTTGTTGAAGGCTGCTCAGGGCAGGAGTTGGGCAAGCATACGGGTGATCGACTGGGACGATGAGAACGACGTCCGGTTCAATCTCCTGCCCATGGAGGAATACTGCCAGTATATGTTCCTGGCACATACGGAAGGACGAAGCTTCTCCGGACGCGGGAAGTATCTCCTGAACTGTCGCTCCGTGGTGGTCTCGCACAAGCTGGTCTGGCGAGAGGCGCACCATGCTGCTCTCATTGCGTCCGGTCCGGAGGCGAATTATGTCGAGGTAGAGCGGGACTTCTCGGATCTAGATCGAAAGATGGCATTTCTTATTGATAATCCGGAGGCAGCGCAACGCATTGCGGAAAATGCTGTGAAAACGTTCCGAGATCGGTATTTGACACCCGCAGCGGAGTCTTGCTATTGGAGGCATCTGATCCGACAGTATGCTTCGTCCTGTGAGTTTGAGCCTGTCTTGTACACACAGGAGAATGGCAGGAGACAGCCCCGAGGCGTTCCATTCGAGAGTTGGGTCCTTACTGGACTCTAGATGTCGCACCTTATTACGTTTTCGCTTCTATTTGCATGCATACGGCGTTGGTGGCTCAGGTTGGACACATTGATTTTCAATGATTAGCGTTCTATGAGTGATGTATTGGATAGTATAACTATAAGATGAGATGAATTTTGTGATGATGACTTGAATGTAGGAGAAACTGGGAGGTACCTTGGTGGCTGAAAAGGGGATAGCTTCTTGATGCCTCTTCTTCGCCTTTCATTTTCCCTCTCACTTTCCCCCTCGTTGTCACACTCCCCTTTGCATCATTCCACATACCGACCCAACAAAGCCCCTAGAGCAATCTACCTGCCCGACAGTCCTTCCAGCTCAAGACAACGGCAACTCCGAGGCGAATGGTACCTCGAGTGCACAACGGCAGTGCTCGAGTCCGAGCCTACCCGCAAGCCGTTATCACTCACTGGCTCTTTATTGTCTCGAGTAAGTCGCATGCTGCCCGATGTCGATCTCTAGGTCATCGTGCATGAAGAAGACCCTTGCTGACACGAGTCGGGCTTCCCCGCACTTCCATGAAGTATTTAGTCAGGAAACACAGTTTTCACCACCAAGCCCTTCCCGTGATGTGAGACGGCACACAAGCGTCCTCTTTCCAGCCGTTGGATGATTCTATTCTTCCTTCGGATAATTCATGCGGGGTAGGTCGGGGGAGAATACGGTGAAAAGGTCGGACCTCACGAGGCCCACTTGCTCACCTGATGGGAACACGAGGTAGCCCTGCAGATCTCTCAAGGGCCCAAGAGGCTCAAAGCCAGGTTCTGCCTTGGACCAATCAGTTCAATCCCGACCGTTCACGATCCATCGACCAGATCAGCGGTCTTGTACATTATGGAAGAAACTATTGCCCAAGCAAGGCAGATCAATGAGGTTCCAAGGGACCGGTAATAGTGCGGTCTATGGCCGGACAGAACGCTGATGAATGGGGTGATCCGGATAGGTAGAACCTCCACAGGCAAGGGATAAGGTCCCAGCGCCGTTGCGATTGTTTTTGAGACTTTCATGAAAGACCATTGAAGTGTACGTGGTCTCGGCAGATCTTTGGCGCGATGGTAACACTACACGTTGCATGTGAAGGATTCGAGTCGGGATCCGATTGAGCTCCTTCGTCCTTAAGGTTGGGCGATGAAAGGACACCCGATGTGTGGCAGTCTGGCCAAGAAACCTACCCAAACTTGGCGAGCAAACCAACAAAGGGTCGCATGCACTACCACTCAGCCTTCCGGCCATGTGTCTGGTGCCTTCTGGGCAGAACCACTGGCCTGGGTGACTGCACGAGAAAGGGTTATTGGATGAATGGACTGTTTGGTCATCCGTCATTGACTCCCCATGCACCGTTCACTCCACATGCGGAAGTATCAGAAAAGACAGAATGGAAATAAAGGGGAGAAAAGCCAATTACCAGCCGACACGAAGACAAAAACCATCGAATTTGCATCCGTCTTCATTGCCGAGCATGGGCCCTGGGCCTCGAATTCTCGGCCTCAAAAGATGCCTGCACAAAGTTTGGGCTTTCCGACAACTCAAAATTTTGACCTCACCTTGGTACTGGCCGAAGCCAGAATGATGCTGATCCCGTTTTTCTACCAGGAACAGGAATAATGAGGACGAGGGGCATGCAGCCACGCATCATGCAGTGACCCCGGCCAAGAAGAGTTATCCAGTCGCTTTCGAAACTCACGGACAATTGTGTCAGCCTGCTTGAGGCACACCTGTTACTCTTGGTCAGTGGCATGATCATAGTACTCCCACCCCTTGATGATCGATGCTGCCCTTGCGTCGCCGTCTCATCCGACCTGTTCCACCAATGTTCCTGGCCAATAAGCTAGACCGTACATGCTTTATCCTGAGCATAACCACTAGATTCTGTGGGTCCATATCCACAACCGTTTAAGTAGCACTGACAAAGAAAGGGATATTCATCGGCCCTAATGAAAACTACTCGCTGGAGCTGCGCCGAGGTAACTGGCCAAGCTATGCCCGTTTCCGGCATATCCAAGCAAGTCCATCGCTTTCGCTCGATTGGTCCAACATGCTGATAATGACTGCTTGTGACAGCGAGTCATCGACCAAATTTGAAATCTCCTGTCCCAGTGACCCACTACATGTTCAGTCACATCCTTCTGCTGGCAGATTAAGAGGCAGCCTTGCGGCACTTGCATATAGAGGGAGCATTCATATGCCGCCACTTCAGTCACAAAACATGCCAAGGCGATCCAATATTGCCCGCTAGCTCACCTGAGTGATCTACAAAGTTCCGACTATGCATCTAGGCACCTCTCAGACCCATTCTTCCATCTACTTAAGCCCGGATCTAGCTTGGCGAGATGCCCCATCCCCAGACCGGCAGACCCAGTTACTACCCCGACGCTGGGCATCAACTGATCGATTCCATACAGGAAGGGGAATATCATGGCGGTCATCGGCACAGGTGGGCCTGCCATGGCCGTGGCGCCCAATATAAAGCATATGCGATGCATCCGGGAAAAATAAACATTGCAGGTATCTCTTTGTTCGTGCTCAATTATAACCGTGAGTCTCCCGACCTAGTCTGCAGGCTCTGTACAGCGACGTTATCTGTTTATTTCCGAGGGCATCTCAACCGTGACAATGTGGATTAATCAAGCAGCATCATGGGCGTTCGGACTTGCCTTGGTAACGTCGGTAATCTCATCACCTATCCAAGTCCGAACTACAGGCCCATGGATGGCCATTGACTCCGACTTCCCCGACCCGGGCTTCGTTCAAGCCGACGACGGCACATGGTATGCTTTTGGCACCAATGGCAATAACAGGACCGTCCAGGTCGCCAAGTCTTCAGATTTCAAGACATGGACCCTCCTTGACAAAGAAGCCCTGCCCACCCTCGCAGGATGGGAGACCGCAATCGATCACTGGGCACCAGACGTGATCCGACGAGTACAGCCCCCTCCTCCCATACAACCAACCCACAAGCTAACCCAATCCCAGAATGACGGCAAATACGTCCTCTACTACTCAGGCGAAGCCAAAGAGATGCTCCGACATCACTGCGTCGGCACAGCCGTATCAGAAAGCACCGATCCAACGGGGCCTTACATCCCCAACGCCACGCCGCTGTCCTGCCGTCTGGACCAAGGCGGCTCCATCGATGCATCAGGATTCCTCGACAAAGACGGCAGCCGGTACGTAGTCTTCAAAGTCGACGGCAACAGCATCGGCAACGGCGGCGATTGCAACAACGGCATCGCACCCCTAAAACCCACCCCGATCCTCCTCCAACAAGTAGCCACCGACGGCTTCACCCCCGTCGGCGACGCCGTCCAGATCCTCGACCGCGACGACAGCGACGGACCCCTCGTCGAAGCCCCAAACCTCATCCTGCACGGAGACACTTACTTCCTCTTCTACTCAACCCATTGCTACACGGACCCGCTGTACGATGTCCGTTGGGCGACCGCCAAATCCATCACCGGCCCATATACCAAGACAGGCGCCCAGCTCGTCAAATCCGGAGACTATAACCTCGTTTCACCCGGCGGAGGCACAGTCTGCGGCTGCGGCGATAGAATGCTCTTCCACGGCTTCTGTGGCAATAATAGACGGTGCACGTATGCTGCGGATTTAAGTATCGTGGACACGCAGGTCTCGTTCGTTTAATGTATCCATTTTGGGACCTGAATTTTAATCATTTAGTATGGCGTTAGTGGGGTTGCAGTGAGTGGTATTTGGACTTTGAACATACCCTGTCCTGTCCTGTCATATCCTATCATGTCCTGTGTTATGTTGTGCTGTTGTGCATTGCTTATAAGTATATACCACCTTCGCTACGGATTCATGGAGCGAACCATGAGACATGCATGGTCAATAATAAATACCATTTGGAGAGATGTGCTTCGAGTTCAATCACGTGAATAATATTGCATTGCATTGAAATAATCTCAAGAGGTACTGAACACCTTCTGAAGCATAATCGACTTGAGCACTTCTTCAATTAGCTTAGGATGATAAGGGTGAGGGGTTGATGGAATCATGTATGTGTATGTGTGTATTCTGTACATGTATTGGAAAAGAATTATTAGGACCTTCAAGGAAGATTGTATTGTATGGGAAGATGGGAAGAGGATTCATAGTTCATCTGTTGGATTTACCGACGAGTCGATGTGAAAATACAAGTATTAAAGTGGTTTTGACATTGAAATGAGAATACTGAGCATGCTCATCAAATGTGATAGTAGTACAGTTCATTAAGAGTAGGGTATCTCTATCTCTATATTATCTTCGTCATGATCATCATCGCCAGTAAGAATATGAGTGCGTGTTTATGCATCCTGCTTCGTAGCCTTCTCTTTCCTCTCCTTTCGCATCTTTTCTGTACGCTGCAGCCAATCCGCAGTGCCAGAGATCGCGGCAGCAGGATCCGATTTGTAATTCAGGAGATAGCCTTGGACTTCAGCAGCCGTGAACTCGCTGGAAGGGATTTGAGCCGCGAATTCTTCTGCCAATTTGAGAATCTTGTCTGAGATGGGAGGCCAATTTTCAATGCCGAGGTTCTTGAGGCTGTTCAGTGTAGCGTCGCTGGATTTTCCGTTTGCTGTAATAGAGCGCAAGTCTCCCTCGAGGGTGGAATAAATGGATGAGAACAGTTCCTGGAGATCTGCGGTTTGGGCGTAGCCGAAGGTGATGCTCATGTCCACTCGTCCTGGACGGAGGAGAGCGGCATCAAGCTTCTCGGGGTGGTTGGTCGTCATGATGAGGATCCTGCCTTCGCTAGCTGCGACGCCGTCAATTACATTGAGGAGGCCGGAGAGTGTGATGCCTTTGTTGTCGGTGGTAGAGTCCTCGGTGGCCTTCTTGGCATCGGTGCCATTGGGAGTGTTGGCATTGGGAGCAGCTTTGTTATCGTTATTCTTGCCGTCGTCTGAACTATTTGCAGCGCGCTTTGACGTGATACCGGCGCAGTCGACATCTTCAAGAAGGACAATGCATCGTCGGGGGAGTTCCTGGAACAAAGACATGAGGTCATCCTCGTCAAGGCTCTTCGAGCTCAGATTAAGCAAATACAATGGGAGACCGAGGAGACCTGATGCTGCAAAGCAGAGGCTTGTTTTCCCTGTGCCGGGGGGCCCATGGAGCAGATACCCACGCCGGTAAGGGATACCCCGGTTGGAATACCATCTCCTCGTGCGGGGGTGAAGGTACTCCTTGATGTCATTGATGAAAGCCTGTTTCTGGGCCTGGTCCAACACCACGGTGGAGAGGGGTCTGGGGTGGCGCGCCATGCACCGCACCCAGTCAGTGTATCCGCCGTTCTTCTGACCGCGATAGATCAAGGTGCTGTTCCCATCTCTCGCCACCCACGCCTTTTGTGCTTCAGCAAGAAGCTCCTTCAGAATAGTCGGATCACGACCAATACAGGAAATGAACAACCGCTCAGGCACATATCGCATATAGGAGATGGTGTTGTTGTTCTCCTCTTTGGCACGGGTGAAGGTCAGAAGACGACCCTTGAACCAGAAAAAATGCTTTCCTTCGGCTGGGGTGAAGCGGAGCCGCTTGAACTTGTCTCGTGCGACGGTTTTGGCCCAATAGTCATCGAAGTCCGAGATGACATTACCTTCCTCGTCGTACTCATCCTCATCTTGTAGATCCGCCTCGTCGTCGGAATCGTAGTACCGTGCCCCGCTGGTGATTTTGGTGCTGGCGACGAACTGAGTCGATCGTTTTGTAGCCGGGTGCTGCGCCATCCAGAACATGAGGTAGTTGTATACTTCATCCTCGAGGCGGATCTCAGCCGTTGAGACACAATATTCGCTTAGAAGCTCGTAAGATCGGAAGTAAACAAATTGGAGTGAAGCGAGAAAAGCGACAGCTGTTAGGATATAGGGAATATATTGGGAGACGTCGATGTGCAGATATGATATCAAGAACCGCGAGATGAAGGAGTATCCTGGAATAAAGACATCCAGCATAGCAGTCTCGGAAGGATACAGGTATTGAGAAGATGTTGCGTTCATGGCCACTGTGTTGTTGCCTGTAGTGCTGAGAAAGGGGTTGGAAGACATGATGAGAGTCGTGCGACCGCAGTGAACCCGTTAATCAAGTCTTTGAGCATACGTGAGAGGGGTTGTGAAACCTGTGAAACCAAGATAGGATTGGCGTTCTGTTCAGGTAGTGGTGGTGAATGATGTAGTATGAAAGGTCCTCTAGACACCAAGCCAAGAGATAAGAGGCTGTCCAATGAATGAAAGATGTATGCTAATGCAATGTCTGAATGAGAGAGCTCACCATCTGAGTATCAGCTCTTCCTTATATAGTGTCTTTGCAGGCGATGATGTCTAAGGCAGGCAGGCAGCCAGACAGACAGCCAGACAGGCTGACACGGCCGTGCCACCATGGGGTTGGTAGGCATCCATCAGTGCTGGGCTGCACACGGGGAGAGAGAGGATCTAGAGCGGGTCTCCAGCTGATCCTGCGGGCCAGCGTGTAACGGTGCCCAAGTGGCTCCTCCACTTGAGTCATCGGCGGGCGCCCATCCCGGCTAGGAAGTCGCCGATCGGTGATTCACTGCCGCAGCCTTCAGCCGCATCCTCCTCCACTCGCACGGTCGGACAACCCTTGCGGAAAAGATTCTAAATCACATTGCAAGCAAAAGTGGGTATCTTGATGACGTATTATGGGTTCTGGTCCCCTTCCAAAAAGCCGCGCCCCGCAAAAACAACCAAATAAAACAAACAAATGCACAAGCCAAAAGAAAAACCGCAACCACTCCATCTATGTCTATCGTGACGCTGCTGTGAAGTTGTCCTTTACAGTGTCGAACACGTCGGTCGCCCAATCCTTGGCTTCCTCGAATTTATCCCAGAGGACCCCCCACCAGGTAGGGCCCTCCTCGTCATCGCTCTCCGAATCAGGCTCAGGCTGAGCCTCTGGCGCAGTTTCCGATGGCGACGCAGATGCGGAATATTCTGCCGAGGGCATCTTGGTTGGCGTCATACCGGTGATGGTGCTGGGGACTGGGTCGGCCGGACTGTCCAAAGTGGGCGTGTCTTCGTCCGAATGAAGGCCTACCGTTTGGAAAGGCAGGCGCAAGGTTCCATTGTTCGGGTGCGGTGTGACCCCGAGAGAGTCACAGATAATGTTGTAGACATTGACATTTTCTAAACCAGTCAGCTCAAGTTTGGCTCCAAGCACACCAAGACTATTATGACTCACGAAATGCTTCCAGCCGGCTGTTGGGTTCATGGGGGAATGCGGGTCCCCTGGCGATGAAGATCGCCCGCATCAAGGGGTGCTCGTGGTCATATCCATGGATGCCTCGGGGATGGTAGACCTCCCCGTTTGCCAGGGCTTTACGGGCATCGAAGTCGACGCGCTCGACGACCGCCCAGCCGGTCTTTGGAATCACCCATAGAGGAGCGATGCGGTCGTTGTTCTGGAAGTGGTAGCGTTCAGGCATACTCTCACGCGTGTATATCTCTACGGCATGCGAATAGTTCGATGCCACGTTCTCAAGCTGCTCCTGAAGGACCTTGAGATCCTCTGGCCGTTTGGGTCGCAGCCCGCGCAACGGCCACCCGTCGATGCGCTGCACTAGGTCCAGGTCAACCAGATCCTCCAACTGTACTAATCGTTCGGTGGCAGTGGTTGCCATGCCATGGTCGGAGACAATCACGATGTTCACAACATCTGTAAGGTTGCGCGCTTCAAGACCGGAAAACAGGCTGCCAAGCATATCGTCTACCTTGGAGATCGTGCCCCGAGTCTCAGTGCTGTTAGGGCCGTAGTTATGCCCGTCTGCATCAACATTGGGGACATAGGCAGCGATGAACTGAGGTCTTTGGGGAGCAACGTCGGACTCAACTTCTATCCCAGGCATATCCAGTAGACCCAAGATGCGATCCACTTTCGAGGAAAGCACTTCTGAGCCATTGAATTGATCAAGGTAGGTTGGATCCATACCGCCAATATGCGCCTCTGAACCAGGCCACATATGGACAGCGGTCCTCACACCCTGACTTTCGGCCGTCATCCAGAGAGGCTCAGCATTCCACCATTTAGGTTGCATACTGACCGAGGGGTGGGTGTAGTAGAACTCTTCCTCCAGCACCGGGTCCCAAAAAGTGTTGCCTACGATCCCGTGGCTCTCGGGATATAATCCAGTTACAAGCGTGAAATGATTCGGGAAGGTCACGCTAGGAAAACTGGGAAGCATATACTGCGGAGAGACGCCGTTTGAGACGAAAGAGCTCAGGGTTGGAGTCAAGCCACGAGTGAGGAAGTCCGCTCGAAAGCCATCAAGAGATATCAAGATGGTGGTGGGTGCAAACAAGGCAGTGCCATTATACAGCATGGCCCTGGAGGAGTGGGGGGTCCGATACTTCGCCGAAGCTTTGTATGCTCCCAACCAGAAGATAAGAAGAAGAACAAAGATAGCGGAGAAGATGAGCGCAAGTCTGCGCCATGATACGCGCCGTGGCTGCTCATAAGTAGTCAGAAACTGAAACCCGTATATCACCTATAACATTGGGAATATCCATGATGCATACCTGTACATATGCGTATTCTTTGGCCCGCGTATCCAAGTCGGATGAAGATGCGCTCAGGAGGGAGCGCTCATCATCCCGGTGTCCTTCTTCCATCTCAAACATTATCTCTGCGGATTCACGTTTCCTCCCACGGCGGACATTGCGTGCCTCCCTTCTAGCCTGCTTGCGTTGCCGTCTGCGCTCTTGCTTCCCGATTCTAATGCTGCTACTGCTTGGACTGAAGATGCGGCGAAGACCATGGGTTGGCCCGCTTCGGGTGAGCAATTTCTCGGTCTCCTCTTCGTCATCGAGAACTGTACGATCGTGTTCGGCGAGCTCTAGTGTGGTGCGGGACCTCCGAAGAAATTCGTCGTCTTCCGAGTCAGAGTCCTGCTCTGACGGGGAGCGAAGCGACTCGGCGTCCTCGTCATAGTCGCCGGGCGAAAGAAGGGAGGAGGAGGGAATGTTGCGTCGGAGAGGCATGGGTGGCGAGAGGTGGCATCAGGCCGGAGTGCAAAGGCACGGAGGAAGGACAAATCGACCCCGGAGCTGGTACGATGGGGCGTACGGGGCGTGAGGGGGATGGAAATGGGGGGGGAAGTAGAATGGAGATGGGGGAATTGGCGATGATGGACTGTCCTCGAGGGAGGCGCGATCGGCGCTTCTCCGGCCGGTGCCGAATGGGCTTCCCCGTTGTTTGTCCTTCTGCTCCTCTTTCCCCCCCCCCCCCACAACTCTCCATCTACTCCGTACCTCCGGGGATGAACGTTCCAGGCAGATGCAACATTGAGATCATGTTCCTAGTCTGCAGCCTCGAAGATCTCGGTTCTTCGTTCAAGATTCTTCGTTCAAACGTTGAGAAGAAGCCGATGACCCTCATGCGTGAAGCTTGATAAAGCTCCTACCCCAAAGCATCGAAATTCACTAACACAGCGATTGCTTGCTAATTGAGTAGCCGGAGATATCGCTTTTCTACCTCTGCTTCGATATGGCCCGATGAGCGTTTGGATTTGATCTTCTAAGGAGGCATCGAACGAAAGCGGGATAAGGCCACCAGAAAGCATAGGAAACAACAGGGGAAGAGATTCCGACAGAAGCAGGACGATGGAGGCGATAATACAGCGATTTTGCCATTATTAGGTATTGATACTGGTCAGCCTTGGGAGATGCAATCCCCTCCAAACCCCTGACAGTTCACTGGCTGAGCTTCTGATCACCCAAAGATGGCTCGATTCTCTGTGGAATATACCCAAATCGCGCTAGGTGCCTCAATTGAGTCAATTCACCAAACCTTACTAGAATTTAGGTGTGGAATAATATGCAGCATTCTGCTTGCGATCCTGGACACGATCGAGAACGATTAGACTGCAACGTGGTGAGCTTAATCGATGCAGTGGACGAAATCCTGCAGATGCTTCCGTCTACTAAGGTGGCACTATTGCCTGGCAGTCTTGGTGGAAGAGAGTGAGGTTTGGGCAAGAATGGATCGACATTCCTTTGCTGCTCGCTGATTCCGGCCGCCAGATTTCCTTTTTAGGAAGCGCCGGGGGGCAAGGCTCCGGGTCACATGATCTTGGAGGTTCTCGAAGCCAAATCTGCTCACAGCAAGCTTGCATGTCTTTATCCGGGTTGCTATTATTGCTTCGGGAAGCAGCTGTGCTATTTTGAGCCATGTCGATTCTACTCCGAAAGCAGTGTTGTGCTTCCCACGTTAGTTCCCATCCTACGGCATCCGGTTCCCCAGACCTGTTAGTCGTGGATGGCACTATTGAGAGGCACTTGCCCCCGAGTCTAAATCGACTGATGGAGGTGGTACCGGATTGGTATGAGAGGGAAGCTATAAAGCACCCGGGGATCCAGTCCTACCTGTCTGCGTTGTTATCTACTACTCCCAATCCTTCCTAGGGCCAAGTGTGTTGTTTGTACCACAAACGGATCACTCTTAACTTGGACTTTGTTATCTTCCCTAAGCTGTCTACCCACAATGCACTTTTCAAATCATGTTGTGGCCGCCTTGGCCATCGCGGCCGGCACTGTTCATGCTGCCCATAATGAAACGTCAGCGGCGGTCTCTGAATATCCAAGTGCTGCTTCCTCCGTCAAGCACCCCCCTCCAGCTACCCAATATAGTACTCCTGAGGTCAAACCTACAGGTTCCACCGTTCCAACAGCTTATCCCAGTGCCGCCGAGACAGAGTCCACGGTGCCTGTCCCGGCAGCTGGCTCCAGTGTCCCGGTTGCCGAGTCCTCTGCTACTAAGACGAGTATTCCAGTCATCAAGTCTAGTACTTCCCAGACTCAGCCCGCTGCCAGTGTTCCTGTTGCGGCTGGCACTACCCCAGCCGCGGAAGCTCCTCCAACAGCTGCTGAATCCAGTGTTCCTGTTGTTGCCGCTGCTGCCACGACGCCTGCTGCAGGTACCACACCTGCCGCTGAGACCGAGCCCACCGCTACTCAGACGAGCGTCCCTCTTATCAAGCCCTCTGCGGAAACCCAGGCCGCTCCTCAAACAAGCGCCCAAGCCACCCAGCTTTCTATCCCAGCAGCCATACCCGAAGTTCCTCTGACTACCGCACCTACTTCCAAGATTCCGCTCACCACCGGCACTCCCAGCACCGAGACGCACAAGTACTCCAACTCAACCACTACAAAGACGACGCTCTCTACTGGAACCAGTGGAAGCAACGGTGGCGCCACTGTTCCAGCCGCACCAACCACCACTGGATTTGAATCGTCCAGCTCAGGCGTCAAGATGATCATCCCCGGACTGGCCCTTGTCGGCAGCATCGCCATGGGCCTGCTCATCCTTTCATAATAATAACAACAATTTCTTACTACCCTCTTTCATCCAATCTTTGATAATACGCATCTTCCGGATATTGCATGTACCCAAAGCGGTTGTTTTATAGATGCGAGTACCCACTCTGCACTGAATACTTTAATAGATCTCCAACGAGAAGTGAGAGTTCATTCCTTCATTCATTGATATATCCATTCCTTCATTTATCCTTTGATTTACCCCCCCGCACGTCTCAGTCTCTTCCCTTTCGTCACCCTCTCAAAACTTAACTCCTATCGTCCCTCCTTTTCAGTACCGGGCTTCCGACGAAAACCACCGTTCCTTTTTTCTTTTTACTGCAGATGTATACGGCGTTATTGGATTAAAAATGATCCCGATCTTATTTTGGCTTTTAAATACCGAAGATTGAGTCACTGTCGTTACATATTATTGATCTAACTAGTTATTGATAATTAATTATAATTATCGTTATCAATCTTTCATCGTTCCATGGTTGAGGGCAACATCTTCGGAGAAAATCCTTTTATAGCAGCTTCGTCAGCGAATCTACATGTCGTTATCTTAAATGAACAGCTATTTATGGTTGATTCTTTAACTCTATAGAGAGAGAGAGAGAGAGAGAAGGTTGCAATGAACATACTGAATGTGACTTTTTGTATTATAGGTCTCATAAGGCCATATCCATTATATCATAAAAGAAAGCATCGATCAAGCAAAACCAAATCAGATAAATCAATCTTTTCCCCCGATCATTACAGGCCATTCCATCCATCTAGTCGTTATCATCACGTCGAAACCCAATTCGTCCATTTACAAGAACATCCTCCACTTCCACCATCAACGCCGCCCCATTCTCCAGTGGCATCGCTCGAAGAATTACTATACAGGTCGAAGATGCCCGGGGCTGGATTGACCAATTGACCACCGTACGACCGGTTCTCAATCTGCAGTTTCACGTCCGACGAGTTGATCTTCTCATTGCTCTCCATGCCGTAACAGTATACCATTTTCTCTTTTGCGTTCCCGCCGTGCCGATCTAGTGTGATGGTCACGGGGTATGGAAATGATCCGGGGCGAGTCCAGTACGTTGCGGACGAGTTTGCTGTGGCTGTGGCTGTTGCGGCGGATGTTGTGGTTGTTGAGGATGCGTTTGTTGAATTCTTGAGGAGGGCGTCGTTGGAGCGGGTCCAGATTTGGACGAGGAAGCGGGTCTGCGACCATGTGCATCGGACACGGGCGTCGGATTCGTTGGATCCGCCGTCCTTGTCGTTGGGGTCATCATCGGTTGTACTGCCATTGACGGGGGCCAGGGAGGAGAGAAAGATGGAGCGGTCGAAGTAGGTGTAGAAGCCGTAGTGTTCTGTGCTGAGGCCGCGGTTATAGAGGCGAACTGGCTGGGATGAGGGCTGTGGGTATAGGTTTGCAGCGGCGGCAGTTCCATCGGAGTTCTCATCTGGTGAGGGAATGATGGTTGCAAGGTTAGGGAAGGAGCTATCGGATCTTCGCGCCAGGCGAAGGGTGGATGTAGACGTTAAGTGGCTGGCTGAGAGGATGGTCATGTAGAAGGGGGTTTCCTCGCCTGCGTAGGGGACGGTGTTGTTGTCTGTGGTGTTACCGAGGAAGGTCTGATCCTTCAAGCTTGGAGGTGATGGTGATGGGCTGTAGGGATTGTCGGAGCTTCTAGAGGAGAGCGTCTTGCTGGACTTTGAGGCAATTGTTGTGCTGTTAGGATAGGTTCCATTGCGGAATAGGATTTCTACGCGAAAGTTCGGCTCGTTGGCGGCGTAAGGCGCATTTGCAGATTGTTCTTCAGGCGGTAGAGCACAGCTCCAAAGGGTGGATGGAGCTATGCATCCTGAGACCTGTGTCTGAGGTTCTGGTCCTGCAATCGTGGCGATACCGGTAGGCATGGGTGGGTAGCCGGTGAGATTGAGCCATTGCGACTGCACTGGTGTTGAATCGCCCTTCTTTTTCAAAGTCATCACCAAGAGGAGGATGATTGCTATGATTATGAGAAAGGACGTCATGATCGCCAGGTACCACCGGCGTTTCACCTTTCCATTTTTGTCTTTCTTGGACTGGCCTCTCCCACAACAACAACAACAACAACAAAACGCGAAGATCTTTTTGCTCTTTTTGTCTTTTCTATCTTCTTTCTTTTCCAACGGTTTTCGTCGAATCTCGATAATCTCCCTTTCTATGGTCGTGTTTGTCACTTCCTCTCGCGTAGTTGGATGTGGCTCCATGCGAGGCAGTAGAGCAGAAGAGCTATGGTGACTGGAAGTGTATGCAGGCGCTGGGCTAGTATGCATATCGGATAATGGAATCGATTCACCTCTCTCAGTAGCTTGTTGAAGGCCAGGAGACGTAGGGTTTGGGGGTTGTGGCTGTGCTTCATGATCGTGAGTGGGGAACATGAAATGCTGAGGAAGAGCTCGATTTGGGGGAGCTATAAGAATCGGTGATGGGACAGTAGCAGGGTGAGCATAAATGTGCTGGCTGGGAGGTGCTGGCTGAATTACATGCTGAATGACCGGTTGAGGTGCTGGTTGAATTACCGGCTGTATGGCTGGCTGGGGCGCTGGTTGGATGACTGGCTGGAAGATGGGCCAAGATATCTTTCTTTCAGATTGATTGTCTGCTGGTGGTGCTAGTCCTTCTGTCTCTCCATGAACATGGGACACAGGTGCAGCTTCTTGAGGAATCTCTCTTGTTTGTTCATTGGGGATAGGGTCATTGGGAGGAAGCTCACTGGGAGACTGTTCACTTGGAGGATGCACACTTGGAGGATGCACACTTGGAGGATGCACACTTGCAGGATGCACACTTGGAGGATGTTCACTAGGAGTATACGCAATTGGAGGGTGCGCAATTGGATCACTTGGAGGGTGTTCACTTTCTGGGTGCACGCTAGGAGGGTACACACTGGGAGGGTGCACAACCAGGGGGCGCGAGCTTGGGCCGTATCCACTCGGAGGATGTTCACTTGGAGAACGTTCACTCGGAGGATGTTGACTTAGCTGGTACTCAGTTGGGGGATGTCCACTGAGGTTATTGCCTGGAGTGTCATTATCCTTGAGATCGTTTAGGGAAATCTCGGACCTCTTGTCTATTACACTCGGTTCGTACAAGGTCTGCGGCTCTGCAGTAGCGACTTTTGAGCTTCGATTTTCATCCCGTGGAGTGTCCTCCACATCGATAAGGAGGCCCCTTTGGTGTGAAATGGTCGAAACTGCATTCTCAGCATAGCCTGGTATCTTGTCTTTGGGCGTTAGGGAGCAAATATGGTTGACGCATTCGAAGTACGGCCTCCCACTGAACAATTCGTGAGCACAGGCTTGGTAGTACTCAGCGGCAGATCCTTGAATCGGCTGGCCCGGAAACATGAACGAGAATGCATCTTGATCCCTTGTTTCCACGGTACGATCCTGGTTGTCCAAGTCTTTCTCATCGAATGGGTTCACACTATCATCTGACCAATCCGATAGTTCATCCTTGTGGTGGGCTTCCGTTGCCTCCGGCGTGTCGGGGGAGAAGCAAGATACTTCCTTTTCCCACCACTCATCGCTCGATGCTGTTAAGTGGGTTCTAATACTGGGAACGGGTGGTCTAGCAGCCTCCGTTGGTGTGGTATTACCCATGACTGCGCTGAAGCGACCCAGCAAAGGCGAAAGAAGGTAGGTCCACCAGCCTTCAGATTGATGTCTGTTTGTTTCGGTGTTGATGCTTAATCTATCCGGGATCTTTTTGACAGTCCCACTGGAGTAAGAACGAGAACGACTCGCACGTCGCATATCATCTTCTTCAAACACAGTCCCGGTCGAGAACGCACGCTGTCTCCCTGTCGTAATTATAGAGCGCCTCTGTGCAGGCTCGTTTCCTGTGTTTCCAGCCCCTCTAAGAAAGGGAAAATCTGGAATGGCAGGCACCGGCGGTATTTCTAGGTCCCTGTCATTGTCATCGGGGTAAGGTGTTGGTTGGGAGTATATGCTGGATGCTACCCTAGGTCGTGGATGCATTATGCCAATGTCGGGCCAGAATGTGTCTTCTTTGGCTGGCGTGACAATGATAGACGGGGTCAGTGTCGCTCGTTGGGCATCTCCTGTGTTCACTTTCAGCTGATTCTCATGAGAACTCGGGGATCCGTCAAATGGCATGCTGAGCCCAATCATGATAGGTCGGTCAGATGGTGATAGATCGTCTTTGGCCTTCCTTCTTCCCCGGAAATTGAGATAGGACAGTCGTTTCTTTTCTAGATTGGAGGGTCTATCCGGAGGTTGGTCAACATCCTGGTTCGAGTCCTTCTTCAGTATCCCTCTGATACTATGCGTGGCCCTCTCTTGTTCTCGTGCCTTTGAGAGCGCTTTCAAGTCATTCAAATCCATGACGGTCGGCACTGACGTATCTTGAAGGCCTTTCGGAGAGGACGGGGAGAAATCTGTGACTAAATTCAATCCAGGAGGTCGGTTTGACCTCTTCCCGGTGTAAAGACCCAGCGGTTTCGCCTGATAGGAATTCTGTGTCCCGTCCACTGCTTCCTGCTCTTGTACATGCTGATCATGTGCTGCTTTATGTATAAACGGGTTCTTGCGTGTTGCCTTATTGAGGAAAGCGAAGGGTCGGTTTCTTTCCATATCATGGTCTTCCGGAGACGATGGCGCCGGGCTAGGAACCTCTTCTGTGATGGGGGACGACAAAGGGAACGTCGGTGCTGCAGGAATCCGCAGTTCTGCTGGTGGTCTCTGCATTCTGGAAACCGTATTGCCTGCGTGGCCAATACGGTCGCCTTATACTAGAACCAGTATATTGGTTGTTCGGTCTGAGTAGCACGGAGTTGAATTTAGCCAGGTATCGTAGACTAACTGGTACTGTTGATAAGGTTGTTTTGTTATAGAGCAAGCAGATCAACTGCGAGAATGTGAGGCTCTCCCCTGATGAATTGTCCGTCTGGTCATTGAAATAAGAAACAAAGAGAGATCTGGCTGCTATTGTTGCCAATAAAGAATCGACATTTGAGACTGCCGTGAATGGATGAAGGGAACAATGGGCTTCAACACAACAGCACCAGCTGTTGTTCACTCATGCCACATCCGACAAAAGAACAAAGAGTAAAGATAAAGGGGTGTGGGCCAAGATTGAAATCCCAGAGCAAAGTCTAAACGGCACCAACCTCGTGGGAGTGGGAGAGATACACGGACGGGGGAACAACGGGGGGAAGAAGAATCCAGAGAAGAGAAATAACACGACCGATGCCGAGAAGCCCAAGCACCTGTGACTGGGTGATTCAGAGGACTGAGGGAGCTCATGCACATCATGCAACAGCTATCCTTGACCTGGACACTTTGGGGCCCGCATGGTCCTGACTACTAATTTGGCAGAGGACCAAATCCTCCGAGCTCCTGACTCCATTGGGCAGGAGTGCTTGATCGGCTCTGCAAGCAGATGTTTGACGTATAGGTGGTGGGAGGGATTGGCTGGTGAAGAACCAGAGGAAGCTCAGTAGGCGCCGCGGAGGGGAGGGCGCTAACAAGAAGTAGATCCGACACGACGGGCAGGTTGCAGAACCCCGCCGGGCGCCAATCAGCTGCCCGGAACCCCCCGTGACAGAAATAGCCCGCCTGCAGATTCTGGCCGCGTTCAAGACATTCACTTCACTTTCGCGGTGGCCCGTGGCCTCGCCTCGCCTCACCACACCTCACCTCTCCTCTCCATCCCCTCCCCAAACCCCCCCCCCCCCAAATGAAAACCTCAATTTTTTACCACTCACGTTGCAATTCAACTACTACAAGAAAGCTGGCGAGGCAAAGAATAAGGTGAAGTAGGTTTTCAAATCGACGGTACTGCCGGTCGGCAGCTACCGATGCCGTGACATATGACTTCCAGGTATCCGTAGAACAACATACACGTAATAAACAAGCCATGGGGATATCAAGTCCAACACCATACACACTCCTTTTCCGACCAACCGTTGTTCAGGTTTCCTTTTTAGCCTTCTTCCGTACACACACTGCGACGTCGACCACACCGGCAATACAAGATGGTGCAGGCAAATAAACACACTTTCCACGCCCAAGTCCAATTCCCGGGGCGTCTACCCCGACCCCAAGAAGATGCAACGGAACACGGCCAGGGGTATGATGCTGGAGAGGGAGGAGAAGAAAGAAAGGAGAAGAGGGGTGTATTGGCGGGTTGGTGAGAAAGTGAAGCAGATTGTCGCTCAAAAGACGATAGCCACCCAAAACAAATCTACAAGCCAGATAGCGAAGCAAAATGCCATGTCTAGAGCACAGAAGAGTATGAACTGTGCCAACTAAAAGCAACCGTCACCAATGCATTCGTCGTGGGGCCATTCCATGGGAGACCGTTCGGTAGCCAACCATCGGCTATCGTCGTTCATCGGTATACTGCACCCCTTGCATTGGAGCAACCGTCCCGTTCATGAGAGGAGGCAGCGTACGAGGTTGCTCTTGCGTCATTCCGGAGCCAGGAGCATAACCGGAAAATATAGGGCCGTGCACCTGTCCATTTGGCTGGGATGCCGCCATTGAATGATGCTCGAAGATCGACGGCTGTCGAGATTGGCCGTTGGCTTGCTGCTGACTGAGTTGAGCCCGCATCTCGTCAAGTTCGCTTCTCAGGATCTCATTTTCTCGGCGTGTACTACCGAGCATTTTCTCCAGATGTGCAATGTACTCGATAGCTAAGGGTACGTTAGCCAACGAACAACCAGCGGGGTCTCGGATTGCTGAGACCGGTTCTTACCTCTTGTAAGTGTCTCCCATTTACTAGACTTGTTGTTTTGGCTCTGTGGGAGGCGTACACGCAAGGCCTCGAAACAATCCTTCATCTCACTGCGGCGCTTTCGCTCCGCCAACTTATGTGTTACACGCAACTCCGGAGTTCTGCTATATGGAGTACTGCCACTGTGTGCCTCAGACTCTCCAATAAGGCCGCGGACTTGTTTGTGCTGTAAGGAATGGTGGTGTACATTTTGTGGAAGTTCTGTACGAGTCAGAGGATCAGGGACTATAGATGCCGAAAAGAACGGCTGATAAGACATACCATGCTGTCCACGGGGCAGCCGTGCATCGGAGTAAACGCTGCTGGCCAAGGATTCGGCAGTACTTCCTTTCCGCGAGAATTGGTTGGTTGACTTTTCCGTGGTAGAAGAGACGGAATTCGATCGCGCAACGTCTGGATCTGGGAAAGCGTATGCGAGACCAGCGGTAGGCGCCTCCGCATTGTAGATCTCTGAACGAGGATTTGACGAGATAGCAGGTGCAGTACGACCAGCTGCAAACCCGCGATGTTCGCCAGCCCGCGGCCCAAGTGGAGAGAGCGGCTGCCCTCCCGAGTATCGAGGACCACGGTAGGAGCTGTTCATGTTCACATCCATGGATATGCCCCGCTCTCTCTGAAGACCCGAAACAATCGAGGTTTGGGAGACATTTGTGCTGTGGTAAGGGGAGGCCGGATTGATAGCTAGCGAGCTAATTCCTTGGTTCATTCTACTATCCACACTGCTCCGTCGCGATTCAGGAGGCTCCACGATACTGCCTCGTTGAGAAGGAGCATCATAATTTTGGTTAATGGAAGGTAAGGTGGTGTTTGGTTGAGTAGAACCGAAGTTTGGGGAGGGCTGCGCCCCCGCAGAAGAAGGTGTGTTGGTGTTGGAGTGATCGTTGGGATAAGGAGATCGATCGGAGACATAGGATGCGCGGTTGGGGGAAGGCTGAGAGGATGTGAGGAAGGAGAGGGAGGGATAATTGCCGGTCCCGTTGGTCGCGGTGGAATATGTAGACGACCCTAGGGGGAAATCAGCCTCCGCAGGTAAGTACGGATGAGACGAAGTCTTACTGGTACTTTGAGGCATCGACCAATTCCCCGAATCTCGCTCTATCGTATTTAGGGAAGCATTTCCCGGTGATTTCTCCGCCTGAGTAGGGATGCCACCGGCCATACTTGCCGTCAAAGTCGAAATGGACGGAAGAGTCTGAGTAGAGGATACCGGGGGGGTGTGTGGTCCCGTGGTAGCGGGCTCCCAGGGCCGATGAGTAAGGGTTGTCTCCATGACAATCAGTTGACGGATATCTCGGTAATGTAGCGATGTACAGAGAAAAGACGGTTCAGAGGAAAGGAGGTGTCAAGAAAAAGCGATTTCGCAAAGAGCGTGTTCTGTAGAAGCCAGTGTCCTTCCGCTATCTCATATTCGACAAATCGGCACAGCACGTAGTTGAACAGCGAACGTTGAACGTTAACTGACAAGTCGATCTACGCGATAGAGTCCGAATCAACTTTATGTGGCCAATGGAGGACTGGTGTGCAGCGCGTAAGTTCAGCGCAGGATCGACCTGACTCTAACCGGCGCGTGGGACGATGAGGTTGCTATCTCTGCTGTCTCACAGTTCCGTGCGAAATCGGTAAAGATGAGTGAAGCCGAGCCAAGGCCGTAAAGATATGTCCAGAAAAACAAAAAGAGTCGCCAGAGAGGAGGAGTGGGCGGGAGAAGCCGTCGTAGTTGAAGCGAGCGGAGGGCGGAGAGGCGGAAGGATAGGAGGAAAGAGGCAGGTTATACTGGAGACTGGCGAAGGAGGGAAGATATCGGATGAGAATCAAGGTGGAGGAGAAAGAGCAAGGGAACACTAAATCTTAAGTAAAAGGGAACAAATCGTGTCAGCTTCGGCCACATGGGGGAGACGGAAATTATGTACGGCAGGGCCAATGGTTCCGGGGCATGGGTTTGCGGTGCAGGACTGGAGCTTACCTACCAGATGGCAAAGGTGCAAAACGCTCGGGCGGCGCAGCGGAACGTGGCACGAGATTAGAACGACGAACAATTGGGCAGGAAGAAGTGTTAGGGCAAGGTCCCCGACCGATGGCCAGCAGAACCTTAACGTGACCGGCTAGAACGATGGCTGCGGGGAGGGGGGCAAATGATGAACCGACGAAAGAGAGTCGAGGCAGGAGGAAGACGGGGCGAGAGGATA